GGTTTCCTTCACGCCCCGTCTTTATCATTTGTGTCACATCTGCATACATCTATACGGTTATTTGCTTAAACATTTTCTCTTAAACTGGCTCTTTTTAAGCCTTAAGTATATTTCCCAAATCAAATTTTTTTCACTTTCTGTGAAGTGGGGCACACAGCGGGAACTCCGTCTCCTCCTTCCATGGCCTCACACAGAGCTGGCACCAGACACTCACACGGAGGGGAGAACATTCAACCCCAGGTTGTCCTTAGCTCCTACCTTGGCTTCAGTTTCCCACTCCCTCCGGCCGCCTCTCCTTGCCTCTGGGTGTACCCACCTGTAGCAAAATGGGCACACACACAGTGGGCATACAAAGTGGGGTCCAGTCGAGGTCTCAGACCTGGATCAGTCCTCAGCTTTGCCACTTACAAGCCAAGGGACACTGAAGCTGCTCGCTCAAACTTCTGTCTCAGTTTCCTTATCTGTGAAGTGGAGATGGTATTATAATAATATAATACGATCACACAGCGTTATTGGAGGATTAACTGAGATGAGAAACGGAAAGCCCAGGGCCTGGCTGTATTTATGGACCATGTGCCAAAGACAGTACAAGCTGGGACTCCAGGGTTGTAACCCTGCCACCACCTGCCTATGTGATCTTGGACACGTCACTTGGCTTTGCTGAGTCTCAATTTCCCCATCTATAAAATGGGGTAATGATCATTGCTACCGCACAGGACGTGTGGATTAAATGGTTGGTATGTTTAAGGGCCTTGCTCAGTAAACGGTAGCTCTGCTCATCGTTTTTGTAGAAAGGGCTTCAAAGTTGCTAACTTCCGAGGGCTGACGACCTGAGCCATCTTCACAGCCTGGCATAGGGACAGATCAAATTGAATCCATGGAAAATCAGCTCCAGAATAATGAGGCCAAGGCATTCCCATGCTGATTTCTATCAGCTGATTTCTATCCCGTGCTGGTTTCTATCTGCCCAGGGCAGCCTGGGAATGCAAAGGGGAGGGCACTTCTCCGTGGCCGCCTCAGAACTTCCATCACCACCCTCCGGGGACCCACCTGTCCCCCACCTGCCCTTCAAGGTGCTCTTTGATTTCTCCCCAGCTGAATTCACCTGCTGCATCCATCAGCAGAAGAGGCCCAGGAATGTTGCCTGCTGGGTGGGCAGGGCCAAGAGGAAGGCAGCATTGCAGGCCCAGGAAGCTGCAGGAGATTTGGAGATGGGGATGTCTGCCAACCTCCAGCAGAAGGGTCAGCTCTGGGCGCTGCAGATAGGCACTCTGGGGAGGGTACCAGAAGCTTACAGTTTGTCCCGGCTCAAAGGCTGTCTGCTGTGTGACCTTGGTGAGTCTCCTAACCTCTCTGTGTCATCACAATCATTATCACTATTTTTACTCCCCTCCCTTTCCTATTTGCCAGTTAGGAGAGGATTGGGATAGTGGTCATGATTACACAACATTGTAAATATTCTAAAAACCGTTGAATTTTACACTTTAAAATAATGAATCGGTAATTTCATATTATGTGAATTTTATTCCAATTAAAAATACATACATGAATTTAATGCGACAGAGAGAGAGAGAGGACAGGGAATGTAAAAGCAGGTGTTTGTGGTGAACTGGGGACCTGTCTGAGGCTACTTCAGAAGGCGATTTGGCACCACTTGCTCTGTGTCAAGAGGGAAATTGTTACTCTCTGACCCCAGCAAGGATCACAGATTCTTGTGCAGCTGCCTCTTTGCTTGATGGCTCAAAGCATTTTCTTGTGTCAAGTTTACTTTTATTTTTGTCACCATTTGTCATGAGAAAAGTCAGGCCCAGAGAGGAGAAGTGGCTTTTCCAAGGCCATGTAGCAGGTCGGCCGTGGAGCTGTCACTCAAACCTGACACCTTTCAGGCTGAAGGAAACCAGAACATGCCACCCCCAAATATGCTGATGTGGCGACCTGATCATTTCCAGCTAAAGACGCTTGAGAAAGAGCAGCTAGAGAGAGGCCGTCTGAACAGCCCCATTCTGCCTGCAGTCAGACACAAACATTCCTTGCAGAAAGATGCTTTCCTAGCATCAGGATGAGAAGAGATAGCTTTTATCAGCGAAGAGGTGGTACCAGAGTCATCTACAAATACAAACAAACCTTGCTGCCCTGCTCCTTAGCTCATGCCTTGTGTTTACCTGCTCACAGCTTCCCAGCCCTGGAAGCCTACAGCTGCGTTCCTTTGTCCTGTCACTTTTCCTTCCTTCCTTCCTTCCTTCCTTCCTTCCTTCCTTCCTTCCTTCCTTCCTTCCTTCCTTCTCTTTCTTTCCTCTGTTCTTTCATTCTCTCCCCCACTTTCTTTTTTTTCTTTTTCTTTTTTTTTTTTAGAGACAGGCTGAAGTGCAGTGGCGTGATCAACCCTCTGCAGCCTCAAACTCCTCAGGCTCAAGCGATCCTTCTACCTCATCCTCCTGAGTAGCTAGGACTATAGTAGCTGGGCAAGTCACCATACCCAGCTAATTTATTTTCAATTGTTCTGTAGAGATTGAGTCTCACTATGTTGCCCAGGCTGGTCTCAAACTCCTGGCCTCAAGCAATCTTCCCGCCTCAGCCTCCCAAATTGCTGGGATTCCAGGCATGAGCCACTGCACCCAGCCATCTTGTCACTTTCTAAAATGCATTGCTCTTCATGGCAGACACCCCATAAGCCAGAGTTCTAAGCCACAGCATTGAGCTGCCTTCACTGAGGCTTCTCCTGTGTGATGTGCCTCAAAGACTTTAACGAACCTGCTTGTTCTTTTCTGGATGGATAATGTCTTTTGTTACAGTTGTCTGTCCAACAAAAAACTTGGGAGGATTGAGGAGAAATTATGTTTCCTTCCCAGCTGGCTAATTCCAAATGTGTCCTCAAGCCTGATGCTCAGTTTAGGCAATAACTACTGACTTGAACCCTGCCCCAGGTCAAGAATGTCACAGTGAGAAGACGCTGCATTAGGGGGCACCCCAGATGACATGCTTGACAGATCAAATGACTGAATAACTGCATTTTCTGAAGGAAAATCAAGTGTTTTGAGGCCAAGTAGATGGGATTCTTGAGGATTCCATGAACAGCAAGCAGTAGTGTCTCCCTCAGAGGCTCTTGGGTGGGGACATTAAATGGGTTAATACATGTGTTTGCTGCAGGAATAGCCAGAATATGTGAAAGAAGTTACAGGGAATAGAGTGCAGCAAACTCCTATTCATCCCTCAAAACCCTACCTTGGTATCCTCTCCCTTGTAAACTTTCCCTGAAAATACAGAACCAGCTACATCAGCACCATGCCATCCCTCCATCACTACAGGTATCACTCTGTACTATACGTATCCATTCATTTTTCTAGGCTTTGCACTCGCTGAGGCCAGGATTCTGACTCTTTCCTGAGTGTTGTTTACCTGAACTGAACCGGCTGAAGCCTGAAAGATGGCTTTGATATGTTAAAACTCATTCCAGTTTACTCCTATTTTTCATTCGTTCATCCACTCATTCACTCAACAAAGACCTTTGAGCTCTGATATTTATGTCGTCTTGTGACTCTTAATTTATCTTTGACAAAGTTACTGTATTGTCAGGCTGAATTTAACTTGGGAAAGGCAGGAAGGAGATTGGCGGACGGTGGCAGCAGTGAGTTGGGACCGTGAGATCAAGCGCGATTTTTTTCCTTTTGCTTCTCAACTCCTCCCTAATGTAGTTATTATTTTTCTTTTATGATGGAAAAATGCATATGTATAGGAATGCTGTATTTGAGGCATCATAAGGAATGAAATTATAGCCCAGGTGCAGAGGCTCACCCTTGTAATCCCAGCACTTTGGGAGGCTGAGGTGGGAGGATTGCTTGAGCCTGGGAGGCAGAAGTTGCAGTGAGCAGAGATCGAACCGCTGCACTCCAGTCTTGGTGACAGAGAGAGACACCCCATCTCAAAATAATAATAATAATAATAAAAGAAATGAAATTAAATGATAAGAAATTATCACTTTTTTTTTTTTTGAGACGGAGTTTCGCTCTTGTTACCCAGGCTGGAGTGCAATGGCGTGATCTCGGCTCACCGCAACCTCCGCCTCCTGGGTTCAGGCAATTCTCCTGCCTCAGCCTCCTGAGTAGCTGGGATTACAGGCACACACCACCGTGCCCAGCTAATTTTTGTATTTTTAGTAGAGACGGGGTTTCGCCATGTTGACCAGCATGGTCTCGATCTCTTGACCTCGTGATCCACCCGCCTCGATCTCCCAAAGTGCTGGGATTACAGGCTTGAGCCACCACACCCGGCTGAAATTATCACTTTTTTATATAAGAAGTGATCATTTTCATTATCAGAAAAGGAAGTTTTTTCCCCTGTAGAAAGAAAATCCTACCTGCTATTCCGCCAAAGCTTACCTAGTGCTACAGGGTGAGCTGTTAGTAAGACCATACTCGGAGGCCTCTCTGTGCCAACCACCTGCCTTCCTTTCCCTTCCAAAAACCTCAAGTGACTAGTTCAGGGACCTGTCTGGAATAATGGCATCATTTAACATCACTGGCCTTCAGGAACCTTGGCATTTTCCAGCATGTCCCATACTGTCAATATCCCCCCAGCTTCCTGGACTCCCGTCACAAGCTGGAAAAGTGAGAGGACAGGCAGGGATTAACCAGAGTCCCTGCTGAGGAAAAAATTCCCCAGATGCTGAAAGTGAGGCCATGTGGCTTGACCAAATACAACCTGACTCCGTGGTGCCTCTATCTTAGAGGCTACCCTGCTAATGAGCTGCCACCGTGGACTTGGGGCCAGGAAGAGGCGGGTTGGCTAAAGATGCACCACACAGAGTGATGTAACAGCAAGATCAAGTCACCCACAGGCCCTGGCAGTCACAGTCATAAATGAGCTAACTGTATACCCAGCCGGGGACACTCCCTTTGGAAATAAAAAAAAAAAAAAGAGCTCTTTATGCAAAAACAACACTCTGGATGGCATGGGGTGAATATAAATACTTCTTGACTGCCAGTGTGTTTATAACTTTGCAGCAAGTCAAAAACTGAGGCTCCAACCCCAGAGAACACAGCCTCATCACTGCTTTAAACATCTCTCGGCCACCTTTGGCGAGGGAACTGGGCAGTTCCAGACAGTCCCGAAGCTCCCAAGGCACGGGTCTCTTCCCAGTTGGACTCTCCTTACCCGGGGAAGCAGTGCAGCCCTCTGCGAGGTGAGTTGCTTTCATTTCTGGGGAAGCGGCTGTTTTGAGAGGGTTTTATTTCTTCCTGTTTGAGAAGGCTCAGAAAATTGTGGGAATTTTCTGCCTACAGAGAGAAGGTGATGGAAAGTTTAGGTAAAAAAATGCCAAGATGAGGGTCAGTCATTTGAACATGGCATCTCCATCAGATTTCTCTTCTTCAGATACTGGCTGTGGTTGCTATGTGACAAGGAGAGACTTTCTGAAAAGTCCAGAATGGGAGTCTGTGTCTGCTAAGAATTTTCTTTTAACATAGATTATCTATCTTATTCAGTCCTTATAATATGTAACCTCCCCACAAATCCTGGTGAGATGGATATATTAAACCCATTTCATGGATGAAGAAATGAGTTTCAGTTAAATAACTTGATTCAGGACACATAACTGGTAGAGCTAGGATTTCAGGATTTGAACCCAGGTCCAAGGGCCTATAAATTCTTTCTTTCTTGCTTGCTTTCCTCCCCTCTCTCCCTTCCTTCTTCCCTCCCTCCCTCCCTTCCTTCCTCCCTCCTTCTTTCTTTCTTTTTCTCCACTCATTCACTCAACAAAGACCTTTGAGCTCTGATATTTATGTCGTCTTGTGACTCTTAATTTATCTTTGACAAAGTTACTGTATTGTCAGGCTGAATTTAACTTGGGAAAGGCAGGAAGGAGATTGGCGGACGGTGGCAGCAGTGAGTTGGGACCGTGAGATCAAGCGCGATTTTTTTCCTTTTGCCTTCTCAACTCCTCCCTAATGTAGTTATTATTTTTCATTTATGATGGAAAAATGCATATGTATAGGAATGCTGTATTTGAGGCATCATAAGGAATGAAATTATAGCCCAGGTGCAGAGGCTCACCCTTGTAATCCCAGCACTTTGGGAGGCTGAAGTGGGCAGATCACTTGAGCTCAGAAGTTCGAGACCAACATCTATCCTCCCTCCCTCCCTCCTTCCTTCCTTCCTCCTTTCTTCCCTCCCTCCCTCCCTCCCTTCCTTCCTTCCTTCCTTCCCTCTCTTTTTTTTTTTGGAGACAGGGTCTCGCTCTGTTGCCCAGGCTGGAGTGCAGTGGCGTGATCACAGCTCACTGCAGCCTTGACTGCCCAGGCTCAAGTGATCCGTCTGCCTCAGCCTCCTGAGTAACTGGGACCACAGGCACAAGACACCATGGCTGCTTAATTTTTAATTTTTTTGTACACAAGATCTCCCCATGTTGCCTAGTATGAACTCAAACTCTTGGGCTCAAGTGATCCTCCTGCCTCAGCCTCCCAAATTGCTGTGATTACAGGCACGAGTCACTGTGCCTGGCCTGGAATTCTTACATGGACTGTATTCACTACATTGTCTTAGAAAGACAGTTTCTGCCTCCTTGATCTTCCTCTTGTCTGTTTCAAAGGAGATGATCTCAGATTTCTAGAGTTGAGTGCATTTTTCACAAATAGTTTCTTCCCACGTGATAAAAGAGGAGCAAGTGATAATGCTGACTTAGAACAATTGCAAAATCTTTAAAAGAACGGCAGCTATAACTTGAGTGCTTTTCCCAGTAACAGATCTAAAACTACAGTTGCTAATAAGAGCTGCTGGAAAGTGTCTTTCAGGGTCAGGCAAAGGCACTCCTGTTTCAGTGACCTCCCGGGTATTCCTCACCCTGCCTGGGGCTGACGATGAAGCCTGGCTGGGAACAGTGGACCAGCAGGTCCCGCTCAGGAGGCTCACAGGACATGTAGTTTGTCCTCGTTACATGGCAATGGGGGAGGGGGTCCAGTGTTTTTTTTTTAGATTGTTAGGTGGCTTTACAGAATTGAAGTCTGTGTCTGAAGCCTCCCCATTCCAACCCCCAATAGAGGCAGAGGTTGCAAAGCACTGATGAAGGGGCTCACGCTGGCGTTCGTATTGATTCTTCAGTGAGACAACCCCATTGAGAAGCCCGATGCTGTAAACTCTTCTCCAACCTTCCCTCACCTCTGCTTCCCTTCTTCAGCCCCACAGTGAAGAATATCTGAGCTCAAATCCAGAGAAGTGACATAAGTGAACTGCTTTGCGAAGCCGTGGGGATGGCCTGTCCTTGGAGGTTTCTGTTCAAGGCCAAATTCCACCAAGATGTAATGACGGAGGGAAAAGACATCAACAACAATGTGGGCAAAGCCCCCTATGCCACCTCCAGGTGAGTGTTCCCCGGGGGCACCTCCTGCTTGTCTCCTTGGGAACCCATGCCCTGTCGGTACCAGTGACTCAGAATTCCTCTCTCTGTTCCTCCCCTCTCACTTGAGATCTGATCATGCTTCTTCTTGGAAGTCACTGTTAGAATTCAATGAAGTTGCTGATGATTGGGCATCTTGCTGCAACTGACTGACGACAGTATGTGGAAGAGGAAGGGACATGGCACGGGGCTGGCCCCGAAGGAGCGTGGAATCTCTGGGGAAAGAATATGGGAAGGAGCTTGACCTGAGAATGGAAGGCAGTAGAGCCTGGTGGTGGGAACCAGAGAGGGGAACTGGGGGTGGGGGATCGGCATCCTGGCCTGCGTCCATTCTAATTCACCTCTCGTTAGACGCTTTGAATATCATCCTGGCGAAGGGTATCAGGATGTTAGACAAACTAGTTCCAAGTCCTGTGCTGGTGGCACTGGCTGCCCAGTGCTGCCTCTCGCTGGCTGTGTGACTTGGGGCAAGTTAACCTCACCAAACCTTAGTGCTCACCTGCGGTGTGAGGAGCCCAAGGGGGCGCTCCTCACGGTGTGCTGAGGATGAAGTGAGATCTGCGGCACTCAGTGCTGTACCTGCACAAAACAGGCGCTCAGCCTACATCGGGGTTCACAGCCATCTACTGAGTGCCTGCCCTTGCCAGAGCTACACAGGCCACTTTACTGTGCATCTCAACTGCTCTCTGCGGCGGCTCTGTGAAGTTTGTGTGATTGACTTTTCACATATGAGGAAATAGAAACTCTGATAGATTTATGACTTTCCCCAGCTTGAATGACCAGTAATTACAGAGTTGGAAGTGGAGTCCAGAGTTGGATTCTTCACATCCCTCCTCCCCAGGACCGTCCCTCCTCCCAGGGCAGAACTGAGATAATGAGTCAGTCAATGAAGGAGTCAGGGGACAGGCTTGAGGCTTGCTCAGGTGGAAAGACAAGGCAATCTGCAATAATGCAATTGTGTAACTCAAAACAAAGCCCCCATCTGCACAGGGGCACCACACAGCCACACAGCCCCACTACCTCAGAGGAGCCTTTCCCATGGACTACAAAGGGCAGGGAGCCCCCTGGAGGTGTGCAGCATCATGGCCCTGAGTGTATCTGTCAGAGGTGGCAAAAATCTCCAATGGCTAAGAGGATGGGCTTGGGGATGAGCAAGTCCACTCAGTAGCCATGTGCCCGTTGGCAAGTCCCTTAGCCTCTGAGCCCCAATTTCCTCCTCTGTAAAAAGAGGGTAGCAATGGTGATTTACTGAGTTTGGGATAAGGATTAAATAAGATTTCCCATGCAAGCAACTTAGCGCAGTGCCTGACCTGGAGTGAGCGCTCAGCAAATGGCACTGTTGGCGTTGCCATCATTAGTGGTGGTGTTGGCAGCTAGGAGGTGACAGAGCCACATTAAACAGAGTTCCCTCTAGGGGCATCACAGAAGTCAGGTGAACTCTGTGGCCTTTGAAGTACAGGTAGAATGTAGATGGGTGCAGAGAAGTAGCAAGGACATTCAGGAAGAGGGGCGAGGTGAGCAGACTCAGAGGCAGAAATGAGCTGGACTGCGCTTGGCCAGGAGTGGACTGGGGGCTGGGATAGGCATAGCCAGGCTAGAGAGTGAAGACTTGAATGCAGAGTCAGAGATCTGGACTTGTTCTGCCTGGCAGTAGGGAGCCATTGTAGGTCCTTGAGCAGGACAGTCCAGGTGTGGTGTGGCAGGTAAACTGGAGGAGAGGACTTTGAAACCAGGTAGTCTGGGCTGTGGCAGCCGAGGTGGCTAAGAGAACAAGAGGTAAGAACACAGGGTGTTCTGCTGGCACTTCAGATTCTAAGGGCTGTAGAGGGACAGTGGCTTCACCCCTCCTTCTCTTTGTCTCATCATCGCAGCCCTTGCCAGCTGGCCTCACTGACTCCAGCTCCCCACACTGGCTCTGAGCTCTCTCCTGACAACTGGATTTCTAGCAAGTCATGCCCCTATTCTAGAGCCTGCAGTAGTTCCCCATTGCCTGTCACCACATTAAAGCTTCCACAGAGTTCTGGGTGAGCACCCTACCCAAATGGAGAGCCCATCATACTGGCCCGGCCCAGCCTTCCTCAGCTCCCCAGTGCCTGGGCACAACACATTCCTCTCTCAGCTTATCCAGACACAACCCATTCCCTATTTTCTTCTTTTCTATTTTTCTTTAAAAAATTTTTAATGTAGTTTTTTATTGAGGCAGGGTCTCAAAAACAGTGTGCACTGTTGCCCAGACCTCAGTGCAGTGGCTCCAAATCAGCTCACTGCACTGCAACCTCCACCTCTCAGGTTCAAGTGGTTCTCCCACCCCTGCCTCCCAAGTAGCTGGGACTATAGGCATGTGCCACCACGCTTGGCTAATTTCTGTATTTTTAGTAGAGACAGGGTTTCACCCTATCGGCCAGGCTGGTCTTGAACTCCTGATCTCAAATGATCCTCCTGCCTTGGCCTCCAAAAGTGTTGGGATTATAGGCGTGAGCCACTGCACCGGGGGTTCTCTTTTCTTTCTTCTCTCTCTCTCTTTTTTTGAAGTTGAGAATCTTACTATGTTGCCCAGGCTGCTCTCGAACTCCTGGGCCCCAGCAATCCACCAGCTCTCTTTCCATATCACCCTGAATCTCTCTCCTCCCAAAACCCTTATGGTGCTGCCTGCGGCCTTTAACCCTCATCCCCACACTCTCTCATAGCATTGCTAATTATCCCTGTGTCTTTGGGGACTGACTTGTGGATTTACTTGTGTCTTTGGACCATTCAGGAAACATGAGTTCAGACCACAGGGAGGGCCCTGAGCTGCAGTGGACCTGCGGCAAACCAGCTAACTTGTCCATCTTTTCCCCGCTCCTCTTCACGCTGGGTGGGCTGGTGGAAAGGCTCCAGTCAGATAGAAGAGGGAATGAAGAAAAAATACCACATCAATTTATTGAACTCTCCCAGCCATCCATGAGCTTTAGTCATCCCATTTTAAGGGTGAGGACCCTGAAGCCTAGGAAATTGAAGTAATTTTCAAGATCTCATAGTTAGCAAATGACAGAGCCAGCATTCGAATCTGAGCAGCCCAGAGGGACCACTGCATGAGGCAGCCACTTTTTGTGTCCCGGGCATGTTCCATTCCATGGACAAGTACAGGCGGATGCCCACTGCCTGGCTCTGTGCTGGGAGTGAAGATATCAATGAAACTCTTCTGCTCTTTGGTGAATTGTTTGAGCCACTTATTTACTTGCATACACCACTGCTAAAAACAGTAATGAGACAGGAACTATTGCCCTTGTTTTACAAGACTGAACAATGTATTGGAGGTCAATACCTGGGAAATGGTGGTGCTAAGGTTTTACTCAAGTCCAAAGTCATAACATCTACACTACCTAGGCTCTCCCAGAGGGCCTATGGTGTGCCAGACTGTTCAAGAGACAGAGGAAAAAGACTCAGTTTCTGCTGTCAGGAAGGAAATGGGGAAACCGTTGCCTTCCTCACTGGGTTGGGAGGCGTACATGAAGAACTCAATGTTAAAAAATTGGAGAAAATGTGTCAGGAGTAGGTGGGACAGAGAGTAGACAGGAGGTAGCAGGTGTGGGTGCACTGGCATCGTGGTAGAGGCCTCTTTTGGGGTGACTGCCGAGGTGCCTGACCTGGCTGTAGTGTGGGGAGGAGTTGGGGAGAAGGCTTTCACCCAGAGAGCAGCATCCATCCAAGTGAGGGGAGTGCTTATTACTGGAAGAGGAAGCAGCCATGCAAAGGGGATTTCATCCCGAAAGCAATGGGAGCTAATGAATATGTTTTGATTTTTAAAAGTAATTTTCTAATCTGTTCAGGTGTCATGAGACCAAGAACCTAAGTGACTGATGATTCTATATCTTTTGCAAACAATTAGAAAGTGAGCATGGTGTGTGTGTGTGTGTGTATTTTAGAGACAAAGGCAAACCTGGGAGCATCTAGGTGAAGACACACAGAATTCAGAACCGAATCGACCTACCTGTTGCTAGCTGGACTGCAGTTGGCTGGGAATAAATATGTGCCCTCTCTCATTCTGCTTTCACTGGGGTTTGGGATTTAATGTGCTTGCACACTGCCAGGAGGGCTCCTTGCATATTGAGGTCCAGGGCTGCTGCCCCATCTGGGTCTGGATCCTACCATTTATTCTGCTCCATGAAATACAAAGAGCAACTTACAGGTGGAGTACAGTCAGGAGGCTCTGAGCAGTTCAGGTAGCAACCACGAGAGGCCTGCAAGGCACAGGAGCCAGCTTACAATTCCCCCTGCCATGTTCCCACAGAAATCACCCCTAACCCATTGCTTTCTTTAGTTTCTTTCTGGAATCGCAGAGAGCATGCTGTATATAACAAGTGCGATAACACTTCCCGGGACAGCCTTGTGAGGTGGTGTGAGCTCAGGCTGGGCTGTGGTCCGGGGGGCTGCTTGTGTGGCCCTGGACAAGATCCTTAACCTCTCTGGCCCCAGCTAATGCCTCAATAAAGTGGAGATGACAACATAGAGCTGCCTTCTTGACCGTATTTAGTAAGGATTGGACGAAATGACAGAAAGGAAATTTGCTCTGTAAACTAGAAAGCACCGCGCAATGGGGTAATGATGATAACTTTTATTGAGACTTTATGGGGAATAAACAAACCCGAGGCCCGACACCACCCCGGGGTCTTAGCCCAGACACTGTCCTGTGCCATCCAAACTTCGCGGCGGACGCCAGTCGCGCGCCCCTGGGTGCTTGGGGCCCGGGATCACCGGGGAAGGCGGGGGCGGCATGGCCCGGCCCGGCCCGGGACATCGAGCGGGTGAAGAGCCCCGGCCGCTCCTCGGCTCGCTCCGCCCCGGGGCGGTGGCCACAGGGTCTGAGCTATAAAGCGCGGGCTCGGGGAGGCGCGGGGAGCCCGCGGAGCTGAGCCTGAGGAGCCGGGCCATGCGCGAGGGGCTGGGCGCGGCGTGCGAGGCAGCCGGGCCCCGGCTGTGCCGGCTGCTCAGCAGGATCCTCTGGCCGAAGCCGGCCTGCTGCCCACGCCGCCGAGCCAGGTACCCCGCGGGCTGAGGGGTCCACCCTGGGAGGGAAGCGGTGGATTCCGAGCCCGGGTGTGGCTCCCAGCCTCTCTCGGAGAAATCGGAGGACGGGGATGTGTGCCCTGTGGGATTCCTGAAGGTTTCCTGAGACGTTTTCCTCCTTTAGAACGCGTGGAGGTCGCAGTTTAGGAGCCCTGACCGCCCCCCATGTGCCACGAGAGGCGTCTATGTGGGTTGAGTTGCGCTGCGTATTTCAGCACTTGGGAGCTTTTGAAAGTTTTCAGCACTGGGGTTGAAAGTTGCTACACTTTTTGGATCAAATATGGTTAAGAGAGCAAGGAGGTTCTTCTTTCACCAATGAGATCCATTTCCAAGGGCACCACCCCGTCCCCACCTGTCCCCACCACCACCCTTGATGTAAGGCGAGGTAGGCGGGCAGGGAAGCATGGGAACCGCAGGGGAATCTGGCCCCCAGGTCAGCCCAGGCAAGCCACAGTCTGCAGCTGTGACCAGTGACTGCTTCGGCTGGCCAAGGGCTTGTGGAAAGTTCTGGGTCTTTCCATTCCCCACGCCTCCGACCCCTTTTTTGACAGGGTCTCACTCTGCCGCCCAGGCTGAAGAACAGTGGCACCGTCTCACCTCACCGCAGCCTCCGCCTCCCGGGCTCAGGTGATCCTCCCAACTCAGCCTCCTGAGTAGCTGGGACTACAGGCGTGCGTCACCACACCGGCAACATTTTTGTGGGTTTGTTTGTTTGTTTTTTGGTAGAGATAGAGTTTCACCATGTTGCCCAGGCTGGTCTTGAACTCCTGGGCTCAAGTGATCCACCCACCTCAGCCTCCCAAAGTGCTGAGATGACAGGCATGAGCTACCACGCCTGGCTGCCAGCACTCCTTTTGATGGCAGGTCCTTAAGGGGGTCCTCAGGACCCAGCACAGCTGTGGGTTTAGTCAGATTGCATGAGTGTTTGTGGGGTCGGAAACAATGTGGTAATTTGGAAAGAAATGTCCAGATCCTGAAGGTGCTCACCTGGCATCTGGTCACCCACTCTCCCAGGAGCCAGCCAGAAGAAATGGTGGGGGAGGGGACTGGGCAAAGCTTTGTGTATTCATTTTTCAAATTTAAAGAATTGCCCAATTATGAAAGGAATTCATGGTCACTATAAAAAGTTGGAAGATGTGGAAAAGTATAAGAAAAGTTAAATTGCCCATGATCTTATCACTTAATGCTAGTCAATGTTAACATTTACTAGCATTCCCCGAGGTGCTTTTCTGTACTTGTACACACACACACACACGTATACAGAGTTTAAGGCATTATTTATATGAGGGCAAAACTAGACACAGTCTAATATCCAGCCACAGCACGACACAGGACCAGGCTAACCATGGCCAATCTGCTTCTTGGATTTTTAGGCAACTTTTAAAAATGATACTTTGTAATAGATGGGGTAAATGATTGTGTTAAGTGTACAAAGACATTGCTTCTCAATCTAAACAGTACTGGAGATGTTTCTAGTCTGAAGCTTCTGAAATTGTCCAACCCTACTTCCAGAAGTAAGTGAGAGGAATCAAGAACTCGGGTGCAGGGTGGGGTGAGGGGAATGGCAAAGAGCAAGGGGGTCAGTTGCCTCTCTGGGGACCCATCCCCCCAACATCTTCCTATTGACTCAGCCCCCTGATGACTGCTCAGCCGTGGCTTACCTGTTCTGAATGTCCAGATTCCCTTATGTTGTTTTTTTCTGGCAGACCATACCGGTCTAGACCAGAGGCGGGCTGTATCAAAGACAAAAATTATTCAGTGATACTTGTTTGTTTTTGTTTTTGTTGTTTTTGAAACGGAGTCTCGCTCTGTTGCCCAAGTTGGAGTACAGTGGCCCGATCTCCACTTACTGCAACCTCCATCTCCTGGGTTCAAGCAATTCTTCTGTCTCAGTCTCCCGAGTAGCTGGGACTACAGATGCGTGCCACCACATCCAGCTAATTTTGTATTTTTTAGCAGAGACAGGGTTTCACCATGTTGGCCAGGCTGGTCTTGAACTTCTGACCTCATGATCTGCCTGCCTCAGATTCCCAAAGTGCTGAGATTACAGGTGTGAGCCACCATGCCCATCCTCAATGATACTTGTTAAAGAACAGTATGGAAGACTTTATTTAGGACCATCTCCATAGGTCCAGGGACCTACTGCAGTGGGGTCTTGCAGTGGAGAAGTGACAGTAGGGACAAGTGGGAATTTACAGCCAAGTATCAGGGCAGGGTCTATGGATGAAAAATTGCCAAGAAAAACTTCAGGCATAGGGGGGACTATGCCTCAACCGATCTAACAGGATTCTTGCTTGGGACAGGGACAGGCTAAAGTGATCAGATATCACCTGGGGGATGATGGAGGATGAGGACTCTGATCAGATAGGGAGCGTGACCAGCTATCGAGGATGGAGGGCTCTCGTTAAATTGACTTAGCAGGAATTCTTTTGCTAAAACTGCATTTTTACAAGGAAATGCACAGATGGGCTCAGCAGAAGATTCTGAAGTCTGAGTAAAGTTTGGCCAAGCAAAGGATCTTTGCCAGGTGGCAATCGCTGGTCACATGGAAGGCCCTTTACAGGCTTTCAGAATCCCTTGATTCAGATACAGGTTGCTTTCTGATACCTACATCCTCTTTTAAGACAGTATCTCTTTATAGTTATAAATCACTTACTGCTACTATATAATGTATATAATTAGTTATAGTGATAACATATGCTCATTTTTTTCCAATAATAAAAGCAATACATGGTCATTTATCCCATTTCAACATCATAGATATGTATGAAACAGAAAATGAGAGACCCCTGCAATAGTCTCTAAGCCCCTCTCCCTCTGATGCACAAGCATGCACACCCTGGAAAATACTGCCAAGAACGCGGAACACAATACACTTTCAAACCATTTCATTCTCCTCAGGGAGGCATGTGTGAGTGGTGACTATTCAATTTGCCAGAATGAACCTGAAATTCCAAACCAGAACCAACAGTTTCTGACCAGCTTCAGAGTACTGAATTTTTTTTTTTTTTTTTTTGAGTTGGAATCTTGCTCTGTCACCCAGGCTGGAGTACAGTGGCATGATCTTGGCTCACTGCAACCTCTGCCTCCTGGGTTCAAGTGATTCTTCTGCCTCAGCCTCCCAAGTAGCTGGGATTACCGGTGCCTACCACCACACCCAGCTAAATTTTGTATTTTTAGTAGACGGGGTATCCCCATCTTGGCCAGGCTAGTCTCGAACTCCTGACCTTGTGATCTGCCTGCCTCAGCCTCCCAAAGTGCTGGGATTATAGGCATGAGCCACCACATCTGGCCTCAGAATACTGAATTTTTAAGTAATGTTTAATTTAAAAAATTACTTTAAGCAATATCTAATTTAATTTTTAACTCATTTTTAATTTAATGCTAATTTTTATAATACTTATTTTTACCTTGGTGAAGGTGATTTGACTCTTAGATTTGCTTTAAAATAATGGGGTGGGGGCAGGGCAGGTATAGTGGGAACGAGATGGGCCATGAATTGATCACTGTTGAATTGGATTGAATCTGGGTGAAGGACCCATGGAAGTTTATTAGACTATTCTCTCTTTGTACGCTTAACATTTTCCATAAAACAAGTGCAGAATAAGTATATAAACCAAGATAAATCAAGCGTTTTAAATTTAAAAAGCTTACATTATGAAAAACAAGTGGCTGAGGCTGGGCAAGGTAGCTCCCACTTGTAATCCCAGCCCTTTGAGAGGCTGAGGTGGGAGGATCCACTTGAAGCCAGGAGTTCAAGGCCAGCCTGGGCAACATGGTGAAGCCCCATCTCTACCAAAAATACAGAAATTAGCCAGGTACGGTGGTGTGTGCTTGGAGTCCCAGCTACTCAGGAGGCTGAGGTGGGAGGTTTACTTGAACCTGGGAGGTGGAGGTTGCAGACAGCTGTGATCATGCCACTGTGCTCCCATCTGGATGACAGAGCAAGACTGTTTCAAAAAATAGGAAAAAATAAATAATAAATAAAACCAAGTGGCCGCTGCTAGTCTGGGAGGCAGAGCTGTTGGAGCTGTTCTCTGCTCGCCCAGCCCCTGTGCCACGTTTTTACTTGGCTTTCCAGAGAGCGAAGGAGCATTTTCCAGATTCTCTGTGGGCTCTGTTTGGGCCAGCAGCTTTGGCTCAGCTCTGCTCATGCCCTTTTGGCTCTGTGAGAGGAAGAAGAGAAGAGAAAGAGGGAAGGTGGGACTGGGGGCAGTTGGTCAGATTGACCATGAACAACTCCCTCCCTCCCTCTGGACTCAGTTTCCCTATTTGTCAAATGAGGGGACTGGCAGAGAGAACTGCAAGATCCCCTCCGCCCTCAGATACCCCATCTCATGGTAGCTGTTTCCTTTCACAGTCTGGTGGCACAGGATGACCCCCTGCGTCACAGCCTCAGCAAGCTGCAGAATGAGTCCCCACAGCCCTTCATGGGGACAGGAAAGGTCAGTGAGTCACATGAGTATGGGAAGCCCCTTCCTCCCTGGCCCAGGCAGATGCAGACAGAGAAGCCTGTTGGAGGCTGGGCTGGAGGGGGCAGGAAGCCAGGGTCTGGATGGAGAGTGGAGAGTCCCAGACCCGGGGTGTTGTGGGGAACAGGTGGGAATGAGGAAGGACTTTGGGAAACTGGGACAACCCTGGCGGTTGGGAGTGGTGGCCCTCAAGGTTCACTGGCACCCAGCTTCTATCCCATGGGTTCCTTCCTATTCTAGAGGTGGGCAGAGAAACGGGTAGGAGTGGGAGAGAGGGTGGCTTTTATGTCCTTACATGCTTCCAGGGAAGGAAGGCAGTGGTGCCTTTCTGTTCTCAGTGGTATTGGCTCTGACAGTCATCCTCCTCACCTCTAACTTACCTCCTCCAGCAGTTCCTCTGAAGAAGCATTTGGCAGGGCCGTGGGTGAGGAGAGGAGCCTGGCCAGTGGCCCAGGCACCTGGAGCTCTTAGCAGGCACTGGCCCAGGTGGCCCAGGTGCTGGGAACACAGGAGGGATATGGAGGGACACCCTGCCCTTTGTGGCCACCCACAGATCCTCCCCGACTCCAAGACAAGGAAGGACCTGGGGTCTGGGAGAGACCTGGGAGAAAATCCTGTTTTTCTCCCCCTCACAGAAGTCTCCAGAATCCCTGGTCAAGCTGGATGCAACCCTATCGTCCTGCCCACGGCACGTGAGGATCAAAAACTGGGGTAGCGGGATGACTTTCCAAGACACACTTCACCACAAGGCCAAAGGGGTAAGTCTGGGGCTTCAGGGAGAACCACCTTTGTCCCAAGCTGGCAAAGCTGCCTGGGCTTTGTGGATCAAACAGGTGTGCCCCTGGGCAAATCAATCATCTGCTTGGGCGAAGGGGTCTGGGAACAGTGACATTCCCCACAGGTGACAGTAGGAAGTAAGGGATGCAGCTCCCTGTTAACCACCCTGGCAGATAATGGGTAATCCAGAAGGTCAAGTTAATGATTGCAGAGACAATTCCTGTCTTTGTCAGACAGATTTCAGGATACTGTCAGGGAGAATTTTCTATCAGAACAGCTTAGTGCTGGATTATATTACATCAGGAGGTAGAGAGCTCCCTGTCACTGGAAGGAATTAAGTGCAATTTGATAGACTGCAGAGGGATTCAAGAATCCAGTGAGTGGTTGGACTAAATGTCTTTGAAGGCTTCTTTCCGTCATCTACGGTTTTTATTCTAACTTCAGGATACATTCTATGGTTGTAAAGTGGGAAAGATTGACAGTTTCAAGACCATGAAAGCAAAATGATTTCCCATATGCCCCCAAAACCACCACAGTTAACATTCGGGTGTACTTCATTCCCGTGTGTGTGTGTGTCCCATTCGATGTCTAATTTCAGTTTGTTTTGGCCAAATATCAATATGTAGTTCTCATAGGAGCCACATTGGATTGATTTTGCTGCGGATGTGGGGCTGGCTGGGGAACGGGGCAGGAGACTGAACCCAGAGTAGGGGGACAAACCTGGCTCATACCCACTGGGGTTTAGCCAGTGGTTGAGAGGAGATCTAGGTGGGAGAAAGCCAGGTGGACTCCAAGGAGGAGGTGCCACAGGGGTGGAGAGGAGGCGCAGGGAGCTGGGGCAGCCAAAGAGGAGCCAGGTGGCCAGGAGAGCTGGCCCCAGAGGAGGGTGGCAGGAGGCCGAATGGCCCACCCTCACCACCTGCCCCTCTCTTTCCAGATTTTGACTTGCAGGTCTAAATCTTGCCTGGGGTCTATTATGACTCCCAAAAGTTTGACCAGAGGACCCAGGGACAAGCCTACCCCTCCAGACGAGCTCCTACCTCAAGCTATCGAATTTGTCAACCAATATTACGGCTCCTTCAAAGAGTAAGGCTTCCTCCTGCAGGGCCGCTGCCTCGACCTTTCCCCCTGCTCTCCTGTCTCCACCCATCGCCCTCTGATCCCAGCTAGATCCCTTTCCCTCCCAGATTTGCGCTGTTAAATCACTATGGTTTTGCAGGGTGAGAATCATAGTTTTCTAGGGGAGAAGACTGTGGAGCAGGTTCTCATAGTTGTGGGATAAAGTTATGCACAGGGACACTGGTGAAAAGTGACTGAATTTAAATCCTGGCTCACACATTAACCACTAAGGAGTCCTTGGGAAATCGATTTACCCTCTCTGTGTCTCAACGTCCTCATCACATAAATGGCAAAAACCGCAGCTACTTTTGCACCAATCTCATATAAAATGGGGAGAATCATAGAAGGTGGCTCATGGGATTTTTATGAGGATTCAGTAAGTCCAGAACAGCATCCTGACACACAGAGACCTTGATTATGAATTAATATGGACCCTTTAATTATGAAATGTTGGCTGGGCGCGGTTGCTCACACCTGTAATCCCAGCACTTTGGGAGGCTGAGGCAGGAGAATTGCATGAACCTGGGAGGTGGAGGTTGCAAATGAACTACGATTGCGCCACTGCACTCCAGCCCTGGCGACAGTGTGAGACTCCATCTCAAAAAAAAAAAAAAAAAAAATGTTTGAGACAGAAAGGATCTCTGAGACCACCTAGTCAGGCTCCTACTCCTACAGGTGTGAACACAGAAGCTGGTGACTTACCTGAAGTTACAGCATTCCAGCTAGAAGCCAGGCCACCTGACTAGGAGAGTGCAGGCCATTGCTCTTTGCCCTGACCCTGGCAGGGTTCTACATGCCTAGAGTTCTTTTTTTTGCTACCCAGTGAGGCTTCCCTGAGGGCCGTGCTAGACAGCCTTCATTTCTGCGGTCGATTGGTCATTCGATTGACAGACACACATCAAACACTGGGTATGCCCCAGCCTTGTGTCAGACACTGGAATACAAAGATTTTTAATTGTCATTTGCCAATTTTATTGCCAACGTATACAATTTTAATCATTCAAAGAGAGGTTGTATAGCATTGTGGCCTTCCCAGGTTCAAATCCTAGCTGTGCCTCTTACAAGCTGAGTAACTGGGCAAGGTACTTTGCCTCTCTGTGCCTTGATTTTCTTACCTGAACATGGTGATGAGAATGGACCCACCTTGCAGGAGGCAGGTGATTTGCAGGAGTTTATAAAGCATAGAAAGAGCTAGGAACGATGCCTAGCCCTTAGCAAGCAGTACGTAAGTATTAGTTGTTATTATGTTTTTAGAACACTGTGTTGTCCACATAAAATATATGGCTATGTAATTCAGGCCCCTTTAAAAGTCTAAGATAAAAATGCACAAAGAGATTGTAAGAAAGAATATCTGAAGGAAATGGATTGTTTTCTAGGCTGGGGGGGTGGGGCGTGGCTCTGGGGACAGAGCCTCACACAACACCGCATCACATGAAGTGGGCCACAGACGTGTATCTGGGACTCCCTGGAGGAACGACTGGCTTCTGGTGGTACCACCTACATTTTTCTTTTTCTTTTTCTTTTTTTTTTTTTTTTTAACACCTAGACCATTTCTCAGGATTCTTTTCTTCTTTTTTTTTTTGAGACAGGGTCTTGCTCTATCTCCCAGGCTGGAGTGCAGTGGCACAATCTCTGCTCACTGCAGTCTCGATCTCCTGGATCTAGTGATCCTCTTGCCTCAGCTTCCTGAGGAGCTGGGACCACAGGTGTGCACCACAATGCCCAGCTAATTTTTTAAGTTTTTAGTCACTATGTTGCTCAGCTCAAACTCCTGAGCTCAAGCAATCCTCCCGCTTCAGCCTCCCAAAGTGCTGGGATTTCGGGTGTGTGCCACTGTGTCTGGCCCACCTCCAGCTTTCTACAACCCTAGAATGTCTGAGCTGGGAGGGACCTTGAGTCTTCAGAAAAGGCCCTTATCTTCCAGGGTCAGTGGTCCTCAACCCTAGCTGTATAGAAGACTCACCTGGAGAGCCTGCAAAATTCTGGTGCCAGGGTCCCTTGAGCGGATCTGGGGAGGTGAGGATGAGGCGGACATTTGTGTTCTTCAAAAGCTCCCAGGCAATTCTTATGTGCATCCTAGACTGAGCACCCTGTGAGGGGCCGCCTGCTTCATGACTACAAACTTCACCATCCTTGGTCCAAGCTCAGTTAATTAATGAGTCTTTTGGGGTCCAGGGATTTTCCTGGATGGGTTTCTTCAGGCCACAGTAGTTACCTTATTTATGTATTTATTTATTTAGCACAAAGCACGTGTGCAGCACAACTCTATGAGACTGGTATTATTATTATCCTCATCTTACAGACAAGGCAAGTCCACAGAGGACATATACCTTGCTCAAAGTCACACCCTCTGAAGCACCACAGTGGGGATTTGAACCCAGGCAGCTGGCGCCTGAGGCCTTGCTTTTCCCGTCAATGCTCTAGTACCTGGTGTGTGGCCTCACAGGTTCCCAACTCTATTCCAGACCTGGGAGGCCTTACTGTTGTGTGGAAGGCAATCAGGCAGGTGTTCGGAAGCCCAGGGGGGTGACAGAGTCAGGGGTTGATGGTGCTGGAACCCATTTGCTTCTCACAGAGGAAAGTCACATTTCTCCAAGTCACAAGTACATACCTCGAACCCCTGCTCTCCCCAACCAAGAGATCCTGGGGCCGTGGACAGGGAATGGCAGCCTCTCCTCACAAGGACCATAGCAGCCTAAGACACGACCAGCGGAGTGGGTTCAGTGGCCTTTTGTAGCTGAAGAATCATAGCATATTTAGAGATTGTGACTTGCTGAATGTAACATTGAAATCTGTTCACTGATAAAAGCCACTCTTTTTTCAGAGCTCATAGACATAGCATTTCTAATGCCTTAGAAACATAACTATATGAAAATGGTCATCACATCTAAAACTCTGAAGAAATTGGACATGAATGTAAAAAATAATCCTTTCTTGCATATGTGTGTGCTGACCACCATGTGTGTTGGCGGCATGGGTATCATGGTGACCATTACTGTTTCTGTGCTCGGGTGCAGAGGGGGGAATATTGCTGGAAGCTTTGTTTGGGCGGGGAGGTCTCCCAGTAGCGGGGCGGTTCCAGCCTCACCCGGCAGCTCCTTAGAGCAGGGATGTCCTTGGGGATAAATATCACCGAATGTTTTGTCTTTGTGCATATTTTTCTCTAATCAAGGAAAAGTTGTCGAGACACTCTTCATCCACAGAAAGGCCATTTTGTTCGGAGTTACCCACTGTCCTTAATCAGGAGTTCATTCTTTAAATAGCTTTGTTGCTGTTTCAAAAGGCTTTGGCACTGATTGGAAATCTCAAGGTTGTTGTTGTTTGTGGTGTGTGTGTGTGTGTTTCAAAGCCTTTCTGACTGAGTCCCTCCCTTTGGGATATTTTTGAAGTCTGGGAGGGGAGGAAAGAAGCAAGTGTAGAATTGCAGATGGAGTGACTGAGTGAGCAGTTCCGAGGCTGAGGAACAGCACGGGTTAGAGAGACTATGACATCGGACCACACCATGTGCAGCTCCTTTCTGGGCAGGCCCTGGGACCTTGCAGGCTGAGCTCCAACAGCCAGGTCCCAGTCCTGGCCTGACCAGGCTCCTGAGAAAGGGTGGGCAGGCCCTCAGCATCCCTGGGCTTACAACGCCCACTAGGGTGGAAGGTGGAAAGTCACATTGCCAACAGTTAAGAACCTGGGCCTGGCATCACGGTGACCTGGGTCTGAACCCTGACTTTGCTCTTTCTTGTACTTATATTTCCAGGCCTAGTACTTAACCTCCTAGACCCATGAGACTCTTGGCTATAAAACAGATGCAAGGCCGGGTGCAGTGGCTCATGCCTGTAAACCCAGCACTTTGGGAGGCCGAGGCAGGTGGATTGCCTGAGCTCAGGAGATTGAGACCAGCCTGGGCAACACAGTGAAAGCCCATCTCTACTAAAAAATACAAAAAAAAAAAAAAATTAGCCAGGTATGGTGGTATATGCATGTAGTCCCAGCTACTCAGGAGGCTGAGGCAGGAGAATTGCTTGAACCTGGGAGATGGAGGTTGCAGTGAGCTGAGATTGTGCTACTGCACTCCAGCCTGGGTGACAGAGGGACACTCTGTCTCAAAATAAAAAAAGATGCAAAAGATGCAAAAATACCTCCCTCCCAGACTCAGTGAGACCCTGCCTACGAGTTGCTTCACCCAGTGCCTGACTCATGTGGGTACCAAGTACACCAGAGCTGCCTCGGAGGGACTGGCTCGTCATCTCTCAGTCATGGCAAGGCAGGAGGGCACTCTCCTGACCAATGGAGAGGCGGGATGTTGCTAGGGCTAGATGGGACACTCCTCCGAGGCTCTTAAGTGTCTGAAAAGGATTGCACCCCTTACTGAGATGAAAATGATTAAGGAAAAAAGCACCTGAAAAGAAGCAGTGTTCGAGTAGACTCAGCCCCTGCTAAGTAATCTTTGCAGAACTCAGTGTAAAAATGAAAATGTGGGCTCCTTAGTTTAAGATGATGAAGAATTTCAAGATGGGGACAAGAGCATGAAGCATGGGCACTTCTAGGCTGGGTGTGGGATCCCCAAAGCCAGCCCTGGAGGGAGCTGTCTCTGGTGAGAGGCATCTTGCCCTTCTGATGTCCTATTTCAGCTCCTGCTTCTGTAGATTGAATTAATCCCCATGTAAGGCCATCTCATTGTTGATCTTCCTGCTGTCTTCCTGTCCCCCAGGGCAAAAATAGAGGAACATCTGGCCAGGGTGGAAGCAGTAACAAAGGAGATAGAAACAACAGGAACCTACCAACTGACGGGAGATGAGCTCATCTTCGCCACCAAGCAGGCCTGGCGCAATGCCCCGCGCTGCATCGGGAGGATCCAGTGGTCCAACCTGCAGGTGAACTTCCTGAGACCCAAGCGGGAGAGAGCTGGAGGTGGCCAGGCCCTGAGAAGATGGCTTGGAGCAGCCACACACAGCTGTGCCCAGACCTCCCAGGACCGAAGCCACAGCCCCAGGTCCTCCCTCACCTTCCTGAATGTTGCGATGGGGGCCCTAGGGTCCTCCTCTAGAAGCTGTGAATCCTGTTTCAGCACCAGGGTTTCTAGCTGTGCCCGCACTTCTCTGTTGTGTTAAATTCGGGAGACTAAACGCCATCAACAAATTAAACCACCACCTTGTTTTTGTTACTCTTGAGGCCGTGGTGCTGCAAGAGATGTAGTTTTCCTCGGATGTTTGAACTCTTGGCTCCAAGAGAACATTTATTTAGCCTAGCCTCCTAGTCATCCTTTTGTTGGAGAATCGTTGGTTGCAGGATAATATCAAAAGCACTTGAACAGAGAAAGTGATTAGAACTGCCAGTGAAACCGACTGGCTGTGTAATACGTGTTGCTGTGGCAAAGGACCTAGCCTGGGGCTGTGGGAATCCTGATTCATGGTGCTTTCAAGTCAGGTTTTTTTGGAATTCTGGCTTTGCTGAGAAATTTTCTTGGAATTCTGGCTTTGCTGGGGTCTTCTGAGTGGGGTTGCCTGTGCGCCCCCAGAGGGCAGCCATGAGATGAGAGTGGTGGGTGCGGACGAGAGGATGCACTCTCGTGAGTGGTGTTGAGTCCCAGTTGGCTTCTGATCAGCCTCAAAGCCTCTGTCTGCCCAGTCTTTGATGGGCATGGTCTGGGTGGGCTGTTGCAGGTCTTCGACGCCCGCAGCTGTTCCACCGCCCGGGAGATGTTTGAACACATCTGTAGACACCTGCGTTACTCCACCAACAACGGCAACATCAGGTTGGCGCACCTTTCCCAGGGCTGTGGAGGGGCTCGCTGTACTTGAGAATCTCAGCCAAAAGACTGCTGGGTCTAGGGGAGGCATCTCCAGCTCCAGGAGAAACCAGGGAGAAAGAAACAAGAGAAAGACTCTGGCTTCTTCAGGGACCTCCAGTAGTGAGCCCAGCCCCTGTGAGCTCAGTTCCCATACGCAGCCCATGCCCTTGGTTTCCTTCTGACCTGGAGCCGTTTGGAGGGGATGGAGGATCTTTGAGAAGTAACTGCTTCACTATTCAGGGTTGGGGCTCCCCATTTTTAGAAGGGATAGTAGGTTGCCTTCCTCTCCCAACCAAATAGGTCAAAGCTAATAGGACTGAACAGCCCATTCGGTGATTCATTAATCTTTTTTGTTCAGCAAGCACTCAATGCCCACCTAATGCAACCCAATACAGGACTAGGCTGGGGGAGCAGGGGGGAGAGGGGGCATGGGGGGTAGGAGGCAGAGTGACTAGGACCCTAAGACACTGTTCCAGCTCCCATGAACCTATGACCTGCACTAGACAAGCATCCAGCTAACTCGACTGTAAGGAGGGAGACATGCAGCAAGCGAAAGACTGCGGGAGGGCGGCTAACCCTGCCTGGCGGATGGGAAGGCCCCCTTGAGGGGGTGGGCCCTGCCACTCAAGGGAGGGCAGGAGGAGAGGGCGTGTCGGGAGGCCAGCTCAATCAGCTCGGGATCAGGGGCTGCAGAGCAGGTATGGTGGACGATGGACGGGGAGGTAGGGCCAGTGCAGGATGATTGGGCCCCCTCCAGGGCCAAGTGATAAACAGCACTGTTCCTATCCCTGGAAGGTCGGCCATTACCGTGTTCCCCCAGCGGAGTGATGGCAAGCACGACTTCCGGGTGTGGAACGCTCAGCTCATCCGCTACGCCGGCTACCAGATGCCCGATGGCAGCATCAGAGGGGACCCTGCCAACGTGGAATTCACTCAGGTACCCAGCCCAGCCTCAGCCCCCAGCCCTTGGGGCAGGGAGCCCTGTGGTGAGCGAGTGACGGAGTGGAGCCCAGAGGAGACATGGTGCCCAGGCTTGCAGATTCACGGGGCCTGTCTTGTTCCCCAGCTGTGCATCGACCTGGGCTGGAAGCCCAAGTACGGCCGCTTCGATGTGGTGCCCCTGGTCCTGCAGGCCAATGGCCGAGACCCTGAGCTCTTCGAAATCCCACCTGACCTTGTGCTTGAGGTGGCCATGGAACATCCCAAGTAAGAGGGCTGAGGGTGCTGGGGGCAGGGGTTGAGGGTGCTGGGGGCAGGGCAGAGGGTGCTGAAAGCAGGGGTGAGGGTGCTGGGAGCAGGGGCTGAGGGTGCTGGGGGCAGGGCCGAGGGTGCTGAAAGCAGGGGTGAGGGTGCTGGGGGCAGGGGTGTGGGTGCTGGGGGCAGGGGTGAGGGTGCTGAAAGCAGGGGTGAGGGTGCTGGGGGCAGGGGTGAGGGTGCTGGGGGCAGGGGTGAGGGTGCTGGGGGCAGGGGCTGAGGGTGCTGGGGGCAGGGCCGAGGGTGCTGGGGGCAGGGGTGAGGGTGCTGGGGGCAGGGCCGAGGGTGCTGGGGGCAGGGGCTGAGGGTGCTGGGGGCAGGGCTGAGGGTGCTGGGGGCAGGGGCTGAGGGTGCTGGGGGCAGGGGCTGAGGGTGCTGGGGGCAGGGCTGAGGGTGCTGGGGGCAGGGGCTGAGGGTGCTGGGGGAAGGGCCGAGGGTGCTGGGGGCAGGGCCGAGGGTGCTGAAAGCAGGGGTGGGGGTGCTGGGGGCAGGGGCTGAGGGTGCTGGCGTGGGGACAAGTCCACATACAGCCCTTCTCTGACCCTAAGTGAGGCTCCAGCCCCCAGCCCCCAGCCCCCTCCCTGTACCTCTTCTAAAGCCCAGCCAGCACTGGGCAACACTCAGGGGACTGGCTTTTAAGGACTCGTTTGTCACTGTTAAATTCTGTAGCAATTCTGCATGGGCATCTTGGACCTCAGGCTTAGGCAAACGTGTTGCTTCTGGGGGGAAGCAGAGGCGTAGGCGGTTGGGGCCCCAGGAGCTTAGGAAGCAGTGGCTGCAGGAGAGGAATGCAGTGAGATTCTTGAAAGGAGCAGCCCAGGCCTCTTCTGCTCTCCTGCCAATGCTCTTAGCGGTCCCTCCCCTGGCTGTGGGGACATACAGGGCTCCAGTGACTTCAAGAGCCCCACCGGCCCAGCCCCTGCTCTAGGAGGTTCTCATAATTGCAAAAATACCTCTGCGTATTGAGATTCACTGTCTAGCAGGCATTGGGCTGAGCTCTTCTTCCTGGCCCTTGAATGAACTGAGTTCAGTCCCAACTCACGGCCTTTGCACGCCATTTCTTCTGCCTGACATGACCTTTTCTTGGAATTTTTCTGCGCTCATTTCTTCTTATCAAAGGGTATTTCCTATAATGTCACCTCCTCTGAGAAGGCTCGCTGACTACTCAAGCTAGAGGAGGCCCTCTTACCCTCAGTCTCACACGTTATCTTGTTTTTATTTCTTATGTATTTGTTTACCTGTTTATAATCATCTAGAGTCTAGACATTACACTATAAGCTCCTTGAGAGTGGAGCTCTTTTCTTTTACCAATATATACCCAACAGCCAGCAGGATGCCTGGCACATAGTAGGTGCTCAGTTATAAATATTTGTGGAATACATGAATATGCAAATGAGTGCTATTACCAACTTTATAATAATTCCATGAATTTGGTGCTATGATTTCTCTTCTGATGATGGGGATGCAGAGGCTCAGAGAGGCTAAAAATCATCCCAAGGTCACACTGCTAGTCAGTGGTGAGGCAGAACTTGAACCCCAGCTTTCTGACACTGGAGTCCTTAATTGCTCTGTTGTGTATTTATCCCAGAGCCTGGCGCATACTTGATGTTTAACATATATTTGCATGAATGAATGAATGCATAATTTAGTAAATGGCACCCAGTGTGTCCAATACATCTCTCTGGCTAGGATGAAAATCAACTCTTGGAAAGGAGTTTCCTTGGTTGACTCTTTTTCTGAAGGTTTTTTCTTGGTGGGCAGGTGGTGGGGACAGTGGGAGGGCAACAGTGCAGCCCCCACGACCAGACATGATGGTTCACACCTGTAATTCCAGCACTTTAGGAGGCTGAGGCAGGAGGATTGCTTGAGGCCAGTAGTTTGAGACCAGCCCAGGCAACATAGTGAGACTTAGTCTAAAAAAAAAAAAAAAAAAAAAAAAAAGAAGAAGAAAGAAAAAATTAATTGAGCCACCAGGTGGCACATGCCTGTAGTTTTAGCTACTTGGGAGGCTGAGGCAGGAGGATCACTTGAGTCCAGAAGTTAAAGGCTGCGGTGAGTTCTGATGTGCCACTGCACTGCAACATGAGCAACAGAGCAAGACCAAGTCTCAAAAAAAAAAAAAGTTAAATGTTTCTGCCTTTCCCCCAGGTACGAGTGGTTTCGGGAGCTGGAGCTAAAGTGGTATGCCCTGCCTGCAGTGGCCAACATGCTACTTGAGGTGGGCGGCCTGGAGTTCCCGGGGTGCCCCTTCAATGGCTGGTACATGGGCACAGAGATCGGAGTCCGGGACTTCTGTGACGTCCAGCGCTACAACATCCTGGAGGTAACACAGGCAGCCCCTCTGGCTGGCTGGAGGTGTGGGCCTGGGGGTGGCTCCAAGACTGACTCTCCCACGTCACTCTGCCTCTGTAGGAAGTGGGCAGGAGAATGGGCTTGGAAACGCACAAGCTGGCTTCGCTCTGGAAAGACCAGGCTGTCGTTGAGATCAACATTGCTGTGCTCCATAGTTTCCAGGTACGTCTGGAGTTTTGTGAGTCTGAAGACTTTTCGGTTAGAAGGTCATCTGATCCAGAGACTTGTGTGATGCTGGATTTCCCCTCCAACATCAGTCATTCGTGCATGCCTGCATCAGACAAGTGGGAAGACCCAGTTAGTGCCAGGCATGGTGCTGGGATACAGAGATAAGTCAGCGGCTTGCTCACTCTAGACGTCTAGCTACAGGCAGCTCCTCACCTCCCAAGACTGTTCAGTCCCTGCCCTTGAACACTGAATCCTGTCCTCTCTCAATCGCTCGGGGACTTTACTCCCGAAAATTTCCCTCTTCTCCCTCCGTATCATCAGTGTCTTTCTCTCTGCCGAGTCATTCCCAGCAGTGTTCAGACAGGCTCTCCTAGCCCCATCTCAAAGCAATAAATGAATAGCTAACCACATAACTCCTCCCAAACCTCAGGCTCCCTCCAGCCTCTGCTCCATGTTTCTGCTCCTTTCTACAGCAAAACTGTGTGGAGATCTCACCGTGCTTCCTCATCCGCCCGCTGCTCCAGTCTGGCTTTTGCTCCCTGCCACTCCTCTGGTCACGCTGGAATTCGTCCCGTTATTCCCACCACAGGGAAAATCATCCCCTGGCTGGCCCCTTCCCTTCACGCAGGTCTCAATGGCCACCTCCTTAAAGAAGCCCTCCCTGACCATGGCATGTAAATTGACACCCTCACCCCACTGCCAACCTATCTCTCTGTGCTAGTCTTTTAACCATTCTGTTTTTCTTCGTAAGACTTCATCATACAGATCCTGGCATTATATAGGACATTGACTTTCTTTTTTCTTTTCTTTCTTTTTTTTTTTTGTTTTTGAGACGTCATCTCACTTGGTCACCCAGGCTGGAGTGCAGTGGTATGATCACAGCAGCCTTCACCACCCAGGCTCAGGTGATCCTCCCACCTTAGCCTGCTGAGTAGCTGGGACTACAGGTGCACACCACGCTTGCCTAATCTATGTATTTTTTACTGAGATGGGGTTTTTCCATTTTGGCCAGGTTGGTCCTGAACTTCTGCCTCAGCCTCCCAAAGTGCTGGGATTACAGGCATGAGCCGGCTTGTTTTCTTTATCGTTTTGTTTCCCCCACTAGTATATAAGCTCTGAGGGACAGGGACCTTGTCTCTCTGTTTGATGCTGCACCTCTAGCCTAGAAGAGTGTCTGGCACACAGTAGGTGTTAAAATAATATGTCTTGGAAGAATGAACAATGAGAGCCACATCCACGTTCTGGCCTGGCACTGGGTCTTCAGTCCTTGTCCGATGCCTGCATGAATGGGTGATGCTGGGAGAGACTGATGAGCTGTGGCTGCTCTTGCTTGCTGTGTGAGAGTGATGACGGCCTCCACCTCCTCTTAAGCCCACACACCTGGTAGGCTCCTGTGTGGGGCTGAGTCCTCTGGCCCATCTGCTGCTCTTACTCATATAAACACTTCCCTTCCCTGTGGGAAGGAGGCCTGGGATGCTACATCCTAGAAGATACTACTTAAGAAGCCACAGCCATTGCCATGAAGCTGACAGACACCCTGGAGACCCCACCACTGGGCAGTCATTCATTCTTTCAGCAACATTTTACACAGCATTTGCCTGGTGCCGGGTACTAGGCTGGGCCAAGGATGTGAGTGGTGAGCAGACCACAGATGAGCACACACCGTTCCCCACAGCTGGGTCACCCTGTAGCAGATCTCGCCTGTGCTTGACGGGGGAGGGGAAGATGGAACAGGAAGATCCCCCCGCCCCGATGTCTCCGGAAGGGCTGGCCTCACCCCACACATCCTGACTCCTGGGGACTCCCAGAATCAGCCCTGATGCTGGCAGGATGTGGATGCGTCCCAAAAAATCCGTGAGCCTCAGCTGTCTCCTGACTGTGGCTGACTGTGTCCTTCCATTGCCTGAGCGTCTCCAGGATTTCCTCACCACCCTCCTTCAGGGTAAACTTCAGAAGTTGGCCCAGTTTCCTCCTCTGTAAAATGGGGATAGTTACAGTGCCTCCCTCACCTGGTGATTGTAAGAGTTAAGTAAAAGCATATGCAAAATGTTTAGCTGTCCCGCCCAGCCCACAGGGAATAGTCAGTACACAATGATTTTCTTACTATTTATTATGTTGTCATCACAATCGTGGCAACCACTGAGATTTTTTTTTTTGGAGATGGAATCTCCCTCTGTCACCCAGGCTGGAGTGCAGTGGCGTGATCTTGGCTCACTGCAACCTCCTAGGTTCAAGCAATTCTCCTGCCTCAGCCTCCTGAGTAGCTGGGATTACAGGATTGTGTCACCACAGTCAGCTAATTTTTGTAGTTTTAGTAGAGATAGGGTTTCACCGTGTTGGCCAGGCTGGTCTTGAACACCTGGCCTCAAGTGATCCACCTGACTTGGCCTCCCAAAATGGTGGGATTACAGGTGTGAGCCACTGCACCCGATCCCTAGCTACCATTGAGCTTAGAATTGGTCTGGCACCCAGGAGTCACTGTGTCTTGGAAGAATAAGTGAATGAGAGCCCACATCCATACGAGTGGTAGCTGGGCTTTTATATACACATATGTAACTGACATATTTCTGTATAATTTTACAAGGCATGGCTGGACTTCCAGGCCTGATCCCAGGTGGGTCCTCTCGTGCTTTCCTGCCTTGACTTATGCAGTGCCCTCCACCCCCAACCAACTTGTACCCCTCTCACAAGACTCCCTCCTCTCAGGGGCTACTCCTGAGATTCCCAAGCCTTGGGCCTCTGTCTGGCATTGGATCCTCTCTGCCTTCCCAGCACCTTTGCCTGCCTCAATCAGAGTTTCTAGCAGGCCTTGTGAAAATGACTGATTTTCCTCGGCTCCCCAGTTAGACTAGAATCGAATGCAGAGAAGGGATTGTCTTTCCCTTCGATAACGCTGATGCCTTATGCAGTGCCTGGCAGGCGGAAATTGTGAGAGCAGCTAACATTGATTCGGCACTTACTCTCTTTTGCTTATTCCAGTTTATTGCATCCTTTCAACAACCTCATGATGTAGGAACGTTTTTTTTTGGAAACAAAGTCTTGCTCTGTCACCCGTGCAGTGGCGCGATCATGCAGCCTCGACCCCCTGGGCTCAAGCAATGCTCCTACCACATCAGCCTCCCATGTATCTGAGAGGGCGTGTGCCACCACACCTGGCTAATTTTTAAACTGTTATAGCGACAGGATCTCACCATGTTTCCCAGGCTGATTTCAAACTCCTGGGCTCAAGCGATCCTCCCAAAGTGCTAGGATTGCAGGTATGAGCCACTGCATCTGGCCATTATAGGAATTCTTATCCTTCCAATTTGACAGATGAGGAAACTGAAGCTGAGGGAGATTAAAGAACTGATAGCTCAAGGTCACATGGCGAATAAGAAGCCAGAGTTTAAACCACTATGTTAAAGAAATTGCTCTTGACTGAATGTCTCTTGACTGAATAGAGGCCTGTGGCTGCCTCACTGGACCATTCCATGGGGTTAGACCCCACAGCTCATCATTTCAGACTGTGAGTGATTCACCTCCCATATGCTGCGGTTCTCCTAATGCTTCAGACCTCCCCACGGAGGGGTCTGGCTCCTTCTTGGCTGAGGAGGCTACAACCCCAGGGAAGTGACTCTTAGAACTATCCACTCATAAGTGGCTGGGATGGTATTTCCTTTACTTGCTGAAAGGCGCTGTGGTTTGAGTCTGGGAGACTTGTGGGCATGGATGGATATTTCCCCCAAAGTATTAAGGGAGGCCCCCCTGGGACCTCTGCACTGACTCCGGCTAATGTGCTTTCTTGGACTCCTTCTGAGGCTCCACAAGTGCCTTCCCTTTGGGTGTTTACTCTCAGCAGGCAAGGAGAGGGCCTCCCATGTTACAGACCGCCAGGCCTTCCCGGGCACCCCTGGGAGCCCTGCAGCCACTGGCCTCTCTCCCGACTGCCTCACACCTCATCTCCTTCCCCTTCTTGCCTTCTGATACAGAAGCAGAATGTGACCATCATGGACCACCACTCAGCTGCAGAATCCTTCATGAAGTACATGCAGAATGAATACCGGGCCCGCGGGGGCTGCCCGGCCGACTGGATTTGGCTGGTCCCTCCCATATCTGGGAGTATCACCCCCGTGTTTCACCAGGAGATGCTGAACTACGTCCTGTCCCCTTTTTACTATTATCAGGTGAGGAGCCTTCCTGGCCTCTCCCTCCTGGGGGTTCAGGTGTGGCGCTGTGTGTGTGTGCGCGTGCACCTCATGCTTACACATGCAGGACCCAAGGGGAGGCAGGGTTATGTTGTGAAAGGTTTCCAGGCCCTACTCAAGGATGCTGAGTAGCCTTCGTGTGTTTCCACAGAGAGTGGCACTGAAGGAAGTGTCTTCTGCTGCACCGCTAGTGGCCTGTGGCTCAGGCGGTGTTGGGGGGGTTCTGTCATTACACCTGTTTCCACAGAGTGTGGCACTGAAGGAAGTGTCTTCTGCTGCACCGCTAGTGGCCTGTGGCTCAGGCGGTGTTGGGGGGGGTTCTGTCATTACACCTGCTTCCACAGAAGCAGAGCGCTGAGGGAATTGGCTGCCGAGACAGACGCTATTGATTCTGCCACTTCCTAGCAATAGGGTCTTGGGTGGTCCTTTCACCTTTCTGAGCCCTGATCTTCTCATCACTAAAAGGGATGGGCTTCCCTACATGCCAAGGGGTTGTGCGGATCGCAGAGCTGGTATATGGAACAGCTCAGCCTAGTGCCCAACCCAGAGTGCATTCAGTAGCCATGAGCTACTGAGACGAGTTCATTTTGTGCCAAAAAGGATTTGGGTTAGATTTCAGGAAGAGCTTCCTCCATTGAAAGGTGGTTGTGGGTGCCTGCATGTCCTGGTCACTTGCCTGTTGTAGTAGCAGCTCCTCTTGCTCTCAAAGGTGTCTTGTAGGGACTGTACATTATGTCATCTGCCAGGTGATAAGATGCTAAAAGCAAAAGGGGGCACAGCCTGTTCCTTCCAGAAGGATGCTAATGAGAATAAGAGTCAACCAACCCTTCAATGTGCAGGTGCTATGCCGGGCATTGGAGCGGCAACTCTGGGGGAGACGCAGCCACAGCCCTCTCTTGCAGGGTTCAGTGACAGGGATGGGGTACAGACCAGCCTTCTCTCCTTCTCACCAGTTCATTGATGGTGTGAAGGGTCCTCTACCACTCCATCATCCACAAGCCAAGCCGAACTAGGACCCCACCCTGCGCTCATATCTTCCTTCTTTTCTGAAGGTAGAGGCCTGGAAAACCCATGACTGGCAGGACAAGAAGCGGAGACCCAAGAGAAGAGAGATTCCGCTGAAAGTCTTGGTCAAGTGAGTGGAGTAGCTAGTGGTGATGTGTGAACTGTGTCCCTTCCTTCCAATCAGCCTCCGACTCTAGGCCTCACAGGGCAGGGAATGGATATTCTTTTTGCTTTTGTTTTTGAGACAGGGTCTCACTCTGTCACCCAGGCTGGGGTGCAGTGACCCGATCACAGCTCACTGCAGCCTTTGCTTCCCAAGCTCAAGTGATCCTCCCACCTGAGCCTCCTGAGTGGCTGGGACCACAGATACAAACTACCATGCCTGGCTAATTTTGTTTATGTTTTGTAGAGATGGGGTCTCGCTATGTTGCCCAGGTTGGTCTCAAACTCCTGGGCTCAAGCGATCCTCCTGCCTCAGCCTCCCAAAGTGTGGGGATTACAGATGGGAGCCACTGCACCTGGCCGGGGAATGTATATTCTTTGTGGAGTTTGGCTCCCCAAGGTCCAGTCGCCAACTCCAAGGGTCCCCACTGCCATTGTCCCAACCTTTTCTCTCCTCCCTTTTCCCAGAGGGACTTTTCATAGTGGATAAGGGGAGGAAAAGGGTGCGTCGTCACAGTGGGCGGCTGGTGAGAATGTAGCTTGCTTTTCCGCAACCTGCCCCACTTTAAAAGCTGTCCCCTCCCATTCCCCTGAACCCCCATTTTCTTCTGGAAGGCTGACTCAGCACACAGCACCTGTCTGTCTGTCTGTCCCCACAGAGCTGTGCTCTTTGCCTGTATGCTGATGCGCAAGACGATGGCGTCCCGAGTCAGAGTCACCATCCTTTTTGCGACAGAGACGGGAAAATCAGAGGCGCTGGCCTGGGACCTGGGGGCCTTGTTCAGCTGTGCCTTTAACCCCAAGGTATCGGCTCCACGGGATGGCTGTTGCTGTCTCTGCTGGTGTGCAGAGGAGTCTAGGAAAGGTTAAAACGGTTTTCCCCTCCTGGATGTCTCAGAGCTTTGGATGTGCTCTTGTGCATCATAAATCTGCAAGAGGATAGACTTGTGCGCAGGGATTCCCAGACTTACACAGTGGATGAGTTTTTCGTGGTGTTCTGGAGAACGCAGTTTGAGAAACACTTTCATGGTGAATCCAGGCCTTGATATACATCAGCTGCTCTAGCTGAACTTCATTCAGGCTCACCGAACACCTGCTCTGCAGGAGGCAGTGCTGCATGTGAAAGGGGCAAGGGACGACTAAGCTCAGACAAATTAAAAATGCCCCACAGGGTCTGTCTAAGCCATATCCCCTGCTTCAGCACCTCTGGATAAAATCCAATTATTAGGGAATGACTGCCACATGCTGGGCCAGCCCCCGGCTCGGAGGATCTGAAGTGACCCAGTGCCAGGCCTTGCCCTCGGGAGCTCTGCAGCATACACCTCACTCTCCCCTCCCAGCGCCCTGCGAAGCAGGCTTCAGTGTCATTGTTAACCACAGAGGAAGAGCCTGAGCATAAAACAGGCTGATGGGTTTTCCAGGGTCGCCCGGTTTCTGGGGGACAGATGTGACCCTGAGTTCAGGGCACAGGCCAGTGTGATGCCGTGATGGGATGAGCTCTGATCTGTACCGCGTGGAGGCCAAGGCTGACTGATGACCAGGTCAGCCAGGTCACGGAAAACACTCTTGAGTCCTCACCTGCCGGCTCCCAGGAGTCTGGAACTGCCAGGAGACTGGTGGCAGGACCCCCATCCTTGGCTGGGTGGGCCTGGGTAGAACAGCAAGGCGAGGGCCCATTTCCCTGGCCATTCCCTCCAGGGACGGCTGTGACCTGCTCATTCCAATTTCGTAGAAATATGTCCACACACACAGAATTGCAAATAGCAGTGGGTGTGGTGGGAGACATTTGGACATGGGATAGGCAGTATTTTGGAGGCAGAGCCTCAGGGCTTGTTGACAGGTTAGCTGCAGGGCGTGAGCGGGTAAGGAGAATTGAGGATGATGTATTCAAATCGGTTCATTCACCTCTGCTGTGCCAGGCCTGTGCTGGGCACTGGAGAGACAGATGAGCACAAGAGCCCTGGCCTGGGGGAGGTGAGGGAGGAAGCCCAGAGTGTCTGGGCAGGGTAGGAAGGGCCCTACTGGGAGCTGAGGGCTGATGCCCACTTGGGTGCCATCCAGGTTCTCTGCATGGACAAGTACAGGCTGAGCTGCCTGGAGGAGGAGCGGCTGCTGCTGGTGGTGACCAGCACGTTCGGGAACGGAGATTGCCCCAGCAACGGAGAGGTGGGTGACCTGAGGTCTGGGTGGCCTGAGGTCTAGACGGCCTAGGGGACGGTAGGATGCAGGAGGACCTGGGAAAGGGTCTGGGGATGCAGCATGTTCTATGGAGGGTGTCTGGGAGTCAGTGCTCAGGCCACTCTGGGTCACTCAGCTCATTTGCCAGCCTCTGTTGTAACTGGTACCTTATGGGAGTGCCACCTCTCCTATGACATAGTTAATATCTTTATGTGAATGGCCTACCTGTTTATATTTAAAAATTCACATTTAAAGGAAACTTCTATCACTCTCACAAATGGAAAGCCAGCAAAATGTAAATTCATTGAAAACAAAATTAAGTTGACGAATTTTAGCTAGATACGATTCCCTAACCAAGGCGTGCTCTAGCTTTGTTTTTTAAAGAGTAACAGGCAATGAGAAAGGCATTAAGGTTTCATTAGCACCCATTTGAGACTGTCTCTCCAGGGCTCAGAAGAATGAAAATGTAATTGAATGGGAATAACTAAAAAATAAATGATGAAAAGGGAGTAAATTCTTGCCGCAGGATTTGATGGTAGTTCTGCTGGTCACCTCTCTTCTGGAATGACCTTGGGTTCTGGAAAAGCCAGGCTTCTTTTAGGGACTAAAGGGCCAACTGCTGTTGCTTCTACCAGGTTCCAAACAAGACAGAATCACGGCCCATCGGGAGGGCCTCTGGAGACCCCTGCTATAAAGCAGGGCCCCTCTGCCAGGGCTGGATGGGTGGGCCAGGCTGTTCTGGGTTCCCCTGTAAGGGGCAGGGCCCTCACGAGTGGCTACAGTTTAGCTGGGGTGAGAGACAAGCTAAATGTGTCAGCTGACAACCAGGTCCTTGGCCAGGTGGCCCCACACATAAACCAACTTCCACTGTGGGCCGGGAGCCATCTCTTGCCAGCTATGGCCATTTTTTCAGAAGAAGAAAAAAGCAGTGTTTTTTTACTTTTCATCCTGGCTGAGAACTCTGTCTTTCCCTCTCTTTCTAGAAACTAAAGAAATCCCTCTTCACACTGAAAGAGCTCACCAACAAATTCAGGTAAGGCTTTTCCCCTCCCTCTACTCCTTCTAGCCCTGCCCCGTGGACCCAAAGTCTGGGTTCAGGAGATGGAACTGGATGTGCGGGGAGTGGGGGGTCCTCTCAGAGCTGACCAGGCACAGAGAGACCCTGGGTCAGAGGTTCATCCTCAGAGTGTGTCAAGGATCAAGCCACAGAAGCCAAGTCCCTCTCACAGGTCTGCAGGCCAAGCATGGGGTGGTCATGGGAGTTGGTGACAAGGCTTGGGGGTCCGGAGGACCAGAAGGGGGACCAGCTCCATGTTCCATGCTCCGTGCTCCAGCTGGAGGGGGACAGTCCAGGGCTGACCCTCCAGGCTGTTGGTGCTGGGTGCTGGGGGCCAGGAACTGCTCTCATGGGACGTGAGTCTCTGTGTGTGTCCTCGAGCAGGTACGCGGTGTTTGGCCTCGGCTCCAGCATGTACCCTCAGTTCTGTGCGTTTGCTCATGACATTGACCAGAAGCTGTCCCACCTGGGGGCCTCTCAGCTCACCCCAACGGGAGAAGGGGATGAGCTCAGTGGGCAGGAGGATGCCTTCCGCAGCTGGGCAGTGCAAACCTTCAAGGTCAGTTTCCAGCCAGACCTGCCCCACAGCAGGGACATGACAGGGTGCATTCATGCCTAGGACATCTGTGCTGGGCGTCCTGGGTGGCATGACCTCTGCACCTGGTCCTTGTAGATGCAGTCCAAGGCATGGGTCAGGGCCACAGGCCTGAGGGCTCAGGTCACTGCTACCCTCCCTCAGCCCTGCAGAAGAGCTCCACACTGTGCACATAACTCTGGGGGAGAAGGTGGCACAGATACCCCTGCCCTTAGGGAGCTTCAAGTTTAAGGTCTTCTCCCGCTGGCTGTCTAGGTCACCTCTTAACTTCTGTGTCTGTTTCAGTCTTGCAGCCAGAGAGAGCTTGGGGACAGATCCACTGTGGATCCACTCAGTAGCTCCATAGCTCTTTATTGCCTCTGTTGGCCCCAGTGACGTAGGGAACTCATCACTCCTGCAGAGTGTCACTCAGGTGGTACTTAGGAGCATCAGCTCACGTTGGGGAAGGCTTGGTTGCAAAGCCCGGGCCTCCCCCATGTGGCTCCACAGCAGGAACATGGGAACAATCAGACCTCTCCCGGGGTGGGCTTGAGGATACAAGCTCATGCCAATATTGACAGTCGTAATGGCCAGGCACAGTGGCGTACTCCTGTAATCCCAGTACTTTGGGAGGCTGGTGTGGGCAGATTGCTTGAGCCCAGGAGCTTGAAACTAGCCTGGGCAGCATGTGAAACCCATCCCTACTGAAGATACAGAAAACGGACTGGGCTTGATGGTGCACACCTGCAGTCTCTGCTACTCGGGAGGTTGAGGCAGGAGGATTGCTTGAGCCCAGGGAGGTTGAGGCTTCAGTGAGCTATGATGGCACCACTGTACTCCAGCCTGGGTGACCATAGTGAGACCCTGTCTGAAAACAAAACAAAACAAACAGTATTTATAATCGTAGCAACAGCTACCATGTGCCAAGCCCAGGTACCTCTTTGAGTCCTTGCTGTCACTGTATCAGGTAAGTGTGCTTAGAAGTTACACAAAGCACACAGCTCAGTGTTTGGCCCGTGGTAAGGGCCTAGAAAGTGGTAGCACCAGGGGTGGGGATGCTGCTGCTGCTGACCATGAACCCCAGCCGGCTCCACCTTCTTCCAGGCGGCCTGCGAGACATTTGATGTCCGAGGCAAACAGCACATTCGGATCCCCAAGCTCTACACCTCCAATGTGACCTGGGACCCACACCACTACAGGCTTGTGCAGGACTCACAGTCTTTGGACCTCAGCAAAGGTACCTGCTTCTCTGCAGCACATGGGGCTTGTTTGGGTTGGGGTCTGAGCCCTGAGCCTATGGTCAAGGAGAACCCAGGTCTTTCTGAACAGAGACAGCTGGCCTGAGGGCCTCCCTCTCACTCATGCAAGAGCCTGTTAGGGCACAAGACTCAAGATGCTGATGGAGGCTGTGTTAAGAGGGAGCCCCAGGAGGGTGGTGGAGAGAGAAGGGAGCAACATCTGCCAGGGACCTACTATGTGTGGGGCACTGTGCGGGTTTTCTGGCCCACATGGACTACGTGAGCCTGGACACTCCTCCTGGGAGAAAGACACAGATGGAGAAATTGCAGTTCAGGGAGGTGAAGCAAGTTGCTGGCCTGTGACCACGTTGGGATCTGAGCCCCAGCCTTCCAGCTGCAAAGGCAGCCAAGTGTCAAGAAGAAGGTGTCACAGAGGCAATTCCAGGCTGCAGTGGTGAACTCTCCACTCTGGCCCCCGGGTGCTGTGCCCTGTGCCCTAACTGAGACAGTCCTGCAGGTTTCTACATGTTTAAGATACCCCCAACATCCTCGATGTTCTCCTGTGGATCCCAAGTGATGGAGACATCCTGGGACTTTCCATCTTTATGTACCTAAATTGAATTTCCCAACATCTAGAAGCAATACCTAGAAGCTGCCCTGTATCAGACCAAGGACTTTTTTTTTTTAAGACACAATCTTGGTCTGTTGCCCAGGCTGGAGTGCAGTGGTATAATTCTGGCTCACTGCAACCTCCGCCTCCTGGCTTCAAGTGATTCTCATGCCTCAGCCTCCCTGGTAGCTGGGATTACAGGCACCTACCACCATGTTTAGCTAATATTTGTATTTTTAGTAGAGATGGGGTTTCACCATGTTGGCTAGGCTGGTCTCGACTTCCTGACCTCCAGTAATCCACCCACCTCAGCCTCCCAAAGTGCTGGGATTACAGATGTGAGCTGCTGCACCCAGCCTGACCAAGGATCTTTATTTGTGATTCAGAAACAGTGGAATGAAAGGAAAGGAAAGAAAATCCCAATGGTCCCCTCAGCAGGATGCCCCTAGTGTCCAGGTGTCACTGACTTGGACATGTGGAGGTTTCCCCCACCCACGCTCAAGAGCCACTTGTCCATTTCACTATCTCTCTGCCCTCCACAGCCCTCAGCAACATGCACTCCAAGAATGTGTTCACCATGAGGCTGAAATCTCGGCAGAATCTACAGAGTCAGAAATCCAGGTAAGGGAAAGTGCAGAGCTTCTCGGGTGATGCTCTGTCGATTTTATTTCAATGAATGAAAGACCAGAAGTCAGTCTTTAAAGGGAGAGGAGAGGAGCATCTGCCGGCAGGAGTGGCCGTGCCGCCGGCAGGACCGGCTCACCTGGTAACCTGCGGCCACCCGTGCTTTTACAGCTAGTCTCAGGTTAACCACAGGCCGCTTCTCCAGCTTGGAAGCTAAGTGTCTGCTCACTTCCTCTCCTTCCTCATTGAACTCTTTCACCATAAGGAGGGTGCAAGAGAGACTTAAACCACTGGACTCATTCTTAAGAACTTTCAGGAAAAGTTTTGACAGGGAAGGAAATTTCCCAGCTCTGGGAAATGAGCCTTGTGGAGTCTCTGCAGGGTTCATTGATCTGTGCCGTCATTAGGGAAACATTTTGGTTCTAATAAGAACAGGGTTTGTTCTGGAGACAAGGAAAGGTTTCTTCTGATGTCCATGTATCTCCAAGGGGGATGCTTTCTCCTGGCAGAGGCTGTAGCCAATCGCTTGGGGGGCTTAGAGGGCTTCTGGGAAGGGGTGGGGCCCCCATTCCTCAGTGGGAAGCTCCCAGGGCCCTCTCGAGCACCCCTGCCTGTGGGGATGCCACATCCCAAGCTCAGGGTGGCAGCCCAGGCTTGTGGAACTGGGCGGGAAAATGAAAGGAGGGCACATTTCCTGGGGAAGCTGGCCCACCCATCAGGGAGCCCCGGAGGAAATCCTGCAACGTCACCTGAGCCTTCTTTTTCCTTCCCCAGCCGTGCCACCATCCTAGTGAAACTCTCCTGTGAGGATGGCCAAAGTCTGAACTACCTGCCAGGGGAGCACCTCGGGGTTTGCCCAGGCAACCAGCCAGCCCTGGTTCAAGGCATCCTGGAGCGAGTGGTGGACGGCCCTGAGCCCCACCAGACAGTGCGCCTGGAGGCCCTGGATGAGAGTGGTGAGCCCCGGCCTGGGAAGCCAGTGCTGCCTGCCATCCTCTGGCCACCCTGCCTGGCTGAGGGTTTGGGCCTGGACATGCTTGCGACCGCCATCCTGTCCTTCCTGCTAGAGGGTGGGCTGCCAAAGCTTATGTGAAAGCAGCTGTGTACAGTCCCAGCCCGTAGGCATGGCTCCCTGGCCTCACTTTCCCCGGTGATAATGACACTGACAGTGTATCCCCCTAAGTACAGTGGCCAAAGTCAGAAAAGGGGATCAGCTGGGCGTGATGGCTCATGCCTGTAATCTCAGCACTTTGGAGGCTGAGGAGAGTGGATCACTTGAGGTTAGGAGTTCAAGACAAGACTGGCCAACATGGGGAAACTCCATCTCTACTAAAAATGCAAAAATAATTAGCCAGGTATTGTGGTGCACACACCTGTAATCCCAGCCACTCAGGAGGCTGAGGCACAAGAGTCACTTGAAGCCAGGAGGCAGAGGTTGCAGTGAGCTGAGATCATACCACTACACTCCAGCCTGGGCATCAGAGACTCCATTTCAAAAACAAAACAAAACAGTGGAATGAGAGAGGCAGAGCCCAGCAGTGTCCCCCACCATTCCAGAGAAGGTGAGAGACCCTGAAACACAGGGCTGAGGGGACAGACGTCCTTGTGACTATAGGGTGATGGGTGTGGCTCATCAGGCCTCTGGTCCAGAGAAGATAATGTCATGCTCATATTTAACCTACTATTTAGAAAGCATCTGTGTACCAGGCACAGCACCAACTATCATGTGCACAATTTCATTTGGCACTCATGCCAACCCAGTGAGATCGGTTTTGGAATTAGATCTGTTTCACAGGGAGGGAACCCAAGGCCCAGAGGCTTCAGTCACTTGGGAAGTGGTGGCCAGGGTTTGAACTCGTGTCTGCTGGCCTCAGGGTCTGTGCTGTGACTGCTCTGCATACTGCCCCACAGGGATTCATCTGCTCACCTAGCACCTCTTGGTACAGCACCCAGGGGACTGCAGTCAGGTGCTTTTCTCTGAGTGAATAACTCGCCTGTGAGGTGTACATTAGCCTTTGGTGGATTTAGTCATTGTGAGTCTATAGATCACTGGTGGGTGTCTTGCTAAAGTTCAGGTCTGGGCCAGAGAAGGACATGGTCAGTTCATCAGGACCATGCAACTTAGTGCCCCTTGCACCACCTCCTTCCTGCCTTTTGCTCTCGGAGCCAGGACTTTAGAGCCTCCTTTCCCCTGCAGCTGGAGAATAGAGGGTGTCTGCCCTGGGGGCCTCATTACCTTCAGAAAAGCCCAAACGGGGCCTGTTTTCCATCCTGACACCTTCCTTCTCCATCCAGGCAGCTACTGGGTCAGAGACAAGAGGCTGCCCCCCTGCTCACTCAGCCAGGCCCTCACCTACTTCCTGGACATCACCACCCCCCCAACCCAGCTGCTGCTCCAAAAGCTGGCCCAGGTGGCCACAGAAACAGCTGAGAGACAGAGGCTGGAGGCCCTGTGCCAGGTGAAGACCAGGGCTGATGGGCAGTGGGATTCTGTGGGGGGGCGGCGCGGCGGTCCCAACATGTGGGGAGCTGGAACCCAGAGTTGGTCTTTAACTCTTTAACTTCCAAGAGGGATCCACACCAGGTTCCCAAAGTGAGACTTATCAAAGGCTGGTGGGAATCATCGGGCATCATCCGCTGTCCCATGTCTAGGATGCAGTTGTGTTGAGTGAGCTGAGTTTTTCCAAGTGTCTGCAGGATGCAACCAAAGTGTGCTCCTCGGACGTCAGCTAGAAAGGGAGCCATCCTTAGCTCTTTGCTTTCCCCAAACCGGAGTAAACTTGTCACTTCAGATGTATTGGGGGATGGATGGTGTGGATTAATGGGATAAATGAGCATGATGAACAGAGTGACAGATGGATAGTAAATTGAATACATTAATGAGAGAATGCATTAACTCACCTGCAACTCTCTGGTTCCAAATCTGTGCAAAAGGCACTGGTTGTCATAATTATCGTCAACATTATAGCAAATTATCTTGATTCCAGCTACCTCCGCCACCATCATTTTGTGACTGCAGTGTACTAACTTGGTACATGTGTTCTCATTTAATTCCCATAACATCCCACAAGGTAGGCAATACCATCCTTGCTTCACAAAGGTTAAGTGATTGGGACGAAATTCCAAAGCTAGTGAGGGCATTCAGCCAAGATTTGAACCCAGGTCTGATTGGTTCCAAACCTTGCCCCAAATAAATTACAACAAAGATTTGACCCCTGCCCATGAGTTGCTGACAGTGGAGGTCACACAAGTTAGATAACTGTACTGGCCTGAGTTCCTCCAGGACAGGAACTATTTCTTCTCAAGCTCAGTAGTCTCAGCACCCTGGACAGTGCCTGGCACATGGACTTGCTTGTTGAGTGAGTGAGTGAATGAATCAATACTGGGTTGTGACAGCCTTTCCCCCAAAGTGGGGCACGTGCCCTGAGTTGCTCACATTGCCTTTGGCTTTCAGCCCTCAGAGTACAGCAAGTGGAAGTTCACCAACAGCCCCACATTCCTGGAGGTGCTGGAGGAGTTCCCATCCTTGCGGGTGTCTGCTGGCTTCCTGCTCTCCCAGCTCCCCATTCTGAAGCCCCGGTTCTACTCTGTCAGCTCCTCCTGGGATCACACACCCACCGAGATCCACCTGACTGTGGCCGTGGTCACATACCACACCCAAGGTGAGCCTGGGGCAGAGGAGGAACAGCTCCACCCCGCCCCTTATTGGGCATCTGTTCATCAACTCAGCTTCAGCTTCCTCATCAAGTTGAGGAGGGAGGGAACACCCACTGCCCAGAGTTGTTAAGAGTAATAGGAGGTGTGTGGGAGAGATCTCCATGAACCAGGCACTAAACCAAGCCTTCTCTATGTCTACGACCAGTTACCATGTGGTGTGGGTACTGTGTGCATTTTACAGGTGGCACAGAAAGTCACACCATTAGCAAGTGGAGAGCTGAGGTTTGGGCCCAGATAGTCTAATTGCTGAGTCCAAGTCCTTTACCACTCCGCTGTCCCACTACCCTTGGGACACTTTAATGAGATCAGATGTGAAAAGCACCAACACTAGGTGGGAGGCCAGTGGTTCTTAGTCTTCCTGATCGCGCAGGGGAGATTCTGCATTGACTGTTCGTTCACTCACTGAGCTCATTCAGTGATGGTTTATTTCACACCCCGGTGCTTGGCACTGGGGTGGGTGTGGAAATACATGCTCCTCAGGGAGCATCTAGAGGCAGCAGTGGAGAGATGGGCCTAGGAATAATCAGATGATTCTCATTGTGCAGAAGCCAAGAAGGAAAGGTCAGAGTCACTGAGGGCTGAGAAGGAGGGGTGACACTGCCATAGAGGGGGAGGCCGACATCTCGTCCAGGTGGCCTTGGCTCCACACTGGCCTCTGCCCCCTGCCCCGCCCCGCCCCACCCCGCCCTGCCCTCTGTAACTGAGCATTGCCTGGATTGGCAAAGCTGGGAGCTGCCCACACTTCTGAGCCCTCTGTCCTCTAGGAAGGACAAACCCAGTTTCTAAAAACTGGACTGAGATTCTATTTGCCCTGCTAGAGAACACCTACCCAGACCAGGAGAGGAGAGGCAGGCATGTCCTGTGAAAGCAAGATTCCATCCCGAGGATCGAATTTGGATAGGGGTTGGATGGAGGCCTCCTTCAAATGCTGGGCGTTGTAAAGGGAACGCAACCCACAGAAACCTCCTGGCTTTCTACGAGCTCAGGAGGGGCCACTGAGGAGGAGAGTGAGGGGTCAGAGCAGGCTGAAATGCACAGAGCTCATCCACTACCCAGGTTTGCTCCCAGCAAGGGTCACACTCATGAGCACACACAGCAGTAGCCACCCTGAGGGTCACTTCAAGCTGCTGTCAGTGGAGCTGGGAATGCTCCTGGAGAAACTCTTTGGAAGGAGCACTGGAGTAGGAGTCAGGGAACCTGAGCTGCCCACCTGGTTCCACCACTCCCTGAGTGACTTTGTCCAAGTCACTTCTCCTCTCCCGGACTCAGTTTCTGCATTGGCAGAAGGGGCAACTTGCAGCCTAAGTCCCTTTCAACCTTCTTCAGCTCTGGGCTCACAGAGGGTGGATCTCAGAACCAGGAGGATAAGGAGAGTGCCTGAGTGGGGCTGTCCAGGGAGGCTGTGGTGTGGGCGGAGCAGCTGGTACAGTTTGCTCATGGGGAGTGGGGCACGTTGGTCACTTTGTGTTATCATTGCAGGTGGCCAGGGTCCCCTGCACCACGGCGTCTGCAGCACATGGCTCAACAGCCTGAAGCCCCAAGACCCAGTGCCCTGCTTTGTGCGAAGGTAAGCACCCCTTCCACTCTGTACCCTGTGGGACCGCCAACCCCTGGGAGTTCCGGGAGGAAAGGGAGGGATCTGGGGTTTAGGTGCCGCTCGGGGCCCCTTGGCCCATGAAGAAAACACTGGGGTCATAGTGGTGTTGCTGTCTCTAGCAGGGACAGCAATGACAGCGGTGCTGGTGGGGCCCAGAGTCCAGTGAGCTTGGCCCTTTTTCAGAAGGACCTGGGGGAGCTGCTGGTACCAGGACAGAAACGCAGCGGCCTGCAGGGTGTGGGAAATCAAATTGGAGCAGCTTGTCCTCCACACCCCTCACTACCGCCCCCTGCAGGCCCCGCTCCCCAGCCATCCTGTGTGCGCATGGGGCTGGGGTGTCTGAGCACTGGCCCCTCTCCTGTCCTCTTCAGTGCCAGCGGCTTCCAGCTCCCTGAGGACCCCTCCCATCCTTGCATCCTGGTCGGGCCTGGCACAGGCATTGCCCCGTTCCGCAGTTTCTGGCAGCAGCGGCTCCACGACTCCCAGCACAAGGGTAGGCTGGAGGCTTCCCAGGTGGGAGGGCATCAGGGGCAGCGCCTGCCTAGGAGCAGAACCGCAGCCCCGCAAATGGCTCTTGGCCCTCTCTCGAGGAAGGCATCCCAAGCTTGCCTCCCTGCGCAGCCTTTGTGGGTGAGAATGGCCGCCTTCCCGTCTCCCTCATCGGAGCGGGAGCTCCCTCTCCCGGGAGTGGGGGGTAATGGGAAAGTCCCTGCTTTTGATGGGTTGAGGGTGTGTGACTATGGATGAGTGGTCTAAATGCCCTAGGCCTCGGTTTGCTCATCTGTAGAGTGGGGATAGTGCTATTGAATAGGATGCTTGTGGGAGTGAAGTCAAATTCCAGTTGGGCTTGGAGCCGTCACGCCCTCTGGTGGCAGATATGATAACAACAGCCCGGGACTCTTGCAGGAGTGCAGGGAGGGCGCATGACCCTGGTGTTCGGATGCCGCCGCCCAGATGAGGACCACATCTACCTGGAGGAAATGCTGGAGATGGCCCAGAAGGGAGTGCTGCACGCGGTGCACACAGCCTATTCCCGCCTGCCGGGCAAGCCCAAGGTAAACGCAGCCTTAAAGCAGGTGAAGCATGACACACACAGGCTACAGTGTGAGCCCTGGGTCCCCGCAGGCCACTGGCCTCCCTGAGTCTTCAGCTCCTGAGCTCTGAAATTCGGGTAATTCACAACCATCAGAGTGATGCTGTGAAGAGCGTTACGCCCTCTCTTCCAGTAGAAGCGACAGGCTGGAGAGGTTCAAGATTAACGTAGGTCACACATGGATTAACCCTAGAGCCCCCGTGGGACACGCGACTGCCAGGGGAGAGGTGGTCCAGGCTGGCCACGCTCAAGCCCAGCAAGGCTGGAGGGCATCCAATGCTTCCAAATGGCCCTCAGACGGGCTCTGCAGCCCCCAGGAGTCTGGGGTGTCAGAATAGACTCTCAGCCCTCACACATTCATCCTATCAGGGCACCTCTCGGGCCCAGTGCTCTGTGCCCAGTGCTGGAACCACTGGGCATCCTGTGTGGAGCAGGAGCAGAGAGTCCCCGACTGACTCCTGAACCTTCTAACTGGGGAGCCCAGGATCCGGCCCCTACAGGGACCTGATGGCAGTCTGCATTGAGGGGTTCCCTTTTCTGGGGTGTAGGCAGAGCCCTGGGTGGGGGGACTGGCATCATTGATGCCTCTTTGAAGCATGGCAAATTCAGAGACCCTCTGAGAGCCCCATTGGGCTGTCAGCCCCTCGAGGGCAAGACTGTGCCTGACATTCATCTCTCTAATCCCAGCCCAGCCCTCAGGGCGCCCATTTGCCTCCTCATCCTGAGCCTGGACTCATGCAAGGTCCTGGCTGGGAGGGGACTCATTCCACAGCCCTTAGTGTCCTCTCGCTGCCTCCCTGAGGCCAGCAGGGCTGCCTGCAAGCCTGGCCCCAGTGGCCAGGGACTGAACCCACCATTTCCTCTGGTTTCAGGTCTATGTTCAGGACATCCTGCGGCAGCAGCTGGCCAGCGAGGTGCTCCGTGTGCTCCATGAGGAGCCAGGGCACCTCTATGTTTGTGGGGATGTGCGCATGGCCCGGGACGTGGCCCACACCCTGAAGCAGCTGGTGGCTGCCAAGCTGGACTTGAATGAGGAGCAGGTTGAGGACTATTTCTTTCAGCTCAAGGTATCATAGTGGGCATGTGGGCTGAGGGTACTGGCCAAGGGCACAGGCCATTGGAGCCAGGACCAGGGGTGGCAAGTGGACCCAGGGGAGTCAGACCCAGAAATAAGTTCTGGACCCCAAGAGAATCCCAGCAGCAGCTGAGATCTGAGCTGGGTGGGCTGTCAGAAGCCCAGCTGCACATCTGGTCTGGTTGCCAGCCAGCTTTGAGAAGTCGGGTGAATGTGTTCCATTTCTCCATCTGTGGAATGGGGGCAGGAGAGTCTGTTTGGCCTCTCCTCCAACTCCCTTTTCAGAAAGTATCGGTGTAGCCAAAGCAAGGCTGTGAGCACTGGGGAGAGCGAGGCCGCCTCACCGTCAGCCTCGAGTGAGCCTCACGCTTCCTATTTCCACCCAGGCTGGTGTCTACTCACCCTCATCCACCCGCAGGAAGGGATGGGATTTTATTGATGAAGAGAATACTGATATTTACAAGGGCTTACACTGGGCCTAGTGCTTGCCAAGGATTTTCATGTGGCATTTCATTCAGTCCTGCCGAGGACTTTATGAGGGAGGCACCCTGTTTGACAGAGGGAAGGGGGCCTACGGGGGCCACAGCAGGGAATGTGAGAGACTAGAGTTCATTCTGCCTCTCTCTGGTTCCAAAGGCTGGGACTGTCACTTCCATACTCTCCCTAAGACACAATCATAGTTTATTGAGTACCTACTATCTGCTAGGGATAGAACAGTAAACAAAACAGGCAAAAATTCCTTACATTCTACGGGGGCTGACAAACCCAAACAAGGAAGAGGTGTGGTGCTTCAGAGAAAAGCAGCCGGGAAGCAGCCCGGGAGCGCTGGGGAGTAGCATTTAAAACGGGGTGGCCGGCCGGGCATGGTGGCTCATGCCTGTAATCCAAGCACTTTGCAGGCCAAGGCGGGAGGATCACCTGAGGTCGGGAGTTCAAGGCCAGCCTGACCAATAGGGTGAAACCCCGTCTTTAAAAAAAAAAAAAACAACAGGGTGGCCAGGGGAGGTGGAACTGGAGGGAAGTTTGAGAATAAGCCTGAGGTGGTGAGGAGGAGCCCTGGGAATACTGAAGGAAACAATCTGGGCTGTTCTGGAGGGGGCAGCAGGCACAAAGACCCAGGGCAGGAGTTCACCTGGCTTGTCTGAAGAACAGTGAGGAGGTAACAGGCATTTCCCCAAATGTGTTGAATGGGTTGGTAGATATTTGGCATCCAAAATGGCCCAAGGTCAAATAGTCTGGGACATGCTTAGTTCAGCCAAGGCAGACACGTAGTGTTACTCCAAGACTTCTCGGAGCCTTCAACATGCGGCTGTGCTTCGGGACCTGCAAGGCTAGGAGAAAAGAAAGGATGTAGCATTTTCCAAACGTATTGATCGCAGAGTTCATACTTCCCGGAGCATCTTGGGTGGGCAGTGAGTGCTGGGCAGGAAATAGGAATGCTGAGTAAAGCTTGGGAGATGGTTACAGAGCCTGCGCCAGAACAGGTGCTGAGCGGGGTTAGAGTCTGAGCCAGAGGCAAGCACAATCTAAGAATGACGGTGGGGAGACAGATGGCTCGGGAAGGTCCACCTGACAGGGAAGCTGGGAAACCCCAGGGGCTCCTCCCGCCCTGGACTTGACATGTTGGTCTCTGCTTCCACTTAAGAGTCAGAAGCGCTATCATGAAGATATCTTTGGTGCTGTATTTCCCTACGAGGTGAAGAAGGACAGGGCGGCGGTGCAGCCCAGTAGCCTGGAGATGTCTGCGCTCTGACGGCGCACAGAGGGGTCAAAGCTGCCAGCACAGAACGTAACCATGGAGCCACCTCTGCATTATCCGAGGTCGCAGGGCCTGGGGAGATGGAGGAAAGTGTTATGTCCAAGCCTCACATCCTATTTCCTCACCTCGTTCCCCATCAAGCCCTTTACTTGACCTGCCAAGTAGCACCCTGGATTGGTTGGAACCTTCTCTCTGGGGAAAAGGGACGCTGGGGCCTCCCTGGTCCCTTGGAGATGAAATCTTCAATGCCAGGCCTGGCAAGTGGGTAAAGATAGAACCTGCTGCTGAGTGCATCACTGCAAGTGACTACCAGGAGGTGCTGTTGTGCCACCGTGTATTTAACTGCCCTGTGTACAGTTATTTATGCCTCTGTATTTAAAAAACTAACACCCAGACTGTTCCCAGCGGCCACTTGGGCCTTCCCTGTATGATTCCTTGATGGAGATATTTATATGAATTACATTTTATTTGAATCACTCTGTATGTGTGTGTGGGTGTTGTGTAGGGAAAGCTCACCTCAGAGTGGGGGGCTGTGGCCTGCACAGACCCCCTCCCACAGAGGGACACCCCAGGCAGGCCACGGCTCCTCTGAAATGGCTGCCAGGTGGGAGGGCAGCAGAGGGAGCTTCGGGCTGGTCCAAAGACCTGTGGTCGGGCGGGGGTCGCGGGCCTGCCTCCCACTTACAGGATCTGACGCAGGGTGCGGTAAGGGTGGGATTCTTGCATGAGGCCAGCGCTGCAGGGAAGGCCTGGAGCTTCTTAGACACTTTTTCTTTGAGACGGAGGCTCGCTGTCACCCAGGCTGGAGTGCAATGGCACAATCTTGGCTCTGCAAGCAACCTCTGCCTCCTGGGTTCAAGTGATTCTTCTGCCTCAGCCTCCTGAGTAGCAGGGACTACAAGTATGTGCCGCTACACCTGACTAATTTTTGTATTTTTAGTAGAGACAGAGTTTCTTCATGTTAGGCTGGTCTCAAACTCCTAACCTTGTGATCTGCCTGCCTCAGCCTTCCAAAGTGCTGGGATTACAAGCGTGAGCCACCACACCTGGTTGGACACTGTCTTAGGAAGCGTTTTGCTCTGGGGCCACCTGTCTCATTCGACTTTGGCCAGTATGGGTGTGGTCTAGGAGGGACTGGGGTCCCTCCTGGGTTTAGGAGCCAGCCAGGGAAGACCTCTTAAGAGACTGAGTCCCATTTCCTTCTGTCAGAACCAAGGAAGGAGCTCAGAGGGGGCCGCTAGGGACCTGGCAACATGTGACTCCCATCTCAGGTCTGGCCTCTGCCTCCTGGGTGCCCTGTGCGACAGCCATGCATCTCAGCACCATGGCCAGGAGTCCACTCCCGGACTAGGGTGTCTCAGCTTTAATGTGCTCACCTGGGCGGGGGTCTTGTGAAAACGGAGACTGTGCAGGTCATTGGGGGGCGGGACGCCTCGTTTCCAGCAAGCTCCCGGGGCTGCAGGTGCCCTGCTCTGGGGATGAAGCTGGGGCCTGAGGAGCTGGATTCTGGCTGGGCCCAGCAGAAGGCGTTGGCATCACATGGACGCGGAGCTGGGCTGCCTGGCAGAGCTCAGTGGCTGGCAGAACCCCACACAGGGACACAGAGACACTTTTTGCATGCAAGCCCTAACACCTAATGCCCCTCCCTGCGGGGAGACCCACAGTGGAACACGCACCCAGACGAAGCTTCAGGTCGGCTTCTCCTGACCTCCCACTCCCAAGACACCTCCTCCCACTGGAACGCCAGCTCTGGCCCTGCAGTGGCCCTCACAGGCTCCGCCCCAGCCCCTCTCCCATCTCGGAGGCATTGGGTTGTTTCCTGGGGCTCCCCATTACCAACTCCCTGTTTCCGAGACTCCTGCCCAAAAGGCTTGAGCCCCAGCCTGCTTCTCCAACACCCTCGTGCAATTTGTGAGGGAGCCTCTGGGAGGAGGGGTGGAGGTCAGGACCCCCTGCCCAAAGGGAGCCTAGGCTCTCCCCTCCCCCTCCTCTCGGCAGGCTCCCCTGCCCAATTCCACAGACTTGGAAATGTCTCCAAATGAATGAAAGAAGCCATGGCCAACCCACATGAGTGTGCCAATAAGCATTTTCATTTATTTAAGGAAACCGGGAAAGAAGCCAATCCCCTGAAGAGAACATTCCGGTCAGTTGGTGGGGGCCAGTGGGATGCCATCAGGCTAGCCTTCCTGGAGGGGGTAAAGGGTTGGTGCAGGGTACAAGCTGAGAGTGAGGTTAAAGGTCAGAGAGGAGGGGCTGAGGAGGTCACCTCTCACCAGGAGTGGACAGCTGGAGGCTTGAGATTGGGGTGGTGCTGTGTGGGGGATGGGAGGGGACTGCACATAGGGCTTCACCTTCACTGCCCCTTCCCCCCACCCATCGTGCCCACCTCCTGGGATGCCAGGATTCGGGCAGCTGGAGCCCCAGGTGCTGCCCCAGCTGAGGAAGGCTGCCTTCTCTGTTCCTGGTGGCTGTAGCCAGAAGCAGGACCAGACAAGGACGTGGCCTCTGCATCATAGCCCAGGTCCCAGGCAGGGTTAGAAAGGGTAGGACTGGGCAGTGGGGATGATGAGAAGACCCAGACCCCAGACCCCACACCCCAGCCCCGGGCCCCAGGGCCAGGGAGCTGCCTATGTCTGCACGTGAGTCAGCTGGATGTCACCCCCCACTTCCAGTCTGTTGATGGCGGGCAGGTTCCCCAGGCGATGGTAGTATTCGAACAGGTGCTGGCCATCCACAGCCACTTTGAGGCAGTGACCTTCACACAAAATCCACACCTGTGTGGAGATCATGCCATTTGCACTGCCCTTGAGAAGTCTCCACCCTCAATGCCGCCTCCAGTCTCCATCCCTTCCCCCCTCCCTAAATGTTAGTAAGCCTCTCACCTGCACTCTGTCCCCACCGAGTGACCAGCTCTTCACTTAACAGGCTGTGCAGGCTCCTTCCCCTGTACTGTTCCCTGGCCTAGAACACTGATCCCACCCCATCAGGGACGGGAGCACTGGCTGTGCTGTCTATCCCTCAGACCCAGCACACAGGAGGGCTTGATGCCTGGGCTCCTGCAGCATCAGCCTCCTAACTTGTCTTTTCCACCCCAATGCCTCCTCCATGAGGCAGTCAGGTACAAATGTTAAAACCTCCTGCCCTCGGCAATAGCTAACACTCCTACCGCAAGCACCATGTGCCAGGCACTGTCCTAAGCACATTACAGATACTGTCTCACTCCTTTCTTACAATTCTAGGAGACTCATATTATTATTAGCTCCATTTTGCAGATGAGGAAACTGAAGCACAGAGTAGTTAAGTCACTTGCCCAAGGTCACACAGCTATCTACAAATCAGAGTGTTGCTCCTGGCTTAGAACACTCCTGCGGCTTTTCACTGTGTTAAAATCCAAGCTCCTTTCCATGGCTGCAGAGCCTTATGTCAGTCATCTCCCACTCTGACTGCAGAGTATAATCACTTAAGCATGTTTTAAAAATATGAATGCTCTGGCCAACTGCTTCAGTGCCCGACAGGACGATGGACTTGGATGGGCACAGCCCTCCGGGAATGGTGGTGATGAAAGGCATCAGCTGTCGGAAGGAGGGGGACAGGTCAGCCAGTGGCGGCCAGCACAGCCACCATGCGGAAGGAGAATATTGTACCAGTGTCCATGAACTTGGGCTGTCAGCTGAGAAGCCCATGATATCTTTACTTGGTTCAGGAAAAGACAAATTTTACTGATGTTTCCTTTGTAAGCCCTCTGGGTGATTTGAATGTGTAGTCAGGGCGGTGCACGCCTGCCTGCTGTTCTTGGACAGGCCACACCTGCGCCTCTGCACGAGGGCCCTAGCTGCCCCTCCCAGCCTCGCTGCCTCATTGCTCTGTTATGCTTTCTGCGTGGCACTGTTGTTATCTGTGATAATCTGTTCATCTTTAGTTTCCTTGTTCTTTCCCCACCTAAATTGTAAACTTCCTGCAGGCAGGACCTGAGGGATCTGTGGGGATCACTCCCGTGTGAGGCCCCTAGGAAATGGGCCTTGCCATATGGTGAGCTTGGGCCCAGACACAGATCCCCGGTTGGGGTAGTTGAGCTGAGGGAAAGCAGGAATCAAGAGAGGGACTATGTTATTCAAAATAATTAACAGACATTACTTTATGGATATGAGGACTTGGGAGGCATTGTGTCCACTTTCGGCTCCTTATGGTTTATTGTCTCATTGTGTTCATTTTGGACCCTTGTTACATTCGCTGTAAAATATTAACTTAAGTGTATACTGGGCGTAACTTACTTACCGTAACTTACTGGGTGTAACTTACTTACCTTGACTTATTGGGCGTAACCTACTTACTGGACATAACTTACTTACTGGGTATAACTTACTTACTGGGCGTAACTTACTTAGTGGGCTTAACTTGCCTACCTTGTGACTTGACTTAAGTATTTTGATATGATGTAAACAACATTAAGCAGAAAACTATATAATGGAACCTATTGCAAAAAAAAATTGCTGCATGGGCATAGTGCATGTGGCCCTCCAGACCTCGCTCTTTTCTCCTTTTTTCTGGCGCACGCTCTCTTCCAGATTTGGGACCCTCGCTGGACGAGATTCCTGGGCTCGTGTTCAGTTCACAACAAGGACCCTGTCTGTCTGCTCATGACTGCGCCCTCGGCATGTGGTGGGCTTCAGGCAAAAAGCGGGCCACAATAAAATAGCTGTTGAATGAATAAGTGAAGGAATGAATAACAGCTCCTGCTTGGTTCTGATATGACATGTGCTGCCTGTGACCACCAGCAAGTAACCTGCACTTGTGAGTTTGTTTCCTCATCTGTAAAAAGCAGATCCCAACACTTCCTTCATGCGGGACAGTTAAAAAAAATAATAATAATTTGTTGGCCATCTTCTCTTCTTCTGGGCCCTCATCATGAGGCATCAGTTCCCACCCTGTTCAAGGTCTCCCTGACCTCTTTCACCCCCTCCCCTTGTGCACCCAGAGGAGCCTCTCCAAGCTCCAGACTGCAGTGACTTACCGAGAAGCTCTGGCCTCGGGTGAAGGGCATTTTTCGGGGCAGACTCCGCTCCTCAGACCCCCAAGAGTTGTTGATCTGGGTGTTGCGGACCACAGCGTTCTCATCAAAACGGGGATTCAGGTGGAAGGCAATGTGGCTCCCAGAGCACAGGTTGATGTGGAACCTGGGGGGGACAGCCTACCTGGACCTTTGTCCCCTGGGTTCTGGGCCCCATTTCCTCCCCATTATCCACAGCCTGCTTGAAGCCAGGGGAACGGCCGGAATGACCTGGAAGGACTCTCTTCCCAGAGGCCACTGGAGCCCTTGGCTTACCCTTTAGCACTGGGCAGGACAGTGCCGGACAGGATGATGGACTTGGATGGGTACAACCCTCCTGGGATGGTGGCAATGAAAGGCATCGGCTGTCGGAAGGAGGGGGACAGGTCAGCCAGTGGCAGCCAGCACAACTGTCACGCGGAAGGGGAATATTGTACCAGTGTCCATGAATTTGGGCTGTCAGCTGAGAAGCCCAGGAAATCTTTACTTGGTTCAGGAAAAGCCAAAGGAAAACTTTCCAGTACTCCTTAAATTAATGGACTTAATTCAGTGTCATCAAAGCAACTTTGGCGAAACACACAAAGGCCAAAGGATGAAAGGGGTGAAAGGGAGGGCTGTGCAACGTGCTCGCGTTGACTTGACAGTTGAAAGTTGGAAGCTCCTCTCCACCATCTCCTAATTTGCTGGGATGCGCTAAAGAACCTCAGCTTACCAAAGGATAGCTTATAATTTTGCAAGGCCAGCGGGTCCTCCCGCAGCTGCCCTCCACCCCCAGCCTACCCACCACAAACAGAAGCCCCACCCTCCCTGAGAAACCACTTACATAGGCTGGGTGCGGATACATCATAGGTGGGATGGCAGGATTCTGTTGAAGAGACCAGGAAATTCAATGGGAGAGCGCATGTGTGCACAGCACTCCCCAACGCCACCATACATTCTGGAGGGGGCTCCACTGTGAGACTGAACCCATGAGGCTTTGGCCCTTGGACCCTCCCATCTACCTCCCTTTTCGTGTTAGCTGTCCTGGAACTTCCTGCCATGTTCCCGGACCCCACCATGGTCACCTGCAACGGGCAGCCCCACTAATGATAAGCCCCTGCCTGATTTGCACAAGAAAGAGAAAAGCTTAAGCCTGTGGTCAGTAGTGATGTCTGGGTGACCCAGGATTCAGGGCTAGGAACTTCACATCGGGGTGCTGGGGCCTCTGCATTCCCCACTGGGTGACAAAAGGGCCAGTTTCCATCCCAATCTCTAGGGTACCTGCCTCGTCCGCCACTGGATAAATCCTGCTTCTTCCAGAACCTCTGCTGTCCTAAGGACAGCTTTAGCCACATGTCACAAGAGCCAAGGACTCAGCCCCAGATGTCCCCATCCTCCTTGCTAACCCCTTTCTTCCCAACTCTAGGGCTCTGGGGAATTTAGCTCTTGGTGCAGGAGGACACTGGGAAGCTATGAACTGACCAGAACTTGTAGACTTACAGAGAACATCTGTCCAGGGACGCTCTGCACCGTGTGGATGACCGTTTGGGTCTGGAAGAAAGAAACCAGGTCTCACCCAGGCTCTCCCATGTGAAGACCACCAGCTCCCACCAGAGGGCGCCACACGGCAGGCACCTCCGGGGGTGGTAACCAGCCCAGTGGCCCCACAGACCCCACAAAGGGTGGGTCCAGATGCTTCTTCTCTTAAGGGATGAGGGAGGGGCAAAGGTTAGAACCCTGGAGAAGACAGATGGGGATGCTGGGGGCTCTGGTCCATCTTTCCTCTCAGGGAAACGTCTCTCAGTCTAGCCTCCCTTTGTAGGTGGGAGAAGTGAATGTGGGGCCACCGTCTTAGTGGCTGCCCATGGCGTGGCAGCTTATGTTCTTTCATCAGGCCCAGCCAATCACATCCACCCCCCAACCTCGCCAAGTCAGGCAAACGGTCAAGGGCCTGGCCTCTGCGCTCCCCACTCCTCCTGATGGGAGAGGCCCAATGCCTGGTCCTGCCTCCTCCCTGACACCCCAAGAAGAGCCAAAATGAAGAGGATCAAAAAAGAAAGCAAGAGACTTACAATGGGAGCCGGGTTGGCAGGACGCACACCAGGAGGCTGCAGGGGAGAGGAGGTCAGAACAGTGGTTATCGCTGGCACCACAGAACAGGGAGAGATGCTGGCAGAACTCCAGGGAGGCTCTTGTGCTCAGAAATGCCTCCCCAGACACACTCAACCCCCTCTCGCTCCCAAGCAAGCCTTCCTGAGCCCGTGGCACCCAGATATTTACCCCAGGTGCACAGGGGTTCGGGGTTGGGGGATAGGGTACTCCATTGGTTCCTCTTGAGAGAAGGAGGATGGATTTGATAGAGACATCGTTGCCTTCTGTGGCTCCCAGAGCCAAGAGTATTTACATCCAGTGTCATATTTCACCCGTAAGGGGAGAAGTGGTATTTGTTGAGGGCCAAGTCCTGGGCTTCAGTGCTTTCCAATGAGGGAAGCAGCCTCAGCTCCCGTGTCACTGGTAAGTCAATAAGGCTCAGAAAGATTAAGCCACTTGTCCAAGCTCTCCCTAGTAAAAGGGATCAAATCCAAAATGGCAGCCAGTTCTGTCTGACTGTATCCACCACACCTTCCATCCTCCCCAGGGCCAGGGCCAAAGTTGGGCTGCCCTACAAACGTTCCTTGGGGCTCCACCAGTCCTGAAGTCAGCGTGGCAGGAGACAGGTACACTGTCTGTACCGTGATGGGCCATAAAAGGGCTGCGGAGACAAGCACCCCTCCCCCCAGTCCCCACTGCTTGAGTGGCAGAGGAAGGGCTGCCTGCTCCTGTCCTGGGTCCTGCCTCACCCAGTAGACTGTTCTTGCCTGGCTGTGTGAACCACATTCCACATTCATTCCTTCATTGATACCCTGCTGAGTGCCAGGCACTGTGCAAATGAACAAGCCACACTCCCAGCCCTCCGGGGCCTCGTGGGTACAGGGAGATGGGGGTGGAGTGACAGGGACAGACACGCACACACAGTTACAGTGGGGTGCTGTGAACTGGCATGGCACAGATATGTACAGAGTCCATGCGGACACGGGGGCAGGGTCCAACAACAGTCTGGCAAGGGAGGACTCCCAGGAGAGACACTTAGGCAGAGCAGGGAAGAGCACTTAGGCGTGTGCTGGGGGCAGGCTAGGGGAGGGTGCTTCTGGGACCAGGGACCGCATGTGCAAAAGCATGGTGGCCCCAGGAGAGCCTCGAGTGAGGCTCGGAGGCTGTGTGAGCTTCGTAGGTTGGGGGTGAGGCAGGGAGGTGGATTGGGGACAGACTGGGGAGGAATCCGTATACTCTGCTGGGGAATTTGGGCTTTATTTAGAAGGGCTTGGGGCTTTTAAGATTTTTAAGCAGGGAGACAGTGTGACCAGATTTGCTTGTAAGAAGGTCACTGTGGCAGTGGTTGGGTGTGGGGAACTGGACCACTGTTGTCATGGTGAGGAATCTCAGAGGCCTGGGCCACATTGGTGGCTTCGGGAGGGAGACATGTTGGTACCTTGGAGAGATATAAAGAAGGGGGAGTGAAGAACCCAGGGAGAGCGACTCCTAGGTCCCCGGCTCTGGTCACCTGGCGGACAGGGAACTCTTGGGTGGGCAAGATGGGGCCTGTAGTCCCTGGGTGGCCTGCTGGCTGAAGCCAGACTCTCGGACCCCCGGTCCTTCCTGCTGTCTGCTCAGTCACCCAGGGCCTCTGTGTTGAACTCACTTTTGGTCTGCGCCCCTTGGGCCTGGGTGGGAAACGGACAGGCTGGGAGAATTGCACCATGGAGAAGGCAGGCTGAACGGGGACTGTGCGGGTGTTCTGTTAAAACAAAAGGCACCAGGCGGTGAGGAGAAGCATTAATGGAGCCAAGGAGAAGCTGAGAGGCAGAGGCAGGGTCAAGAGGGAGAGACCAGGCAGGGAGGGGGATGCGGCAAGCGGGTGAGTGCCACACAGAGGTGGGAGGGGCAAGGGCCAGGTTCCAGGGAGCAGCACAGGGGGTCGTCTCCCTCTGTCTCTATTCCTACTTCCACCCTCAGGGGAGAGAGGGAAGGAGGGAAGAGGCTCAAAGGGCGAGGAGCCCAGATGTGCTGAGGGCCTACTGTGGGCTTCTCTCATCTCAGGGGACTCCCTTGAATGCCAAAAGGGTAACAGCGGCTCCCATCCAGCTGCCTGCGGGAACGTGGGCTCAGCATCCCCTAATCTTCCCATTTTCACCTGGTATTAGTATCTCCTGACCTTTAGTTTCATTTATTTTATTATTCAAACAAAAATATTTTAGAGACGGGGTCTTGCTATATTGCCCAGGCAGAACTCGAATTCCTAGGCTCAAGCAATTCTGCCACCTCAGCCTCCTGGAGTGGCCGGGATTACAGACCTCCACCACCATACCTGGCTCTCCTGAACTTGTTGGCAACATATTCAAAGTTTTTAAAACACAGAGGTCAAAGAGACCCTAGACATCTGTCTCCTCATTGAACCACCCATGGAGGGCAAGCAGTGACTATCTCATCTACAGATGAGGAAACTGAGGCTGGGGGAGGGGAAGTCGCTTGTCTAAGATCCCTTAGACAATGAACCGCAGAGCTGGGAATCTGAACTGGATTCAGTTTGGTTCCTGAGCCTGGGCTCTTTCTGGAACAATATGACCTCCTAACCGGGGTGGAAATCAAGGGGTGTGGAGAAAGGGGCAGCTGAGGAGTCTGGGAGACCAAGGCAGATGTTCCGGACAGAGACAGTGACACAGAAGGAGGGGCAGAGTGACAGAGGAGAAGGGGCAGGCAGACACTGGGACAGGGCACCAGAGGTTGTCCCCAGAGTCACCTGGGTAGGAGATTGGCTGGTGGCCTTGGGTCCCCCAGCAGGGCCTGGGCACAGTTACCCTGGGCCCTGCACCGCAGCCCCTGGGACTGGAGCCAGGTGGACAATCTGACCTGGAAGCTGATGGAGGACAGCTGCACAGAGCCATTGACGCAGAGGGTGTCCACGCGGTGGAAGGGCACGCGGTGGAAGTACTGCACGAAGAGGTTGCCGTTCACCATCACCTGCCACAGAAGAGCATGTGTCCTGGGGGAGGCAGCCCAGTCCAGCACAGGGACCACTTTAAGCTCCTGGACCCCTCCTTCTAGAGAATGAAGACCTGAGTCAGGTCTGCAGTGTGGGGCTGGCTGGTTACAGGAATGTGCGTGTGATCTGAAGAGCATCAACCCCAGTCTCCACTTGCTCTAGTTGTTGGCTGTTAGTTCTCATGGCTGTTTATTGCAGGAGGCTTGTCTTTCTAATCTTAGCTCACCTGGGGTTTTATTTATTTATTTTTCCCTTCAACTTATTATTTTTTTTTTGAGATGGAGTGCCATTTTGTCACCCAGGCTGGAGTGCAGTGGTTCAAACAATTCTCCTGCCTCAGCCTCCCAAGTAGCTGGGATTACAGGTGTCCACCACCATGCCCAGCTAATTTTTGTATTTTTAGTAGAGATGGGGTTTCACTATATTGGTCAGGCTGGTATTGAACTCCTGACCTCAAGCGATCAGCCTCCCAAAGTGCTGGGATTACAGGCATGAGCTGCTGCGCCCAGCCTCTTCAACTTTTAAGTTCCAGGGTGCATGTGTAGGATGTGCAGGTTTGTTAACTAGGTAAACGTGTGCCATGGCGGTCTGCTGCACAGATGAACCCATCACCTTGGTATCAAGCCCAGCATCTGTTAGCTATTCTTCCTGATGCTCTCCCTCCCCCACCAGGCCTCAGTGTGTGTTGTTTCCCCCCTTGTGTCCATGTGTTCTCATCATCAGCTCCTACTTGGTGTTTGGTTTTCTGTTCCTGCGTTAGTTTGTTGAGGATAATAGCTTCCGGTTCCATCCATGTTCCTGCAAAGGACATGATCTCGTTCCTTTTTATGGCTGCAGGGGTACTATGTAAATAGGCATAAAATGCTCACGGGGAGCAGAGGAGAGGCACCTCCGGTTGCATACTAAGTGGATGGGAACATCCTTATCTCAGATAAGCTTACTCGGACTGACCTAACCGCCTGCTTCTTGAGCCCAGAGAGCTACTCTGCCTGCAAAGATAATCTGTAATGTGCTTACATAATTAGACTCCTAATAGACCCTGGATAAATGTTGGAACAATGTCACTGAAAAATAAATATTATCAGGGACCTGGAGAGGAGGAATGGCGATAGCAGAGGAGTGGAATGAACTTGGAACTCAAAGACACACAACACCAAACAGCCACGTGATGCCTCCTCTAGTTCTTATTTTCAGAGTAAAAGCAGCAGCAGGCACACCTGTAGATTCAGGTGAAAGTGCATAAGGAGACTACGCAGCCATGGGAAACACTCTTACAAGGAAATGGTGGTGTTATCTGTATTCTCAATGTCAGTTAAGGGAATTCTATAGAGGCCATTCACCAGATACGGCTGGAGTCCAGGGTGAGAGGTGGGGAGGAGACCCCTGCTCACCTTGAAATCCGAGCTCTGCACCAGGAAACAGAGGTGAAAGGGCATCCCCTTCTGGAAGGGCAGCTCCCTCTTCCTCTCCTCGGGCCCCCAGCTTCCATTCAGCTTCGTGTTGCACACCACGTACCCTCCCTCTTCAAACCGAGGGTTGAAGTGGAAGGCGATGTCATTTCCACTGAAGCCGGTCTGAAAGTCCACAGAAAACCTAGGCCCAGGAAGGCAAACGGTCTTCTGTAGCATGGTTTATTGCCAGTGATGGGCACAGGAGGGCCTCGGCGCCTCTGCCTGGTGTTTGTCTGGAATCTTGAGCACAACCTGCATGCCGGAGACTGCTTGGCTGGCATCCTTTTTGTTCCTCTAATTTGGAACTAGTATATTTTTGTCAATTTTTGCATTTTGCCTTTACGGCATAATTTTTTTTTTCTTTGAGAGAGCAGTGAGTCCAGAGGCTCTATGGTGGGCCCTGCAGGCAGCCACCCAGGGTCCCCACCAAACCAGCAGAGACTGCACACCTCTGTGCCACCCGGTCAGGTTGCGTCGGTGGGGTCAGCCAGGTCTGCGTGAGGGTCGGGGCCCTCCCAGCCTCTGAGAAGATGTGTGAGCTCCTCTCTGCTCTCAGACAGCCCACTTTGGGAGGAGGAGGGGTGGGAAACAGCCCTGGTACAATGTTGGTATTTTGAATTGACTTAGCATTTTCCAGAAAAGGCCTTGAAACCGAACGAGACCAAATTACCTTTAATGGCAATTTTGGATGTTTTCATGTCAGCAGCAGGAGAGCTTCAGAGTGGATGAGAGCAGTTATGCGAAATGAAGGAAGTTTTGTTTTTGCAACTCATAGTCGCAGTGTGCAAGGTTCAACCCAGAACATAATCATCCGCCTCTGACCCTCCCACTCTGTCCTTAGACTGTTGGCTCCCAGGGCCCCATTTGTGCTGGAGTCCAGGTGAATGGTAGCCCTGGATGCAGGTGGTGCCTGCCGGGTGGTGCCCTGCAGCGTGGGTTAGGGATGCACTGGGCCTCCCTGAGCCAGGCATGTGAGCTTGGATGTTGTTGGAACTCACCCAAGCTCACAGGCGCAATAGTTTACTAAGGACGAGGCTGGAGAGAAACATGTCCATCCACATACACACCTGGTGCTGCTGGAGTTGAGGATGGTCCCACTGACAGTGATCTGAAGTCCATCCTGGAGACTCCCTTCGATTGTCCCAGAAAAGGGGACGGGCTGCAGGGAGAAGGTGTGGGACTGTCAGTCAGGTGTCTGGCCTGGCGCCTGCTCCCCTCCAGCACTAGTCAGGGACTGGCCTGGGTGTGACAGACCATGTGAGAGGCTGGGGTTTGGCTGTGACCAGGACAGATGGAGTCTTGGCCCACGGGTCTTAGGGTCCCGTGTGGAGCAGACGCAACTCCAATTAGTTACTCAGACAGTCTAAGCTTGTGATAAGGAGAAGCCTGGCCCTGAGAGGAGCCATTAGAGAAGATAATGTCTTCTCTAATATCTCTTTAGGTCCATTTCCTACACTCAGGTCAATTTCCTGCCTCTCAGGCAGCTGAGCTCGCGGGAGAGTCTGAGAGGCAGTGGAAGCCGAGTCAGGAACACACCTGGTGGGAGGCCTTTCTTCCAGTCAGGGAAGCAGCATGCAGAGGCCCTGGGCTGGTAAGGAACTAGGTAGCAATGGGGGCTGCTGGACCCCATGCCAAGCTCCCAGCAAAGGCCCTGGGACCCTGGCTGGGGACTCAGGAGGCCCAAGGGACCAAAAGGACACATCAAGAGTCTGGAGGGTCCACCAACCCCAAGAGGGTAAAGAAGGCATGCCCTCTCCCCACCACCACCATATAACAATGGCCGCCATGACCTTTGCCCTCCAGGCCACCTTCAGCAGAGCCTCTTCCCCATGCCCTCTGCAGCCATGGGGCAGCCCGTCCTCTACTTCTGCACCCGTGCTCCCCACTCCTTCCCTCGGGCCCTCAGCACCCCCAAAGCCCTCTCGTAGTTCCCCACCCATCCCAGGCCTCATGGGCAACCACTTAGTCAAATTCTCTCTTCCGCGCCTCTTTAAAGGAGTGATGGGTCATGGTGAGGTGTGCATTGTTAGAGTCAGGCCGACTCCAGGTCTGAATCCTGGCTCTGTTGTTCATGACTGAGTGGCCTTGGGAAGCCTGTTTCACCGCTCTGCCTCAGTTTCCTCATGTGTAAAAATAGGAAGCTGTTTCTCCTGCTATGTATAATGGGTGATTTCATGAGAAGCAGCTTGTGATGGAAGAGACTGGCACACAGGAACTGCTTCTCCACTGCTGCCCACCCCCCCACCCTTGGTCTCTCTGAGCAAAATTCACAAACTTGTACTTTCTGATTTTTTTTTTTTTTTTTTGAGATGGAGTTTCACTCTTGTTACCCAGGCTGGAGTACAATGGCGCGATCTCGGCTCACTGCAACCTCCACCTCCTGGGTTCAGGCAATTCTCCTGCCTCAGCCTTCTGAGTAGCTGGGATTACAGGCATGCACCACCATGCCCAGCTAACTTTTTGTATTTTTAGTAGAGACAGGGTTTCACCATGGTGACCAAGATAGTCTTGATCTCCTGACCTCGTGATCCACCCGCCTCGGCCTCCCAAAGTGCTGGGATTCCAGGCTTGAGCCACCGCGCCCGGCACACTTTCTGATTTTCAAAGTTTACTTCTGGAATGCCTCATATCCAATTTGGTTCTATAACCAGCACTAAAGCACAGTTGTGTCTCCTAGCTGATTTTCAGGTTTTTCTCTCTTCAGGTGATCCACCTGCTTCGGTCTCCCAAAGTGCTGGGATTATAGGTGTGAGCCACCACGCCCAGCCTGTTTTTCAAGTTTTTAATGTCTTCTCTAATATCTCCTTTAGGTCAATTTCCTACACAAATTAAATGCCTAAAGGAGCCAGGCAGGTGATGTGTATGAGTGAGATGGCCAGGTAGGGAGTGTGGGGACTGTGGCAAAGTAGATGTCACACCCTCATCTAAAAAGGCAGCCTCTACTCAGCTCTAACCAGTGAGGACCATCTGGGCCCAGTACTGGCAGAGCTTCCACATTTTTAAGAGAAGACAGAAATCTGGAGTTTTTGTTTCTGTAAAACTTTCTAATTTCTTGGGGGGAAAAAATATGTCAAAAAGGATTATATGAAAGTTTCTGGCTGGGCACAGCGGCTCACATTTATAATCCCAGCATTCTGGGAGACTGAGGCAGAATAATCACTTGAGCCCAGGTAAGGCCAACCTGGGCAACATAGTGGGAACCCCATTTTTACAAAAAAATTTTAAAAAGTCAGGGGTGGTGGCACATACCTTTAACCCCAGTTACTTGGGAGGCCAAGGTGGGAGGATCACTTGAGCCTGGGAGGTGGAGGCTGCAGTGAGCCACGATCACACCACTGCATTCCAGCCTGAGCAACAGAGCGAGATCCTGTCTTGAAACCCCCAAATTCCTATATTATAGAGATACACAATGAAATATTTGCAATGGAATGATATCTTTGGATTTGCTTCCACATGTCTGAGGGTGGGAAGGGAAGCGAGTAAGGATATAGGACGGAGCAAGACAGGCAACAGTTGATCATTGCCTGAGCAGAGTGATAGGCGTGTGCTGTTGATGGTACAATTCTCTCTGCATGTATGAATTTCCCATAACAAGTTAAAAGAAACACGGTGCAGACCAAAGAGAAAATACGTACCAGCCAAGTTCAGCCTACTGGCCACTGCCTTCTGGTCTGTACTGTTGAGCTGTGTGACCACACAGCACCCTGGGAAACCCATCCTCATTCAGTGTGCATGCCTGGCACCGTGAAAGCTCCCAGAAACCTGGGATCTGATTCAGACAGACTCTGCTCCCCATGGATTTGAAGGGGGCATCCTTTGGTACCCCTCAGGTCAGCTCTGAACTTCCTACCAGTAAGTACTTTAGGGACCTCAAGCAAATCACAGCTTTGCTGTGTCTCTGAGTTCTCTTTTTTGTCCCTGTCTACACCAGCAGTGTGGCAGAAGGAGTGTCAGGATGATCCAGTTATGGACAAGCACGGCATAGGTCGGGAAGCCTGTGGTCCCTGAAATATGTCTGGGAAACATTCTTCCCCTTGCCTGTTTGTGGAAGCCTGCGATTCTCTCCAGAACCTGTCATACTATCATGAGTGATGATGTTTCAAATACACACCCTCCTGGGAAGCATGCGGCCTCCACTTCAGCATATTCACACCACAGTGTCTAGAACTGAAGGCAGAGCGTGATGGACCTGGGCTCGGAAGTGCACACAAGGCTTAGTTAAGGAATACAGGAGGGAGAAAGAGCAAGTACAGATCATGGGGGCGGGACAGGACAGGTTAATCTCTAAGGCAACAAGTTCCCCCAAAAAGTTCTGTGAGGTTTCAAAATGTCTTAAACAGTGCCCCTATATTCTGAAAAACAATATTTTATTTTTATTTATTTATTTATTTATGATTTTATTTTGAAACAGGTTCTCACTCTGCTGCCCAGGCTGGAATGCAGTGGTGTGATCACGGCTCACTGCAGCCTCCACCTCCCAGGCTCAAGTAATCCTCCCACCTCAGCCTCTGGAATAGCTGGGACCAAATAGGTACATATTCCACTAATTTTTAAATGTTTTTGTAAAGATGGGGTCTCTATGTGTTGCCCGGGCTAGTCTTGAACACCTGGGCTCAAGTGATCCTTCTGTCTGGGCCTGCCAAAGGGCCAGGATTTCAGGCATGAACCACCCTGCCCGGCCTGAAAAAGGGATTTAAAATGGAGTATCATCCTACAAACAAGACTATTCATTGCAGCATTATGACACAAAGGATTAGAAATCGAAGCACTAGGAAGAGTTTTCCTGTTAGTCCTCTATCAAGAAAAGGGTGAAATAAATTAGGGCATTTCCATATAATAGATTCTGTGTAGCCTTAAAAGGAAAGAAAAAGAGGAAGAGAGAACTCTGAGCACCGATATGGAATGATGCCATTTGTATAAAAAGTGGGTGGAGAAGGCTATGGTCTTGCATTTATTTATTTATATGTAAAATCTCTCTGGAAGGAGTTACAGAAACTTATAACACTGGGTATCAGTGGGCTATCCCAGAAACATCCACCTTTGAATCCCCGGAAACTGTGAATATGTTGTAGAAGAGACTTTGCAGGTGTGAATAAATTAATAATTTTGACATGGGGAGCTTGCCCTGCATATACAGGTGGTCCCAATGTAATCACAAAGGTCCTACAAAAGGCAGGCAGGAGGGTCAGAGTCAGAGGCAGGAGATGTGACAACAGAAGCAAGAAGCAGCTGGTTTTTTTTTTTTTTTTTTTTTTTTTTTTGAGGCAAGATCTCACGCTGTCACCCAGCTGACGAAGTGCAGTGGCGTGATCTTAGCTCACTGCAGCCTCCACTTCCCCAGGCTCACTCGATCCTCCCACCTCAGCCTCCCAGTTGGCTGGGACTACAGGCATGCACTCCATGCCTGGCTAATTTTTGTCTATTTTTTATAGAAATGTGGTCTCACTTTGTGGCCCAGGCAGGTCTCAAACTCCTGGACTATACAGATCCTCCTCCTGCCTCAGCTTCCCAAAGCACTGGGATTACAGGCATGAGCCACTGCACCCAGCATCGTTAAAAGCTGCTGGTTTTAAAGATGGCTGGAGGGGCCATAAGCCAAGGCAGGCAGGTAGCTTCTAGAAGCTGCAAAAGGAAAAGAAACAGGTTCTCACCTGGAGCCTCTGGAAGGAAACAACGTTGCTGACATTGTTCTAACATCTGACCTCCAGAATCATTAAGAGAGCAAGTGTGTTGTTTTAAGATTGGTCAGCCAAGGCTGCTGTGGAATTTAGAGCTGTGTGTGCAGGAAACCCAGGAAAACAACTGGATCCGCTTTTGTTCCATACGGTGCAGGAGGATGGATTTTTGCATTGGATTTATGGTCCCAGGGGCCTGGGCTCGCCTCCCAGCTCTGTACACTGGCAAGTCTGATATTGACCAAGTGGCTTGACCGGCCTGTGCCCCAGTTCCCTCCCTCAATGGTAGGACAGTAACACCACCCGGCAGCATTCTGAGAGGATTGGGTGTGATGCCATGTGCTGAGCCCCTGGCTTGTGTCCAACTTGACGGTGCAGCTCTTTGCCTGGAACGAATGAATCCCTTTGCTGAGTCAGAACTTGCTCTCTGTTCCTGGTTGTGCCCAGAGACTGGGGACTTTCTCCCCTCTTTCTTTCTGGAAGTCTGGAAAGCAGAGCTGGGCCCTGTGGACCAGAATGTGGGGAGCCTTGTTCTGGACTGAGCATCACCAGTGGACACCCAGGCCTGGCCCCAACAATGGGGAGCTCGGCCTGACTGGCCGAGACTGACAGTAGGAGCCAGTTCATGGCTCTTAGCCAGAGTGCCCAGCTGCCTCAGAGGCTCCACGGTCCTGCTGGCCACCTTCCATGACACTTTGATTTTAGCCTCTGACCTCCAACACCGTGAGAACAAAGTGATGTTTGAAGGTTGGCCAGCTAAGGCTGCTGTGGCATTTGGATCCACGTGTCCATGAAGGCTCTGGGCGCGACAGGAACATTTATCCTCACAGGCGCCAGCCACTTTAACAGATGAGGAAACTGAGGCACAGACAAGTTTTGTAATTTGCCCAAAGCTACACAGCTGGTCAGCAACAGAGCTGGGATTTGAACCCCAGCACCCACGCTTTTAACTACCACTCAGGCTTCCTCTCATGAAGAGCTGAGAACATCCTTATTCCGGCTCTCCCAATACTTCCCTGGGCCACGCAGCAGGAGGTTCCAGCTTCCCCCCATCCTCAGAGGAGGCTGGGTTAGATGAGCCCAGACAGGAAGTGGGAGTGAGGTTTCCAAGCCAGGCCCTAACGACCCTCAGCCCTCCTCAGCAGGAGAGCAAACTGTGTGACATTCTCCTACTGTCTCTGTGTGGAGGAAGTGTGGCTTCAACTGCCAGAAGGGTCACCGAGTGAGGCTTAAGTGTCCCAGCCTAGGGGAGCCCTCGTGGGGTAGAGGAGAGCTCTGGACACCCATGGTGGCTGCACTGACCGTCTTTCTTATCTGGACTCCAGGCCCTGCTTTAACTCTCTGAAACTCTCTGATGCCCATAGGAGGATTCTCCTTCCGAATCCAAAGATTAGAAAGTAAAAACCAGTCACCAGCACAGTATGTTGGAACCTGGAAGAAGCTTTGGGTTCTCTGATAGAGAACCAGAGACAGGGTGACAAGCCCAAGACGGCACATGCCGACTCTAAGCCCCCAACGGTGGGCCTGTTCCAGCTTCCCCTGGCCCCTCTGTGCAGGTCCTACCTCAGGGGCCTCCACAGGGTGGCTGAGGGGTCGTTGGTGACAGCCAGGAGGAAACAGGCCACCTTTCCCTCCTCTTCCTCTCTGGAATCTAGACAGCAGAGCCGAGCTCTGCAGACCAGAACACAGGCAGCTTCATCCTGGACTCAATGTCACCAGAGGGCACCCAGGCCCCACCCTGGCCTCTGCTGAGGTGGTCCTGGCAGCTTCCCTGCCCTCAGCACCCTGCCTCTGCCCACCCTCTGCACCCCACCTCCGCCCAGGTGGGGTGAGATCCTGTGACAGGACCTGGCCCAGGACACAGTGACCCCTGAAGGCTCCTGGGCTCCTGGGGTTGCCACTCCCATCTAGGGGCATTTGGCAACTGGCCTCTGCCTCCCTGAACCTCAGATTTTCCATGTATGAAGGGGACTCATAAACCTCACAGGATTTCAGCAACGCACCTGCTGCCCTGTGACCCCACACTGCAGGGACAGTCCCTGCCCCCCTCACCTCTGAGGCTGCCCCTGCACAGATGCCCTGAACATGCCCATGCCTTGTTAACTCTGACTGACTCTTTAGAGCACAAACCCCTCCTCAGCAGGCCTTCCCTGCTGCCTCAGACTCCCAATAACATGAAACACTCTCAAAGCATCTGCAGTGTGCCAGGGTCACTGTTCACACACACTAGACACACCACCTCCTCAATCCAACTCTCAACCATGGGAGTGGGAGGGGCTCAAGTATTATTCCCACTTTACAGATGGGGAAATTGAGGCCCAGAGACCACCAGCTAGTAAACAGCCAGACCCAGGGAGGTCATCTGCAAAGTTAGCACCCTTAACTACCATGCGGGTTCTCGCTGTCCTGGAAGCACGCTCACTTCTTTATACAAACCGTCCCGCTCTACACCTCTTCCCCTGGGCATGCAGGACAGGACAGCACAGCTCTGTCCACACTGTCAAACCCATGCCTCGTGGGGTCGAGCATCACTCTGGGCACGAGCAAGCTCAGCATGGAGCAGGTGTGCCAGGATGACCCTGCTGACATTTTGGTCCTGCTTGTGTTCTCTTGGGATGCCCCAACCCCATCCCCGTCACCCAGGAGTTGCTTCCTCAGTGCCCCAGAGCTGTGTAGCCCTGGCTGAGGCAGCCCCATGCCCACGGGCCCAGAACTCACTGGGTTCAGGTAGGTAGTCGGGGCACCACTGAAGGCCATCTCTCCACCACCTCTGTGGCACTGCTGCCTTTCACACCCGCCAGGCAGTTCTCTGCAGAAGGAAGGGCTTAACAAAGAAATAGAAACCAAAGCAACTTGGCTGTTTTTCAATGGGGAGGAGCGGTCAGCAAGAGGAAGTGGGTCCAGAGAGGGAACGGTAGGGTGCTGGGTGGAGGATCGGGGTGACACTCACAGAGGGAAGTGAGCACTCTTAGCCCAGTGACCTTTCCCTCCTCCCTCTCCTGTGCTCCACCCCTGAACCCAAAGCATATTTGGTTCATACAGGTTTATGATATCCAATCACATTGACACAACAGTGAGTTGCCAGATGACACTGCCCGGAAGCATGTGGCTGTGTAGCCTGACCACGCTTGGTCACAGAATCCGGAAAATAATGGAGCTGGGTATTGCCTGTGCATGGGGTGCCGGAGGGGAAGGGAGCCTTCAACCCATTTTACATTCAGAGAAGCTGAGGCTCAGAGTCTGAGGGACATGGCCCAGGTCACACAGCTAATTCGCTGTGGCAGCCTGAGTTATATGAAGATTCTCAGACTCTTCAAAAACTATTTCTCCTCTTTAAATTTCTATTCTTCATATAAAAACATAGTAACTTAGAGGGGAATATTTTGTAAGAAAAACACCTTAATGAAGATTTTTATTCTAGAGTGGGGGGTGCCCAGGAGCTTCTGATCCTCCCTCTCTCAGTGAATTTCTCTTTCTTCTCTTCTCTATCCTTATTTTCTGTGCCTTAGGATGGGGAGATAAGTCTTGGACACACTAGAATATTTCAGGTGACATGCGGGTGGGAAGGAACATATGGCATGAACTGCCTTTAATTGGCTTGAGACTGAGTTAGGGGAAATGATTGGTCGAAATAGAATAACAGGATAGGCTGCAGCGTGGGGAGGGAGCCATGAAACAAACTTCCCTGAAGTCAACCAGGTATCAGTGATGTGCTGGCCAGAAGGCCCAGAACACAAGCTGGGATGGGTGGGTAAAGACCTGTACAGGCTCGAGGGAGTGGAAGGTGCGCAGGGCCACATTTGCGTCTGTACCTCTCTTCCTTTTTGTGCTCTGCCTAGATGCACTAGAACCTGCAGGCGAATTCCTCTGAGATGCTCTCACAGGCTGAAGCCATGTGAGCCGTCTGCATGCTCCATCCCCATTATGTTCCTGGATCAAGTAGAATTTGACCAATTTAAGGAGCAGACAGTTCAGGTGGAGCAGAAAGGAGAGAAAGGACGGGAAATTCTTCACGATCCTCTGTGACAGCATGGACAGCCGGAACAATTTCACCATGGCATGTCATTTGTAGGTTGTCGCCAATTGGGTGGGATATGGAACTGGGACTCTCATTCACAGCAGACTGGAGTGGAAAACAATCCAACTTAGAAAAGCTGGTGGGGTGTTGTGGCTCACACCTGTAATCCCGGCACTTCAAGAGGCTGAGGCAGAAGGATCACTTCAGTCCAGGAGCTTGAGACCAGCCTGGGCAAGATAGGAAGACTCTGTCTCTACACGTAATTTAAAAAGCAAATTAGCCAGGTGTGGTGGTGCACACCTGTGGTCTCAGTTACATGGGAGGCTGAGGTCACTTGACCCTAGGAGGCCAAGGCTGCAGTGAACCATCATCACACCGCTGCACTCCAGCCTGGGCAACAGAGCAAGACTCTGTCTCAAAAAATTAAAAAATAGAAAGAAAAACTGCTTGGTGAGTTGTCACACAGTCAAATACCAACTTCTCCTATGTTCTGGCTTTTCCACTTCTAAAAAATTACCCAAGGGAAAGAAAAACGTTATTTTTCTGTTTTTTAACAACTTTATTCATCGTAGCCCCAGGCTGGAAACAATGTAAATCTTCACCAGCAGCAGAAGGGAGAAATGAATTGTGGTTTTCATACAAGAGTTGCCTCAGCAATAAAAAGGAGCGAGGCCACAGGAAACATCAGTGGGCCTCCCAACTGAGCGGAAGCTAGATCCAAACAGACACATGCTGTGAGAATTCCATTCAGGTCGAGTTGAACAGGCTAGAAGTTACCCTTGGGAGTCACTGACTGGGATGGGCATGAAGGACTCCTGAGAGGCTGGAAATGTTCTGGATCTGCTTCTGGGTGGTGGACGCACAGGTGTTTACATTCCTTAAAAATAGGCTGAGGCTGGATGCAGTAGCGGACACTTGTCATTCAGCAGTTTGGGAGGCTGAGGCAGGAGGATTGTTTCAGCCTAGCAGTTCGAGAGCAGCCTGGGCAGCATAGCAACACCTTGTCTCTACTAAAATAAAGAAAAAGTTAGTGGGGCATGGTGGTACAGGGAGACTGAGGCAGAAGGGTTACTCGAGCCTGGGAGGTTGAGTCACAGTGAGCTATGATTGTGCCACTGCACTCTCCCTTGGGTGACAGAGCAAGACCCTGTCTCGAAACGAAACAAAAGTCAAACAGAAAACCAGGATCTGTACATTTTACTCTACCTAGACAGTATCTCCATAAAATACTGCTAAAAAGAGAAAATCTCCCAGAGCCCAAGGAGACGCAGGCACAGATAAGAGTTCCAGCAAGTCAGCACCTTGGTATCACCTTGAGCCTTGGCGGCGAGCCACAGGTAAGCAACACCACTAGTGAGTCCAGCCCAGAAAGGAGGCCCTCTGCTCCACACCCTGCCTGGGGGGACCCAGTCATACCCAAAGGCCAGTGTGTTTTCAGACTAATAGACACAGAAGGGAGGTGCTTCGAGGCACAGTGCCAGGCCACTGAGAATTCTAACTCTGGCACCCTTCAGTCACCACAATCCATTCCCAGGGGTTAGCTCTGGTTTTCCGGAGACGAGAAGCAGCCCTTGGGAATGTTCCTTCTCAGAGTATTCAAAGTCGCAGACCCTTCTTGGAGGCCCTCTGTTCTCTGTCCCACAGACTGAGGGATCTTTTCAAAATTTAAGTCTGCCACCTCACACTCATTAGGATGGCTATGATTTTAAAAAACACCCAGAAAATAACAACTGTTGGTTTAGAAGGTGGGTAAACTGGAACCCTGTGAAAACAGCATGGCTCTTCCTCAAAAACCTCAACATAGAATTACTATATGATCCAGCAATTCCACTTCCGGGTACACACCCCAAATAACTGAAAGCAGGAACTCAGAGAGACGCGTGTGCCCATGACTGCAGCAGCATCATTCACAAAAGCCAACGGGTGAAAGCAAGGGATGCGTGCCCATCAATGGATGAATGGATCAATGTGGGCTAGACATACAATTCAGCCCTAAAAAGGAAGGAAATGCTGGCACATGCCACACATGGATGGTCCCTGAGAACATAATGGGCTATACATAGTAGGAACAGCCCACGTTTGAATCTTGGCCCTGTCATTTAATTCTTGTGTGATCTTCAGTAAGTTCCTTCATTTCCCCAAGCTTCCTTTCCTCACCCATAAAATGAGGCAAATGAATGTGAACCTTAGAGAGAGGCTGTGGGGATGAAATGGGGTAATGCATGAAAAGGACTTGGGGCTGAGCGCTGCACATAGTGCCCACATGCCAGCACCTTCAGTTACTCCTGGACTGCACTGATCCTGTGCCCAGACCTGTTCACCTTCCCCAGTAATAGAGCTCCTCATGAAGGAATCCTTCCATCCGCAGTGACGCCTCCAGCACAGCGGGCCTTCAGCAGGGCAGTCAGTGATGCCCGTGGATGCCTGAGTGCAGTTGTACAATGCAGGGGACCCTGGGTCCTCGTCCAGTTCCCTTTGGAAACCTCATTGTATAGGGACAGTTGTATTGAACCATATTCATCACTGAAACACGCATGCACACACCCCTCCTGAGAACAAACATTCTCGCTGAGCGTATTCTACCTCCATAAAGTCAGATATATGGTTCTAACTGCTTTCTAATTGGCAGTGCACCTCTCTCCTGCAGACTAGGATGAAACAGTACTTTGCCTCACTCCATAAATCCAGTAGTTTAACGCAGTGGTTCCAACCTTTTTGCCACCAGGGACCAGTTTCATAGAGGGCAATTTTTCACGGATGGAACAGGGAGATATGATGGTTTCAGGATGAAGCTGTTCCACCCCAGATCGTCAGACGTTAAGACTCAGATTCCCATAAGGAGTGCATGACCTAGATCCTTCATCTGCGCAGTTCACGACAGGGTTTGCACTCCTGTGAGTATCTAATGTCGCTGCCTAACTTCATCCTATTGTGGTTGGAGAAGATGCTTTGTACATACCTGTTGAAATCTGTTGAGACTTAATGTGTGGCCTACCACATGGTCTATCCTGGGAAACGTTCCACAACTTAGCACTATCTTTTGAACACAGGGGGTACTCAGTAAACATCTGACAAGTTCCCAGACTTCTGATGAGAGGTTTTGGAGTCAAAGACGAGGCCAGAGTCCTAGACTAGCCACGCTGCAGCTGTGTGGTCCGGGCGAACACCTTATCCTCTCCGTTTCTTATTCCTTAGCGGAAACATCGTAATTCTTCCATGCCACCTCGTGGCCTTGTGAGGATTAAAGTGAGATGATGGCGTTTATAAAGCACCTCTTCTCCACCTAGCTGTATATATAACTGGCAATCAGGGCTCCTAGAAATTGGACTCGATGAACACCACCTCAGTCTGCCAAGGCTTCCATAAGGCTAAGGCGCCTCCAGCCCAGGAGATGCTGGGGCTGCTCATGGCTTTGTTGCTGCTGGGAGCTGGATGATCTTCCTCTGTGCTTTGTAGGCCTTTGACGACGTGCCTTCTCCATTCCTCCATCTGTTTAGAAACACCTGCTGCTGCGGTCCTGTTATAACTTCTTCCTTTGGAAGGAGCTCCTTAATCCCTAGACCAGGTGTTCAGACACCCCAGATCCATTCCCATGCCACCCATCCACACGGTCCCCCGGACTCATCTGGAACTGACCAAAGCACACACAAGCCCCGGGACACCTTGGTATAACTTTATTCACAAACTCCAGATGCCTGGGCCTAGCTTAGCACAGAAGGCATGTTCTTGCCAGTGGCAAAAAAACCCGATACAGCACGTTTGTTAATACTAACCATTTTAATTTAAATTAATAGCATGTCTGGAAGACAAATGCAGTTGATAGAAAATATAAAAACTTTACTGTACAAATTTTACATCGCATTCAAAAAAAGCAAGTGTGTGGCTTGTGGCCACAGAAGATGCTAGGTTTGCACACGCTGATGAGATCCTGGCTAACACTGCTGCATAGCACAAACTCCAACTGGCTTCACATTTACATGCCCACCCTCCCCCCATGCCAAATCCACACAGAATAGCACAGGTTGCCAGGGCTTGCCATTCCCCTCTGTGACCTCAAGAGGAAATGTTGTAAGGAGACAGAGGGTGTTTTGATTTGGTGACATGGAGAGATCGGCTTTGCTACACATTGCTCACAACTAACCCCAAACTAGCTAGGATTCAAGACTTTGAGTTAGGCAGAAACCCGGGGGCTGCGGCTCTGGTGGTTCAAGGCAGCAGGGCTTCAGAGGCGAGGCTGGAAACTGGGGGTGCCTTGGAGGGCTAAAGCTTGGGCTCCACTCTCAGACCCCAGTGGGGACTTCCGCAGCCCCTAAGAGCTCTCCCCAAGCCCTCCCAGCCTTCTCCATCCCCTTCACAGTTGGCCGTGAGGGCTGAATTCACAGTATCTGTCATCCTTCGTGTTTCCAAGGCAAATGGAGAGAGCACACAGAAGGGCAGGTGTGCCTTCCTAATCTCAGTTCACAGTCACTGAAATACAAGGGAAGCAGGGGGACCATCACGGGGTGGTGTGGGGTTCTTAAAAGACAGGCAGTGCAGAGGTGGCAGGCTGAGAGTCAGAAGGCTGCCCTCAGTCCTCCAATTCCACCTTTGGGGCCCAGTGGCTTCTGGGTTCCTGGAAGATAACGGGGCACCACCAGGTCATCAGTTCCGTAAGAGCAGGGACCATGACTGCTCCTATCTCTAGGTGCCCAGCACTTGCACAGGGCCAAGTGCACTGTAGTTGCTCAACGAGTGCTTAACTGTGATGCTCATGAGAAAAAGCAAAACCCAGACTGACTTTCTGGGGGCCTGCGCATCCCACTGTGGGCTGGCGTCAGGGGCTGGGGAGGAACCGAGCCTGACTGGCTAAGCTGATGCCCAACCATGGGGCTCACCAGGACATCTATCAGGCCTGCTCTCGCCTGGACAAAGGGCACCGTTGCAATAGAAAGGTGGAAGGCTGGAGACACAGGTGATCTCTGGGAAGAGGCGGGCATGTGGGAGGCCCAAAGGATGACAGGGCAAAATAAGCAGTCCCACCACAGCACAGAAGCCCCGCATGGAGCTGAGTCCATGTGGTTTATGGCCAACCCTCAAGTGCTGGGAAGGGTGAAGATGCTGATGGACAGGCACGCTGGCACTGCTATACAGCTGTGCCAAGGAGGGGCTGACCAAGAGGTGCCCGGCCAGGAAAGGAGGCAGCTCCACAGCTTCCTGGCAGAGCAGCTCATCTTCTGTGGCATTTTGACCAGGCTCGGTTTCTAGGGAAGGGGCTGGAGACTGGGGCTCTGGTAGATGGGTCTAACCGCAAGGGGTGGGAGCCACCTCCCTCCCGCCCCAAGTCCGAGCTCAGAGCATGGTCACAGGTTCTGGGCCTGAATCCAATCTCATCTTCACTCCCAACACCTCTTTTTCCTTTCTGGTTTTGGAGCCTAATGCAGCCTAACCTCCACTTAAGGGCTCCCTTGCCATCTGGACTTATCTCTGCAGGTGAGAGTTGCTAATGAAGACAAGTGTGGTGCTCTCACGTCAAAGACTTCCAAATCCAGCCCCTCCTGTTTCAAACACAAGTAGAAGGCCTAGTGGTGCCAGAGAAGGCTCTGCAGATGGGGGCCAGCTAGCTGGGTCTATATGAAAGGGGTCGCGGGCCACATGCTGCCCATCTGAGCTCAGAGCATGGACAGAGGAGTTGGTCATGGGCTAAGGGGTTTCAACAGGACTGACATGGAAGAGGTGGGAAATTCTAGAACCTTCTGGCACAACTGACAAAGGGTTTTACAGTGCCAGGGTCACCCTGTGGCGGGGAAGAGGGCTCAGGTACCTTTGCCATCTACTCCTTCTCCTTCTCCCGTCTTCCTCATTCTCACCCATCCGGCCCTCGAGGTCAGATGTCAGTCAGGGACTGGGATGTATCGAAAAGCCGAGGTCCTGAGTCCCATCACCTTGGTGCCTGCTGGGGGCTTTATCAAAGACTCACATCTGTACAAGCCATGGGTGTTTCCTCACCTTGCAGCAGAAACCCTGGCTGGGAACCACCAGGTAAGTCCAGACATTTTCTGGATTCTGTTTCTATTTTTCCAATAGGAGCGGCCTGGATTACAGGGATGAGAAGGTGAACCCAAGCTCTCCAGGAACTCCAGACTCCATAATCAAGCTCAGTTCCCAGCCAGGGTTTCCTCTGCAAGACGAGGAAAGGGCAGCATTCCTTTGAAAGGACAAGGAGAGAGGCCTAGAATGAGTCCCCGATTCCCTCAATGGGCTCTTGGGCCAAAAAGCCAAGTCCAGGTCAGACCTTGTGGGCTCCCTGCCCTAACCCAAGAACAGCTGCAATCGCCATGTGTGTCTTCCCCTCTGGCCCAGAATGGGTCCTTCACCGCCTACGAGGTCCTCCAGAGGACACGGCCATTTCCGCCATCCTGGCCGTCAGTCCCAGCGCATCTACACACGGACTGTTTCTATTATTAATCTACTGTAAAACATCAGGTTCACTCCGCAGACATACATGTGTAAACATTTGCTGTCTGTCAGGACAGGTTTGGTTGTTGGTGGTGTCATGTTAAGAAATAGCAGGTGCAGCTCCATCTCCCAAATGGGGTTTATTGCGAACAGTCTGAATCTAGGACACGTGCTCCTTGTTGGCAGCGCTGGGCAAGGCAGTCTATTTTTTGTTGTGGTGGTGGTTTGGATGTTTCAGAAATGCATTTTAAAAAGAAAGAGATCAGCAGCAGAAAAACCACATGGCTGGCTACATCTTTGAATTACTGGACTCCAGGACGCCCAAGCCAAACCTTTCAAACCGGGGTACAACTTTGCTGCTGTTAATGCTGTGAAGAGGAACAAAAACAAGAATTATAGCCCCATGGGTCTTCATCAGAATTAGGGTAACACTAGCTAGGAAATGAGCGGAGCAGAGGATCTGGCCTCCAACAAGAAATGAAAATGATTGTTGGCCAATAGCGCTGGCAGAGCTGCCCTGGTCACATGGCATCCAAGGCCCCAGCCACACTCCAGGTAGTTCTACCTGGAGCAACAGTGGCTCTTTCATCTCCGAGTCCCAAGTTCCCAGCATGCTCAGTGCTGCTGTGGGCTCCTCGGAATCATTTTCTCATTTGCGGCCCAGGAAAGCTCTTGCTCCAAGTAGAACTGAGAGAGAAGAGAAACACGACCCCAAAATACCAGGAGTGATGTGACATGTTCCTTTCAGAAATCTACCGAATACTGGGGTGCATCAGGGCCACCTGGGAAGCAGGCTGAAACGCAGATTCCTAGAGCCCAATTCCAGAGATCTGGTTCAGCACATTTTGCTGGGGAGGGAGGATAGGAACTTGCGTTTAGTAAACAGCTCAGTGACTGCCGCGGGGGACATCAGCCATGCTCTTAACAAATGCCGACCTGGGGACTGGTCTATGGCATACTGGGCAGGTGTAAAGGGAATAATTTTGCCAGGGTGGCAGGGTGGGGACAGGGGAGAGACTTTGTTTTCATATGAAACATTTTTAGAGCCAGATACCTCTTTGTTTTAAGACAGCTTTTCTGAGGGTGCCACTGAAGACACAACCCTTCCGAGCTGGTGTTTTTCATGGCCACAGAACTTTCTGTGTCTTCTGATGCAACTCTACAGACGGGACTGAGAGGCAAGAGCCCAGCAGAGGGTTCCTGTGACCAGGGTGCCGGCGTCAGGGCAGCTCTGAAATCATTCCACTCCTTGTTGGACAAAATCCCCATGGGTTAAAAGCTAAGCCAACACCCTCCCCACCTCCGCCCACCCCACACTAGGCACACACTCAGTGCTCACAGGCTGGTAGGGTGTGGAAGCATCTCACTAAGGTGTTAGCAGTAAGACAGGGCCACCCAAACAAAAACAAGACCAGCCCTCAGAAGAACAAGGGAGCAGTCAAAGTCACGTCCAGGAAGGTAGTTAGAAGCTGCCAGACCGCCTGGGAGGGAGCTCAGTTAGTGGGATCCTCTGAGAACAGTTACTCAGGCATACGCAGGCCACGTGGAGGGGGCAGAGGGCCAGTTTTAAAAACAAAGCAAAAGAAGGGCTCGAGAGAGACGACTGGAGCAGCAGAGGTGGCATCCCCTGGGTTAGTGCCCGCATCTCATTGTGCATTTTAGTAGAAGTCACGATGCCGAGTTGTTGATTAGGAGGAAGAAAGCTCCTGGTGCATGCAAGGCAGCCAGGCCTACAACCTACGGGGGGGAAAGAGAAGAAAGCAAAGAACAGCGTCAGGACCACAGCCTCATGCGGAGCCTGCTGGGAGCTACAGGCCGGGCCAGAGCAGCTGGGCGGACTCCCTTTCCCTTCCAGAGAGAAGGGTCATCCCGGACTCCATCCTCCACGCTTGGCTGCACTGCAACCTCAGAAGGGAGCGTGGGCACAAAGAACCCTCTCTAAGCTCCTGCAGGGCACAGTCGCAGCACGTTAATAAAGAGGCTGGCCCAGGCCCATGGCTCCTTAGCCCTTGATGAGCAAATCTACCTCCAGGAGTAATTCTGCTTCACTGGATTCTCTTCTCTTGAGCTCTGGCCAGGGTGACTGGGCCCCTGGGGACTCAGATCAATGACCCAAGTTCTCTCTGACCCAGGGACAAGCCATCCATCTACTCGTGGTATGGACAGAGGCCCCAGCCACATGCTGTGGCTCTTCTTTCACCCAGCGAAAAATGCAAGCCTGTGTAACCCTTGCTGGTGGCCATTTCAGCTGCAGAAACCTCACTTTGGTTTTCGAGAATAAACGATACAAAGATGGGAGAAGCTGGGAAGCAGCAACAGAAAGGAAGCGGGGTTTGTGTCAGGACAACCAGAGACAGGCAGCCAGAGAGGGAAGGAACACACTATTCCTCCAGAACCGGACAGGAGCTCTTAAAGTCAGGGTGGCCGTAGCGTCCTTTTCCATAGTAGCGGCTCCTCCAGCGGCTGGGAGTGCCCAGCGACCGTTCCGCCAGGCGTGAGAAGAGCGCAGTCCGGCCCCGGCAGGTGATGGAGTCGGGCCCGTGTGGACAGGTGGAGGAATCAGATGATGGGAAAGGGGGAGATGACAGAACAGCACATCCGCCACCCCCCCACAATAAAAAGGTGACAGGGTCAATGGGAAAGAAAAGAGAAAGTGAGAATTAGGGGCCAAGCATGTAGAAAGTGAACACTCAACAGGAAGCCTGACACAGACTCACTCAGGAAAGGAAAACTCGCATGCTTTCCTTGAAGGGGCTGGGCAGGGAACAGCCCATCTGTGACTCAGTTTCCTGCCTGTGAAATGAGAAGGTGGGAATGTATGGTTTCTAGGGAATCTGGAATGATGCCCTGAATGCCAGTGTCCACCTAATGGAGTCTTTTCTTTTGTGAGGGAGAAAACCAGGGCCCAGCTTGTTAAGCGAGTTGCCTGAGGTGTGATCGGAACTTGGCCTCACCACCTCACATCACCCTCCCTGAACTGCTAAGAGTCCCATGCTCCTGGTCTCTGCTGGGCTCAAAATCCAGCCCTGATGACCCTTCTTCCAGAGACTCTTCCTCATGTCCCCCAGATGGACGCAGAGGCCCCCGTCTGGGCTTTATCAAAGCACCTGGCATGTTATCACCCTTTGCCCATTCATTCATGCACGTCAAATATTTAGTGACCAACTCTAATGTTCCTGGGATTGTACCAGGAGCCAGGAACATAAAGGTGATAAGAAAGAGTCCTGATGTGTGCAGGTTTCATTTCAGTGCATGTCTGTCTTTATGACACTGGAAACCCCTTGCTGGTGGAGCTGTGGCTTTGGCTACCTGTGTTTCCCCAGGTGTGTGGCAGATGCACAGTAATGGCTGCCTAAGACGCACACCTCTATGGTTACGATCCACTACCCCACATTTGTGCTGGACTCCAACCCATCCTAACTACAAAATACTAAACCCAGTATTGCATGAAATATGGTATTCCCTGACCCCACACTGTCATTCCTCCAGACCATCCGTCTACCTGGCCTGAATCAGTGAAGCACCAAGCACTTCTTTAGTGAGTGACTTCTGCAGGAGAGAAAACTCATGCTGGGTCTCTCCTCAAGTGTAGCTGGAGGCCCACTTTGACTCAAACCTGTAATCCCAGCACTCTGGGAGGCCACGGCAGGCAGATCATTTGAGGTCAGGAGTTTGAGATCACCCTGGCCAACATGGTGAAACCCCATCTCCACCCAAAAAAAAAAAAAAGAACCCTACAAAAATTAGCCAGGCGTGGTGGCAGGCACCTGTAATCCCTGCAACTTGGGAGGCTGAGGCATGAGAATTGCTTGAACCCAGGAAGCAGAGGTTGCAATGAGTTGAGATTGTGACACTGCACTCCAGCCTGGGCAACAGAGTGAGACTCTGTCTCAAAAAAAAACAACAAAAAAATATAAAAGACACAGTCTGGAGAATGGGCGTGGTGGTTCATGCCTGTAATCTCGGCACTTTGGGAGGCCAAGGTAGGTGGATCACCTGAGGTCAGGAGTTCGAGACCAGCCTGGCCAATATGGTGAAACCCCATCTCTACCAAAAATACAAAAATTACCCGGGTGTGGTAGTGTGCACCTGTAATCCCAGCTACTTGGGAGGCTGAGGCAGGAGAATCGCTTGAACCCAGGAGGCAGACGTTGCAGTGAGCCAAGATTGCGACATTGCACTCTAGCCTGAGTGACAGAGGGAGACGTCTCAAAAAAAAAAAAAAAGACTCTCTCTGGAAAACAATGTGCGAATGTGCGAGCCAAATCTGGCCACACGCTAAGAAAGGTTCTGAGTACTTTAAAGGGTTGAAAAGTAGTAACAAAGAACATGTGACAGAGACTGTGTCATTGCAAGCCCAAAATATTTACTACCTGACCCTTCCCAGGATAAGGAAAGCTGCCTCCACACCACACCTGGCGTTGGTAAGGGAGGTGGGGATGTATAGCTTCTCCAGGCACTTAGTGACACACATGCACAGGGACGGGAGCCCCAGGGGCTTCCTTGGCAGTGGGTAGCAGACAGGCTCTTCCTGTCACTCCCATCAAGAGCAGCTCCACTTTATGGGTTTTATATAGTGGGGTTCTGTGGGAGACTTCACTTTTAGAAAGTGTCCTTTTCCTTAACATTTAAAACTGGTTGGGCCAGTGGCTCACACCTGTAATCCTAGCACTTTGGGAGGCTGAGGCAGGAGAATCACTTGAGCTCAGGAGTTCGAAACCAGCCTGGGCAACACAGAGACCTCATCTCTATGTGTATAAAAACTTTTTTTTTTTTGAGATGGAGTTTCGCTGTTGTTACCCAGACTGGAGTGCAATGGCTCGATCTCGACTCACCGCAACCTCCGCCTTCTGGGTTCAAGCAATTCTCCTGCCTCAGCCTCCCGAGTAGCTGGGACTACAGGCGCACACCACCATGCCCAGCTAATTTTGTATTTTTAGTAGAGACGGGGTTGTTGACCAGGATGGTCTCGATCTCTTGGCCTCATGATCCACCCTCCTCAGCCTCCCAAAGTGCTGGGATTATAGGCATGAGCCACCGCGCCCGGCCTAAAACCATTTTTAAGAAAAGTTTTTCAGAAAGGTAAAACTATTCTTAGTTTGCAGAGTGTACAGACACAGGTGGCAGGCCATACTTGACCTACAAGGCTGGACTCCTGGGTGAGATGAATCGTTTCACTTTCTACAGGATTGGAGGCAAAAATACCAAAAGAAGACTATTTCATGACATGTGAAATCCCAATTTCCAGCATTAAGTCCTACTGACATGCAGCCAGCTCCCTGGTTTATGCCGTCCATGGCTGCTCCCGTGCTGCGACGGCAGAGCTGAGATGCTGTGACAGAGACGGTGCTCAGCACCCTGCCAAAGGCAGCTCCTGGAGAGAGGACCTGATTGGCCCTCTTGGCCTGCAATGTCTCAAATATTCACCTGGCCATTTACAGCAAGTTTACCTGCCCTGGACCTGACCCAACCCCTAGCCCAGAGACTTTTTGAGCCATGAAAACTGAGGCCCAGAGCATAAAAGGACTTCCCAGGTTCTCACAGAGCATTCATGGCAGGGCAGAGGTCTCCTCTGAGTGTTCTAACAGAGGCAGCCAGAGGACAAAGGAAAAAGGGAATGAGATAGAAGGCAGGAGAGATAACAGTGGCCTGTAATCTGGTGGTTATCACCCCCACACCAAGGAGTGCAAAGGGTTGTGCATTAAACCAGGAGGGAGACAGCTTCCAGCATCAAACTACCACATAAACCCAAGTGACTGTGGTCCCCATAAGACGTGGCTGGCTTCTAGTGCTTCAGTTGGTGACATCGTAGCAATACTGGCTCTGCTTATTTCAGTGATGCTTACAGTATGTCACTCTGACTTCTAACTGGCCCCATCTTGCCACTCTCTCACAGAACCTTCTAGTCCTGGCCTGGCCTGGCATCAGTGCTGGTCTGCTAATACTGATGATGCAGTTTGTCATAGCTGCAAATTGGAGGTGCTCACCTGTCAAAGGGAGTCTCCAAAATAAATGTGGTAAATGAAATCCTGGTATCACTCTGGCTAACCTGCTTCGTGTATTCCTAAAGTCCTGGGCAGAGGCTGGGCATGGTGGTTCACACCTGTAATCCCAGCACTTTGGGAGGCCAAGGCAGGCAGATCACTTGAGGTCAGGAGTTTGAGACAAGCCTGGGGAATATAGTGAAACCCCATCTCTACTAAAAACACAAAAACAGCCAGGTGTGGTGGCATACGCCTATAGTCCCAGCCCCTTGGGAGGCTGAGGCAGGAGAACTGCTTGAACCTAGGAGGCGGAGGTTGTAGTGAGCCAAGATCATGCCACTACACTCCAGCCTGGCAACAGAGCAAGACTCCGCCTCAAAAAACCCCCCCAAAACAAAGTCTTGGGTAGAAAGAGCAGAAGGAGCCCTCTAAGACCCCAGGTGAAGCTGCGAGGGCCTGGCTGGCAGAATCTGGCTCGTATGGGAGGCACTTACTCAGCTGACTTCCAGAAGTGCCCGGGGTGGGAGAGCCGCCGGTTCAGCTTGGGAAGTTTCTCCAGCATGTCCATCAGCAGGCTGAAGCTGGGTCTCTCCTGCAGGTCGAAAGCCCAGCAGGCTGACAGGATCTCCTGCAAATGGAGCTGCCGTCAGTGGTGTATGAGCTGGCTGGGAGGGAGGGGGCACACAGGAGGGGCTCCACGAAGCGGCCCTTTGATGTTCTCAAGTACCTCTAGCTGGTGGCCCCTGAACACCCTGCCGACATGAAGGGCTGAGAAGTAACTGGGTTTCAGAGAAGCACTCATGCTTCTGGCTCCACGTGAGATGCACTAGATTACCTCGCCTCCTTCCTTCTTAGATCCACGCCCACCCCAAAGTAAGAGTAACTACGATGAACAGACTAGCAACGGGAAAGAGATCAGACAAGGGGCTGTTGGTTTTCTGAAGATGAAAAGTGCAAGGTACAAAGTTCACAGGTGAAAGGAAAGATACTGGGAATATGCGCAGGGCGGGGCTGCAGCAGAGGAGGGAACCTCAGCATTAGCAGAACTGTGGCTGGAGTGACAAGGAGGACTCAATGTAGGGGCAGCAGCTGAGAGTCAGCAGAACAGCTGTCCCGACTGCCCCCAGAGCAGAGCCCTTCTGACTGCGGCACTGTGCTGCCTGCTCTCAGGATCCATGCATGTGCCAGCACAGCCCTGCAGCTGCTGATTCAGAGCTGCCTGTGAGGAAAGGCCTATTCCCTGCACATATGACCAGGCAGATACATACACCCACACAGACTCAGCAACTCAGGCTTTTGCTCTTAAATACTAGACTCCATGGGGTTGCCTGCCTATCAGGAAAACCAGACAGAGATCAAAGATAAGCAGATCAAGAAACTATCTCTGGAGGGTAAGGGGCGTGCATGTGCGCCTGTGTACATTTGAGTGAGGCAGCTACTCTATACATAAAACAAGACCAGGCTGCAATAAAAAAGAAATCAACAAAGAAGGAAGTGCTTGAAATTAAAAATACAATTTCTGAATGGAAACATTAAAAGTGCTGAATGATAAAAATCAAGGAAATTCCCCAGATTGTGGGCTCAATTCTAGGAACAGAAAATACGAAAGAAGGCAAGAAGAATGTAGGCTCACTAAGAGGAACCAAATTCTGTCTAATGGGGATTTCCACAAAAGTAAACAGACTACTGGGCAGGAAATTATCAAAGAAATAATAAAAGAAAATTTACTAGAAACTTTCAAAAGTAGCATCTGTCTTCAGCTGAAAAGGTATCCAATAAAGGGACCTCACTTTTTAAAAAAAAGTAAAAAAATTAAAAACTCTATACTCAGACACAATTTTATGAAATTTTCTCTATAGCAGGGATAAACCGAAAATCCTAGATGCTTCCAGAAAGAACAAGATAAGCATCCACAAAAGGCTGAGAATCAGACCAACATCAGACTTCTCAACAAGACCTTGGACATTTAGTAGACAGCAGGGCAAAACCCCTGTGTTCTCAGGGAAAATTATTATAAACCTGGAATTCTACTCCTGATGTGAGGACAAAATTAATAACTTTTTTTAGGCATGCAAGGATTCAAAGAGTATCTCCCATTCTTCCACTGGGAGGCAGTTTCTTCAGGTTTCACTGGAAGTTTGTTTGCTAGAGTGCAAATAAAGAGGGGAAGGCACGAGACATAAGAGTGCAACTGACCCAGGAGTAAACAAAAAGAAGGGTAACAGCTGGGTAACAGGCCTAACATCCCACTGATTCAAGTGACAAGAAACCAGTGGGCTCTGAAAAGAATGAAACAAATTCCATTCAAGAAGCAGAATGCAGAAGAAGCTGAAAGACCTCAGGAATATGAGAAAGGTGTTTGTTTCTACTTTTTTTTTTTTGAGACAGAATTTCGCTGTTGTTACGCAGACTGGAGTGCAATGGCACAATCTCGGCTCACTGCAACCTCCGCTTCCTGGGTTCAAGCAATTCTCCTGCCTCAGCCTCCCAAGTAGCTGGGATTACAGGCACGCACCACCATGCCCAGCTAATTTTTGTATTTTTAGTAGAGATGGGGTTTTACCATGTTGGCCAGGATGGTCTTGATCTCTTGACCTCATGATCCGCCTGGCTCGGCCTCCCAAAGTGCTGGGATTACAGGCTTGAGCCACCACGCCCGGCCGAGAAAGGCGTTTATTTCTTTTTTCAGCAATAAGAAAAGGCAAAAAGAAAAAAAAAAAGGCAATTAGAAACTACAGGAAAAACCTAAATTGCTGTGGTCCAAACGTGAAAGCCAACAAAATGGCAAGCCTTTAAGCAACTGATGAAGTAGAAGAGATGGACCCACAAAGAAGAAAACGTAATCCCAGTGAACTACCTGACCAGTGGCTAACAGCACTTGCAGTCTATTATAACAGTGTACACACTGTTCATTATCTTCTCACTTTTAGCCTCCATCATTACGAACAGCATGGAAGATTTAATCATGGCCACATTAACAATAAATAATGGGAAAGCTGACCAAAGTAGTCCAGCAGAAAGGAGAGAGTGACGAGTGAAAAGCTTATAGACCGAGGTGATACCTCTGGTGAATGACCTAGGGTGAGGGACTGCTGGTTTTCACTAAGAACCCTCTGGTCTTTTGATGTCTTCCCATGTGCATGGACCCTTGGGTACAATGACTAGTAACTCACTGGCTGCCTCAGAATATAAAGCAGTACCCAGTGGTGAACTAGACAGCAGTATGGCTGGAGAGACAAATAAAGGCGCCACTCAGAGGGCACACCCAGCTTTTGTCTATGATAAAAAGTCACTTTATTGCATGGACCAGTGTTCCCCTACCCTTAAGAGCAATGTGTTAAGAAGGGAAGGCAAGACAGACAAAAGAAAGGGAACTCCTGTGAACCATGAGCTAGCCGCCAGAGCATCTGCTCTGTCCCCACTCCCCACGCCCCATCCCCAAACTGGTCTCAAAGCAACCATCACCCGCACTAAAAGAAATCCTTCTAATTACTTCAGAACTCTGGCTGTGCTCTAGAATGATCTGAGGAACTATATTTAAAAATAAAAAAACTCTATGATCTTATTCCCATCCCAGGCCAATTAAATTGGCACCTCTATGGGAGAGACCCTGATCCTGGCATTTTTATCAAACTCCCAGATGATTCCAACCAGCAGCCAGTGCTGAGCCCTGACGCCCTCACAGCCCTCTGCTCAGCTCTGCTCCAGCCTTTGCCTCCCTGACGATGGCACTTCCCATTCTCTGCTCCAAGATGCTGAGTGTGCAGGAAGGAAACAAACTGCTGCCAGGAGGGCAGAAGGAAGAAGCTCCTTTCTTCCAGACACAACAAATACACATAACACTCTGCTTTATACAAAGATGTCCTTGCCAACTCTATTGTAAAGAGAGGTGAAAACTGGAAAGAATCTCCATGTCCAGTGACAGAAGCAGTTACATTTCGGCTCGGCCGTAGGACAGTAGGGTCTGACAGCCTTAACGACAAGGATTTGCTAATGATTTGAGATAATGAGCATAATAAAATGTCATGTGGAAAAAGTCACAAGAAAACAATCAGCTAGATGTTATGACATTTATGTCTTAAATTTTATTTATTTTTTTTTTTTTTGAGACGGAGTTTTGCTCTTGTTACCCAGGCTGGAGTGCAATGGCGCAATCTCGGCTCACCGCAACCTCCGCCCCCTGGGTTCAGGCAATTCTCCTGCCTCAGCCTCCTGAGTAGCTGGGATTACAGGTACGCACCACCGTGCCCAGCTAATTTTTTGTAATTTTTAGTAGAGACGGGGTTTCACCATGTTGACCAGGATGGTCTCGATCTGTTGACCTCGTGATCCACCCGCCTCGGCCTCCCAAAGTGCTGGGATTACAGGCTTGAGCCACCGCGCCCGGCCCTTCTTAAATTTTTTTAAAAAAAGACTAGGCTGGGTATAGCTCAGGCCTATAATCCCAGCACTTTGGGAGGCCAAGTTGGATGGATCAGTTGAGGCCAGGAGTTCGAGACCAGCCTGTCCAACACAGTGAAACGTCTCTACTAAAAATACAAAAATTAGCAGGGTGTTTTGGTGCATGCTTGTAATCCCAGCTACTTGGAGGCTGAGGTGGAAGGATCACTTGAATCCGGAGCCTGGGTGACAGAGCAAGACTGTCTCAAAAAAAATTTAAAAAGACTGGAAGGCAGTGGCTACTTCAGCTGCCATTTGTGCTGCTCCAGAGCCTAGCCAAGGAGGCTACAGCCACAGCCAGGAGCCCAAAACCTGTATCTTGAGCCCACTGGCAGTTGCAGGAGGCAGATAAAGAAGGGTCCCCGGAGAACCTCTGTCCCGCCCCACAAGTGTTTACAGCAGATATTTTTGGGAAGATGAGGAAACCTGCACAGGGTCTTGCCTGGGTACACCTGCAACAGACTGGAGACCCATATGCACTGGGGGAATGGGGTGAAGCCACCAGAATTTGTGCCTATGCAGGGGGAAGAGCCTGACCTCTTCAGCTCACGTGTGGTAGCCTGGTATTCAATCTGTGAGGCAGGGGCCTGTTGGGAGGACCCCTCTTTTTGGTTGAGAGCGTTCTTTTAATGAATTCTGCTCTCCTCTCCTCACCTTTCAATGTGTCCATGTGCCTAATATTTCCTGATCATGAGACAAGAACCCGGATTTTAGCTGAGCTAAAAAGCAAAAAATCCTGCATCACCACTACACCCTCCTAAGGTGCCCAAGGATGCACTGAGGTGCAGGTGGTGTTCAACTGGCCCTGGCCCAGAACGATGCCAAGGACGCACTCAAGAGTGTCAGGGAGGTGCTCATCACCCAAGCCCCTTGCCCAGTGCCCCAGAGGAAATGGATCAACTGGCCAAAGAGGAGCCTGCTGTTAGTGTTGTTACCTAGTATTTTGGTGTCATCTTTGGAGGCGCATACCTGTACAAATATTTTGCACTTCAACAAGATGACATATACTACTGCGAAATAAAGTAGATCAAATATAATGTCATCTTGAGTGAGCCTTCTGAGGATGCCCTAGCTGCCTGCCACCTAAAAACTGAGAAAAGTGTTACAATCTATTAAGATCTTGGAGGAAGATGAGATTGAATTCATCACTGTGGATTTGCAGTGACCCTGCCAGCACTGCTCATGACCTGAGCAAGAAGCTCACAGCCTATTCAGACCTTAGCCTGGACAAGTGCTGGGAGGGCCCTCGGAAGACTTCGATTGCTATGCTGCCCGGATACTGACTGCAGCTGCTTATGAACATCAAGGCTGCTTTGTCCCAATCCTATCTGATTCATGGACACATGGCTGTCACCGATGGACTGAAAACAGCCAGTCCTGGAGTTTCTTTATACATCACTGCACCATGACAAAGGGAACTGAAAGTTGTCCGAATCAAAACAGTCACTAATGTGAAGAAAATGCCACAAATCAGGCCTGCGAAAGCCCGGAAGAGAGGCTTCTTGTGCTTGTATGTCTGATAACAAAAACATCCCTAAAGACTCCAAAACCTGCAACCTTGTATGAAGGCCACTGCAACCGTATGCAAAAAAAATACTCCTCCAAGGACATCTGCCCAAAGCAGCCTGTCTAACCTTGGACTGACATCACTCTTGTGATCTTTGTAGCCAGGGACAATTATTAAATACTTCAAAACAATTATGTAATCCTCTTCACTTTTCCCTTTGCCTCCCGGAATAAGCCATTTACCACGGCACGCATATTCCCAGTGCAGTGCTCTAGTTCCAAATAAACATCTTTTGAGAGCCTCTCTCTCTTATTGAGCCTGAGAAAACTTACAAACACAGAGAAACCGTTAAGAAGAAGCCACGCAGATACGAGAAGTCAGCAACCATAATTAAGACTCGGTTTTTTGAAAACAAGTTTGCTGCGGAAACTTCGATTTGTTCTTAACCGTCAAGAAAAACATTATGGGGAAAGATTTAATACCACAGCGTAACACAACTATTTGTAGTTTGAGCAGTGATTTTAAAAAAGATCTTCCTTCATGTAAATAACATGGGGCTTTTTCAGGTATAACTGTAAGGCTGCATGTGGAGAAATAAATAAATAACATGGGGCTTTACTTTCTTCTCATCTTATAAATCATTGAAAACCATTATCTTTAAGGAAAAGAAAAAACACCGAAAGGAATGAAAAAGGTGATGGTGGGTGTAGACAGATATTTTCTTATTTACGCCCCCCGTTCCTTCCCACCCCCAGCAGTGCGTGTCGTTGTCATCTCTAGCTAGACACCTGCAGGTGGCAGAGCCCCTCACCAACCCCACTTCTCAGGTGGGTGAATGAAGGGCGGTTCGAATGAAGGACCCCCAGTCCTACTGCCCCTCCCAGGCAGGGGCTACTCACACTGACTTCCTTCCCCAGGCTGACAGAGGCCAGGACACGCTTCATTCCTTCCCCGCTTCCAATCTGCCAGATGGATGCCTCCGCAGCTTGGTTCTTCAAGGGCCAATCTCTCGCTTGCAGCTCATACCAGACAGTCCTGTGGAGACCCAGCCGTGGCCATGAGCTCTGGGGCCGCTCTGCCCAGCTCACATGCAGGGGCTCTTGCAGCCATCACCCAGCCAGAGGATCAGGACACTTCTCTAACCTTCCTCACTCATTTGGCTTCAGGGGATGCGACGATGGCCTCCTGGAGGCTCCTCCCAGCCTTGGAGGACCTGGGCCCTGTGCTGTCATGCGGTGGGAAGTCTGAGACGGCATGGGTGGTCATTCCGACCTCAGCACAACCCAGCTCTGCCACTTTCTACTGGCTCCTGGTAAAACGGCTTCACCTCAGTGGGGCTGATGCCTCTTGTCACAGGGTTGTTTGAGGAGTACTGAAGTGCCAAGCCCAGCACCTGGCACACATGCGTGCTCAGAAAAGGATACAGTTAAAGGTCAGGGAAGAAGGATGGTGCCAAGGCCACCCCACTGGGAAGGACACCCAGAGACAGCACAGGGGACTGGGGCGGTGAGCCTTGCTTAGCTTCTCCACGTCCCCTTGGCTGTCTCGACTTAGGATGGGCCTTTCTCCATCAGATCCACACTGTCCAGTAGGGGAACCTCTTGCCATATGGGGGCTATTGGCTGGATGAAATGTACACAGTTGAATGGAGGGGTAATCTGGGCAGTTAACACACACCAGAGTTTAAAGACTAGTAGGAAAAAAGAACATAAAATACCATATTCCATATTAATTTGTATGTTGATTACATGTTGAAATAATATTTTGGATATGCTGAGTTAAATAAAATATATCATTTTATAATATATAAAATATAAACAGGGGAAACTAATTTCGCCCATCTCTTTTTTTAATGTGGCTATTAGAAAACTTTAGCTTCTATATTGGGCTCACATTACATTGCTACTGGTCAGCACCCAGCTCTCTGTGGGGTACCAGAGCCTGGCTGGCAGGACGCCCACCTCCCCCAGCCTGGGAGGGACAGTTCTCCGTCAGCTCTGGCGAGCGTCCTTGCAGATCAGCTGGGTGGGGCTGACGGCCAGTGTTAAGCATGGAAGGCAATGACCTACCTTAGTCCTCAGGAAATGACCTTGTGGGGAGGAGCTATTCTTCTCTGCATCTTACTCACGGGGAGGCAGAAGGTCAAGGATGTGGTCACCCAGCAAGTAGCAGAGCCAAGACTCAAGACCAGGTGGAGTTTTACTCCAAAGTCTGGGTTTTCAACACTTAAAAGCCTGCCTCCCTCTGCCACGGATGGCCACCAGGGCCCTACTCACCCAAATGCATAGACGTCAGCAGCTTTGGAGAATGGGAGCTGATCCTCGTCCTTCCCAGGGGTCATCTCACGCACGATCTCTGGGGCCAGATAGCACAGCCAGTCGTGGGACAGCTTCAGCTGGTTCTCACGCCTGGAGACCAGGAAGTCAGGGCAGGGACACAGGCATTTCAGCAAGCAGCCAAGAGGCCTGCCTGGCTCAGGTCTGTCCCAGGGCCAGTAGAGCACCCACACACAGCTTAGAGAACACACCCAGAGCCAGCACGCTGACCCCGCACTTGGGAAAGGCACCGGTGCTTTTGAGGAATTCTACAAATGAGTCATGACCGGGTGTTTCTAGAAAAGTGGGGCAAAAACGGATACATATTGACAGTGAGGAGCCTGTGAAGGTGCGCAGTTCTCTGCTAGGAGAATGGGGCACTGCTCTAACCAGGAACCCCGATCTGCCTGTGGATCTCAAACCTGCCTGGGACAGGTCCTGCAGCCTCACTGCCATGTTCCCTTTCAGGGTTCCCCAGATACCAGGGGAGGGTCCTTTCTCCCCACCCCGACCCCTTCAAGATCTGCGGAAATAAAATGACGCTCTTCCTCATCGTGGGGAAATGAATCCTGGGTCCTTGGCCAAGCTGGTGAACAGCCAGGGCAAATATGAGTGTGGTGACCTGTTCTCCAGGAAGCCAGCCTGAGAATCCAAACATGACCCAAATCTGATTCTGAACCAGAACTACAAGAGCAGGACCAAAGCGACCTGAACTTCTGCAGGGAGAGCTGCAGCTCAGCAACAAACAGTAAAGGGCCCAGACCTCAGGCCTGCCCTTCCCCACCCAGCATCCCCGTCCCACCCAGACACCCAAGACCCACTCACCGTCCCTCTCGGACCACGCCCGAGATCCCGAACAGCCCGAAGTCTGTGATGACCACCTTGCCGTTGTCATAGAAGACGTTCTTGGATTTGAGGTCTTTGTGTACGATGCCCTTAGCGTGAAGATACCCCATGCCCTGGAGGACAGTGAGCCCCAGATCAGGAGGAGTGAAGATGTGTGGTGATGACGGAGCTGCCACCCTGGGCTGGATGCTCTACCCAAAACCCCTCATTTGATCTTCACCATTCCATGCAGTATACTGTCCCCATTTTACAGAATACAGCGAGGTTCAGAGAAGGAAAGTCACTTGTCCCAAGGCACACAGCAGTGAAGGAGCAGAGCTGAGATCTGACTCCAGATGGGTCCATGCTCTTTTAATGTTACCATGCTTCCAAATAGCCACCTTAACCTTGGATAAGGTAGGGGGTATGAACAGGGTGAAGGGCAGGGAGCCAGGGGGGTCAGGAACAGTGAGATTTTCTGTGTTAAGTCGTGAAGGGCCTAAAGGAGCTGGGGTTTTCTGTCAGGATATGCATCACTGGTCTCCACTCTCAGGCAGGGCCAGGGCTCAGGGCAGGGGAACAGAGAGGCATTCCCACAGAGGGGTTCCCAACTTGGGATGTTCCTAATATCTGAGCTGTAGAAGGAGCCCTGGACTAAAACTGAAATCTGGGGTTTGAATTCCATCTCAGCTCAGAGTCTCACTCACTCTGTGGCTGTGGACACAGTGCTCAACGCCTCTGAAGCCTGGTTTCTTATCTACCAAGTGAAAGGTGGCAGTGGGTGATTTCTAACCAATGCTCTATTTGAACTGAGCACTGATGAGGCAGGTACATGGAACGTGGGTGACCCGACACAGGCATGATCTCAACCAAGGTCAAGCTTCTTCAAACACCAGACCCAGGGCTCCTGTGCACCCCAATGCATAGATTATTGCATTTTTAACCTAACATCAATCCAGAGAGGAGGCTATATGAGGATCCCCATTTTAAAGGAGAGAAAACTGAGGCTCAGAGAGGCTAAACAACCTGCCCAGACTCACACAGCGGGTGTGACCAGGATTGAAACTGTCTCTAAGGCCTGCCAAGTTCCTTCCCAAACAAGTCAATTCCATCAAGGCTGATCATATAGATGGTCAGCTCCCAGCTGTGAGTGAACGAGACAGGGAGGAGGAGACAGGGTCCCACCCTTGAGAAGCCTGAGCTAGAGGGAGAGGCAAAGCTGCCAAACTAACTTGACGGGGGCTGACAGAGTGGGAGAACAGCCGAGAGCCCTGGAACTGGCCAGAAACACACCCCCCAACAGCCAGACACCCCCTCACCTTGATGATCTCCTGAGCGATCTGCCTTGTCTTGTTGATGTCCAGAGACGTCTTGGGGTCCCTCACAAACGAGTGCAATGTCCGCCCCTTGCAAAAGCTGTTGAGGGTGGTGGTGGATCAAGCACAGGTCCCGGGCTGGTGCAGCCTGACCCTGTCCCTGGTGGAGCCCATGGGGAGAACTGTACCTGACTGCCTGCCTGCAAGGACTCTCTCCACCCCCTTAACTGTGAGCCAAATCTTCTTTAACCCAGCCGTTGGCTGCTGGGGTCTAGCTTGAACATGCAGAAACACATATGACGCCACGCACGTACACGCACACAAACCCCATTCCCTGAGAGCCAGTGCCTGCCTGTCCTACAACAGGAAACAGCGCATCAAAGCTCCCAGGAACTCAGAGTAGCCATGCTTGGTGGGTTCAAGGCAGGATCACTCTGATGGGGAAGAACTTGGCCTTTTAAGGCAATCACCAGGCAACATCAAGGCACTGGAGATCACTGTCTAGAGTCTCATTACAGTTTTCATTTTTTTCTTGATCATGGGATTTTTATAACAATAAAGGAGTGTGCAAGGAGGGAAAGGGGTAGGGGAGATGTTAGGGCACAGTGACTATTGGAAAAGAAGCCCGAGTTCTGGGGTCCCCACCTGCGTCACCTCCTAAAACCTAGGGCAAGGAGGGAGAATGTGGGGTCACTCCCCTGTTCCAGGGGAGCTATCTTAGGAAAGGACTATGATTTTAGAAAAATATTCTGGAGTCTCAGAGCCTTTGAAAACTGGGGGAGGGGCTGGGAGCAGCAGCTCATGCCTGTAATCCTAGCACAGAGCGAGACTCCTCCTCAAAAAAAAAAAAGAAAAAGAAAAAAAAGAAAACTGGGTGAGGGGTAAAGAGTATTGGTGATTTCCTTATCTGTGTATTCTAAACAAAGTAAGATTGTTTTGTTAATGAATGTTTTCCTGTTTCAGGCAGGTGACAGTGGCTCACACCTGTAATCCCAGCACTCTGGGAGGCTGAGGTGGGCGGATCACCTGAGGTCAGGAGTTTGAGACCAGCCCAGCCAACATGGTGAAAGCCCCTCTCCACTAAAAATGCAAAAATTAGTTGGGAGTGGTGGTGTGCACCTGTAATCTCAGGTACTTGGGAGGCTGAGGCAGGAGAACTGCTTGAGCTCAGGAGGTGGAGCTTGCAGTGAGCCAAGATTGCACCACTGCACTCCAGCCTGGGTGACAGAACAAGACCCTGTCTTGTGTTTCTTTAATTAATTACCTGTTTTGGTTTTTATTAATTTTGGAGACAGAGTCTTGCTCTGTAAATAAATTATGGGACCACCAGTGGTCAGCTCATGAGTGTTACATGACTCATTCCAATTCTTCTGCACTCCAGGGAGGTCATGCTAGCAGTCTGAAATTGACCATGGTGAGAATATTTATACCACAGGATGTGATGGATGTAACAAATTAGGGCTACCCTCCCTACTGACCCAAAACTGGTTGATACACATTTACCAGCACACCACCAGGTTCCGCCTCTGTGATGGGGATACCATGCATGTGTTAGAAGAGAGCAGACCTCAGACCCGTTATTGAGTGCAGAAGGCAAGGCATGAACCAGCATGATCTCTCCTTTGCATTTTTATAAGAAGCAATAAACAGTTTAAAAATGTGAGTATATGCTAATGTCTTCATTTTAACAGAAGGGATGTTAACTGTTTATAGTGTCTCTGACTTTGGGGAGAAGCGCTCAGATGCAGTGGGAGATGACTGGCTTTCACTCTGTATCTTTGATGGACATTTGTTTTTCTATAACCTTAGAAAGGTCTCACTCTGTCACCCAGGCTGGAGTGCAGTGGCATGATCTTGGCTTGCTGCAGCCTGGATCTCCTGGGCTCAAGTGATCCTTCTGCCTCAGCCTCCCCAGTAACTGAGACCACAGGTACCTGCCACCAGGCCCAGCTAATTTTTTTGTATTTTTTGTGATAGCATTTCACTATGTTGCCCAGGCTGGTCTCAAGCTACTGGGCCCCAAGCAATCCTTCCACCTTGGCCTCCCAAAGTGTTGTGATTATAGGCATGAGTCACTGCACCAGCCCGTATTTATTTATTTTTTAGTGTCAGTGAGGTTATGTGAGTAGGAAGTTACATCCCATTTTTGGTTTTCTTCCTTGTACCTCTATTAGAACTTCCACACCTTCGAGGGCATCCAAACAACGTGGCTCCCTGGGAAGGGGGAGGCTGAGTCGGCCACCCAGCATGAGGGCCTGGGGCTGGGTTACCTGGTGATGATGGCCAGGTGGGGTGGGTTCATGCAGGCCCCCATGAAGAGCACCACGTTCTCGTGCCGTGTCTGCCGGTAGTTCATCACCTCTTTCTTGAAGAGCTTCAGGTGGTCCTGGTTGTGGCCATCCATCTCCAGCAGGCGAATGGCCACCTCGCCATGCCAGCGGCCGCGGTGCACCCGGCCCCAGCGGCCCTGCCCGATGGGCTCGCCCAGCTCTACCTGCTCGAAGGGGATGTCCCACTCCTGCAGGTACACACTGGTCTGGCTGGCCTTACGAGAGATGGGGCCCCGCCAGGGCCGGCGAGAGCTCGGCAAGTCGTCCACCTCGTCCTCGTCGTCTTCTGCCTCTGACTTGCCAGCCTCTGGCTCCTCAGCCTGAAAGGAGAGCAGGGAGAACAGGCATGGGCAGAAGATCTGGGCTCCGTGACTTCTCTTCCCTCTCCTGGAGCCACTGCCGGGTAAGGGAGGAGAGAGGCTTCCTGCCAGGGCACCCAGCTGCTGTGGACAGCGGGCGGCTCACTTAGCATCACTGGACCTCAGTGTCCTCATCCTTAATATGTGGCAGTTGGCCCCAGCGAACTGAGGCCCTTTGTCTGGCTAATACTCCAAGACCTACCTGTGAGCAACATCTAATTGTCCAGGGAAGAGCAAGAGCAGCCCTGGCATAGAAGAATTTCACTACACCCATCCTTCTGGAACTCTTGTTTAAACAGAGTTTCTGATTCTCCCTGGGCAGGAGTAAATCAGTCTGTTAACATTCTCCAAGCCATAATGCAATGGAGGGGATCCAGGCTCAGTTGACACTCATGTTCAAGGTTCAAGGCAGTGGTTCACTTATGTAATTTCTTAACCTCTCTGGGCTGGCTACAATCACCTGGGGAGCGTGGGGAAGACAGAGCTTGGACAAGCTTGCTCCATGACAGTCATCATCGTTCCTCCCTGCCATGAACCTCTACAGTGGGCGTCTGGGACAGCCCTTGCCAGGGCCCAGCGCCCACCCCACTCACTCTCAAGCCCCCTGCATATTCTGAGATGGGGAAGGGAGAAAAGAGGGAGGGGCCATCTGTGGACTCATGTGTGTCACCCTCACCTCTGCTTCGTGAGCCTCCAACACGTCTGCTTTCGGCTGATCGTTGAACCTAAGAGTAAAACAGGGTTTGTCAATGAGACCTTGAGGGAGGCCACTCTGCTCTCATATGGCAGGACTCCTGGGTGAGGCCTGAGACTAAGGTCTTTAATCTGACTCACACCTGGCTAAGGGAAAGGCCACGTGGATACCGCACAGACAGGCAGGAGGAGGCTGAGAGCCAGGCCTGCCCCTGTGCGGCCTCAGCCTTCCTCAGGCTAACTTGAAGGTGGTGGGGGCTGAGAGGTGGGCAGTGATCCCCAAAGCCCCTTTCCAGATGTGATACTGCTGCACGGGGGCTCCGAGCACACCCACAGGATTTGGAATCTGACGGCCTTGACTTGAAGAACTGGCTCTATCGCTTCCTAGCTGTGTGACCTTATGTAATTTCTTAACCTCTCTGGGCTGGCTGCATGTTATGATGACATCTACTTTGATACCTACCACCAGGCTGGATGAGATGTGGGAATGTGAGTCAGGTGCTCAGCATGGCCTGGCAGAGAAAGGGCTCCGTACAGGAGCTATTCTTAGGCGTCTCTAACTCCAAGTGTCCTCTGTCTACCCCTCCTGGGTCCCAAGACTGCTCCAGTTTCATATTCGGCCCCACCCAATGTTGACATACTGATAGGAGGCAAATAAAACCCTCTGAGGAGTTCACTGGCCCAGAGGGCGAATGAGCCTCAGGAGTTCTGCTGGCCGGAGATGGAAGGGTGGAGTAGGAGGTGGCAGGGACGTGGACACAGCCTAGGGATGCCTACCGGGTACTGTCGGCGGCTTCGGGGAGCGGGGCTGCCTGTGCAAAGGCCGAAATGTCTGGAGGAAACACAAAGCAAACGCAAAGCATGAGATCGCTTCCCTCCCCAAAGAGATGCCGCGCTCAAACCCAGCGACCCAGAGAGGTTGACTCTCCCTCAGCGGGCTGCCTCATGTTCCCCGGCACTTCCGCAAGGACCAGCCTGTGCCGTTCCATGGACCTTGCCAGCACGCAGCATCCACAGCTCCTGCTTCTGCATACACAGCTCTGTCTCAGGAAGGGGCTTGGGGCAGACGGGGAGGGTGAGACTTCTTGTTACCACCACTCCCCGGTGGCCAAACTGCCCCACACAAGCAAGTGGTAAAAGCAAACTGGGCTCTCATTTACTGGACAGGCAGCCAAAGCTGCTCCTGTTTGGAGGCCAGGGCTGCTTGTGACAACCCTTGAAAGTAATGAGACTCCCTCACTTTGGCCAGTGAGGCTGTGGCAGGACGCATAGGTGGCTCATTAGCGACACCTGGTGCCTGGTGCAGCTGCTGGGGATTTCCAGCACAGAGGCCCCAAGCCCTCGGCTTCCGGGTATGGGTCACTGTGGAGCAGCTCTCCGGGGAAGAGGAGGAAACTCCACATATCAGGGGCCCAAAAGTGGGCAGCTAGGGCTGACCCCTGAGCCTGGGGTATTCCCAGTTTAACACTGAAAGTCCCATGTCCAGGGACATCAGAACCGAGTTACTCCAGCATAGAACCAAGTGCTACAGGGAGATTGGTGGTTCCAGGGCCGTCATGGACCGCTCACTCCCCGCTCCTTCTGCAAAAACAGAGACAGGAAGTGGCAGTGGCTGGAGCTATCAAAGGCTTCTCTCCTGCCCGTGTGGACAAAGACCTCCCTCGACCTTCTGCTAGAGTTTTTTTTCTACCTTTGAAGGTTATGTGAACCACATGCTGTGACATCTCTGGGACCTCACGGACTTGGGAGAATCTAAGGCAGTGGGCCTTCTTATCAGGGAAATGCACACATACGCCCAACATCCCGTGCACAATTTCTGGGGGATCAGAACCTTAAAAACCTCTACTTATAAGGCCTCCCCCGGACACAGTCTATCTGCAGACTATCAGCAGGGGCCTGGCCCTTCTACCTATCCAACATGGCTCAAATGTTCCACAGAAGGCAAACACATGCCAAAGGCATGAGGGAAGCAGGAATGGGGAGGGGGGTTTGGGGAGGAACTGCACCCCAAGAAGGAAGGCAAAATGCCTCTGAAGCCCCATGCTTTTCCTTAAAAGTTAAGAGTGTATCATACATTCTGCTCCAAAATGTGTCCATGTTTGCTTTAATAGAAATATTTCCTTGCCCTCCCTGTGACATATCTTCAGGTGAAAATGGGAAAACTGCTCTTTTGGGAGAAGGAACATGTCTTCCCAATGTTTTGGGGTAACCCCTGTGTGCGTCCCAGAGCTAGTAACCACGGGGCCACAACAAAAAACGGGTGAAACTGCAGAGGCTGGCTGCCCAGCTGCTCAGAGGAGGTCTCCGGGGGTGGGTTCTCAGGCCCCTGACCGCGGCCCTGCACACACCGAACAATGCCGTAAGGACGGTCTCTAAGGACTCACAGACACTGCAAGTCAGCCCCCTAATGGAGCTGGCTTAGGGAACAGAAAAGCCTGGAATAACCAAAATACTGTGACTCAAGACAGTCCTGTTCAAGCCAAGAAAAAAACAGCTGTGATCTTTGTCTTAAACACCATTATTCTCATCACCATCAGTTACAGAAAAAAAAAAAAGCACTGATCTCAAACACTTTAGGGGCAGGAATGAAAAGGTTGGTACACAGTAGATGTACAAAACAATTTTTGCAGAAAGAACTCAATGGATTGACTATATTGTAAGATTTTTCCTTTAAACTTTCTGCAATAAGGAGGCATTTCCAGCAACAGCCAGCAGATGACACTGTGTGTTAAGGCACAGAAAGGTGACGCCCACTAAGTTAAGTGAAGCCTGCAGAACTCCCCAAATGGGTTTCCACTTCTGTAAGACAAGGCAGTAGTTTCCATCATTGTGCAAGGGAGGATATGGTGACAGATGCTCATCGGGCAATAGCAAAAAGTCCTCCCCCCATTCCACAAACCCAGGTTCTAGTCCTGCTTGTGCCATCTCCTGGCAGTGTGACTTTGAAAGAAGTTACCTGCAGTGTCTGTGCCAAGAGACTGGATAGGATGGATTCCAGGGTCCCTCCCAGCAAGAACTTCTCATGTCAGAGGCCCACCTCCCCACTTTCCCTGCCCCCTTCCCATCCTCCATGGGCAGCCAGCTCTCAGAACAGGTGGAGGGAGACTCAAGCACCTCCAAAGGTACTCAGATGGGCTGGACAGAAGGGGTCACAGCAAGGGGCAGTTAATGGAACCATGCAAGGACTCACCTGGAAAGATAAACTGCTGTCTATGATGAATGAAGTAGGCAGCTTTAAACAAAAGAGGAGGTGAGTCACACACACAGAACGGTCAACGCAGGAGGGAGGAGCAGAATTGCAGACACTGGCTTGGGAGACAGGGACTTGTTATTGGGCTGGGACAGCCCTGCCCAAGATGGGCCCGGCAAGGACAGGCCAAACCATGCAGGAAAGAGGAAAAGAGCTGGGAGAAAGAAAATAGGCCCTGGTAGGAGTCCACAGGACTAAAGGGGCTTGCACTGGAGGATCGAGCATTCCAAGACCCCATCTCTGGTGACCAGCGCTCTGTGAAATCCATGTGAGCCCAGAAGGGCAAAATGTAATGGGAGAGAAACAGTATTTCTGAAAAGTTTAACAGTGCTATGAAAAGAATGGCCTCCTCCAGAGCCCCACCTGTACCTCCAGAGTGTCTCAGCCTTACCACTCCTCCTGCATTGCTTTCTTCTCGTGTAGGGAACTGAGAGGGATGCAGTGGGGTTCTGGAAGCATGTTGCAGCCTCAATTCTGCCACATAACTAGGCTCTGGGACCTTAAGGAGGTGGCTAACCTCTCCAGCACTGTCAAATGGGGGTGTAAATACAGTCATGTGCCACAGAACGTTGTTTTGGTCAACAAGGGACCACGTACACGATGGTGGTCCTGATCACAACGGAGTGGGAAAATTCCTCTCCCCTAGTGACGTGGTAGCTGTGGAACAGGGCAGCGCCGTGCATTCCTCACGTCTGTGGTGATGCCAGCGGGAAATAACCCACGGCTCTACAAGCTGTATAAAAGGATAGCACGCATGATGATGCGCAGTAGCATCTGACTTGATAATGAGAATAAACAACTATATTACTGGTTTATGTGTTTACTATATTGTACTTTTAATCATGATTTAAATTTTATTCATTGACTGATTAATTGAGATGGAGGCTCTCCCTGTTGCCCATTCATTCATTCATTCATTTATTCATTCACTTATTGATTGAGATGGAGGCTCGCTCTGTCGCCCAGGCTGGAGTGACATGGCAGGATCTCGGTTTACTGCAACCTCCGCCTCCCGGGTTCAAGCGAGTCGCCTGCCTCAGCCTGCCTCAGCCTCCCGAGTAGCTGGGATTACAGGCACACACCACCATGCCTGGCTAATTTTTGTTTTTTTTAGTAGAGACATGGTTTCACCATGTTGGCCATGCTGGTTTAGAACTCCTGATCTCAGGTGATCCGCCCACCTCAGCCTCCCAAAGTGCTGAGATTATAGGCGTGAGCCATTGCACCTGGCCTTTTAATCATGATTTTAGAGTATACTTGTTCTACTTACAAAAAAAATAAAAAAAGTTATCTGTTGCCTCAGGCAGGTCCCTCAGGAGGTATCCAGAAGGCAGCGGTGTTATCACAGGAGATACCAGCTCCACGTATGTCACTGCCTGGAAGACCTTCCAGTGGGACAAGGTGCAGAGGTAGAAGACAGTGATGTGGGTGATCCTGACGCTGCATAGGCCTAGGCTAGGGGGTGTGTCTTAGTTAACAAAAAAGCTTATCAAGGAAAAAATAATGTGAATTTTAAAGATAGAAAAAAGCTTATAAAAATCAAAGTAAAATGTTTTTGTACAGCTATGCAATGTGTTTGTGCTCTGAGCTAAGTGTTATTACAAGAGCCTAAGAGTTTAAAAAAAAAAAAACTTTTTAAGATTATAATGTAAAAAGGTTGTGAGCAAAAGTTAATTACTGAAGAAAATATTTTAAAATAAATTTCATGTAGCCTAAGTGTGTTGTGTTTATAAACTCTACAATAGCGTACAGGAATTCCTGGAGAGAGTGAGGCCTCTGTGCAGGGGACATGAAGCCCAGTCTGGGCACATCAGGGAAAGCAGCAAGGGTCTGGCTAATAGTGCACAAAGAACTTTCTCTGCGGCTGCCATGTTTCAAACACACCCTTCCTTTTACAAAAACCCAAACTGGGAGGTTTAGCAAAAGGCACAGTTTCAGAGCATAATAAAGACAGAGCAGAATGGGAGAGGAGTTAATAAATGCCAGGAGTTCCTGTACACTATTGTCAACTTTATAAACACACCATTCACTCACTGACTCACCCACAGCAGTTTCTAGTCCCCTACAACAAATAACATTTTATTTATTTATTTAGTTAGAGATACAGTCTTGCTCTGCCGCCTGGGCCAGAGTGCAGTGGTGCAATCTCAGCTCACTGCAACCTCCACCTCCCGGGTTCAAGTGTTTCTTGTGCCTCAGCCTCCTGAGTAGCTGGGATTTCAGGTGTGAGCCACCACACCTGGCTAATTTTTATATTTTTAGTAGAGATGGAGTTTCGCCATGTTGGCTAGGCTGGTCTTAAACTCCTGGCCTCAAGTGATCTGCCTACCTTGGCCCCACAACGTGCTGGAATTACAGGCATGAGCCACTGTGCCCAGCCCTACTTTTAATATTTTATGCTGTATTTTTACTGTAGCTTTTCTGTGTTCAGATGTTTAGATACATAAGTATTTAGCATTGTGCTACAATTGCCTATAATATTCAGTACAGTCACATGCTGCATAGGTTTGCAGCCTAGAAACAATAGGCTGCAGCCACTCCTAGGCGTGTGGAGGACTGTACCATCTGGGTTTGTATAAGCACACTCTATGATGCTCATTTAACAGTGAAATCGTCAAATGCGTCTCCCAGAATGTTTCCCTGTTGTGAAGCAGCATGTGACTATCATCTTTTCCCAGGTTCACCAAGATCAAGTGTAATGCCCCTGCACAGCACAGAGCAGGGGACAATGGGAGGCGTTCCTTCTCCAGCTGAACCACCGGGCCAGCGGGGCGGGCAGTGGGGGTTGGGGAGGGTTGACCTGTTGGTGCCACCATGACCAAAGAGATAGGATCTTGGAGAGAGTGAAGCCTCTGTGCAGGGGACAATGAAGCCCAGTCTGGGGACATCAGGGAAAGCAGCAAGGGTCTGGCTAATAGTGCAAAAAGAACTTTGTCTGCAGCTGCCGTGTTTCAAACACACCCTTCCTTTTACAAAAACCCAAACTGGGAGGTTTAGCAAAAGGCACAGTTTCAGAGCATAATAAAGACAGAGCAGAATGGGAGAGGAGGTTAATCAAACAGGCCATTGCTCAAGGTGGGGAGGGGAGGGGTGTGCCAGGACAACGTGTGAATGTCAGGAGATAGCCAGCCACCTGCTTACTGAGGTGAAGGACAGGCAAAGAGAAGGATTTCTACAAGAGCTTGGTCTCTCACCATCCCCCAAAAGAAGTCCCAGGAGAAGCTGCCTGGTCCCCTGATGGCTGGTGTGTCCCCTGGCACAGGGAGAGCTGTGACTGTCCTCATGGACCTGGGGCTCCAGAGGCCAGAGACAGGAGCCTGGCCTAGACTTTACCAGTTGGAGACAGCTGGTGGCTGGGTCTGCAGCAAACAGGAGTGTCGCAGCCATCCTCCTTCCTCAGGGACTGCAAACTGCAGTAAACTGAAGGCTGAGACTGACTCTGAGGAGCTGCCAGAGAGGCCAAGGCAACAGCTCGGTCCCATATTGGACAGGTGGGCTTCCCTCTGCTGCTTGGAGAGGCAGACACCCCAGGCCCAGCCAGCGGCTGAGGGCAGGAAAGGCTAGAATCCTGACCCCTCCCCACAGACACCAGGCAGCTTGCTGGGTTGGAGCTGGAGGTCAGTTCTGGCTAACGTCTACTGTGCTCTAAATTCCTATGAGACTCAGTGTCCTCGTCCACACAATGGGAACCACCTAATTCCAACTTTACACAGTCTCCTATCTTATGGAAAAAGAACAAGAGGTCTCCTTGAAGGAACTGACCCAGATCATGAGTGGGAAGCAGCGGGGTTCCCTCTCTGAGGCCTTCTAGCTCCCTGCATTGCCACCCATGCCTCCTGGGAGCTCAGAAACCAGTCCCGAGAAAGTGAGCACTGCTCAGGAGAGGACACCCCACGAAGAGGAGGGCAGCGAGGGAATTGCTGTCAGATGGACTTGGGTTTGATCTCTACTCTGCCACTTACAGGCTGTACAACTCATGGCAAGCCCCTCCCTCTCTCTGAACCTCACAGTTCCCATCTCTAAATCAACAGCATCGACCTCAAAGCTATTATGCTTGGGGTGCCTGGCAAGTGCTCCATAAACATCTGGCCAATGTTGGACCTTGAACCTGCGGACCTTGGGTCTGCTGAGAAGGGGATCTGTCCGCACCCCGAAGAACCCAGAAAAGCCTGGAGATGTGGTACCTGGGAAGTTGAACCTGCTGTCCCGCTGGCCAGGTGAGGGGTTTGGGGGCGTGGTGGCACTGGATGGGTTGGATGATGTCGGGAAGGGCGCTGGCGAGGAGGGTGTGGAGGAGGTGGTGGAGGAGGGGTTGCTGCTGGAGTCCAGGTGATTCATGGCTGGAGGGTGCTCCTGCAGGACCAGAGATGTTGGGAGTGGCAGGGCTGCCCCACTGCCTCCCACCAGCCACACCCTCCCTGCCCCATCTGGAAAGGAAGCAGTCAGCCCAGGGAATCCTCAGGGTCTGATGTCTTATGCATCTAATTGAGGAAGGGCAGCACACAGAGGCCCTCGCCTCAGCGCCCACTCCCCACGGGGCTCCTGCTCATCTTTGTTTTCAGCCCAAGCACTCTCTCTTCCCAGAAGCCTTTCCTGCACCCTCCATCCTGGCACAGTGCCCAGTTTTTCATCCGAGCACTGTGTCTACCACAGACATCCATGGGCGCTTTCCTGACCAAAGTCTCCCCCACTGCCTTGTGTGTTCCAGGAGGCCAGGGGGCTCGCCACACACCCAGTGCCTGCCTCTGAGCTGGGCACACAGTGGGGTTTTATAATGAATTAAGTTTAGGCTCTGATAAATGTTATGTCACGTCTGCTAACACCAGGCACTCTGCTAGAAGCAGGGAGGCCAATGATGAGTGAGAAATGTACAGTCCTTTTCTTTGGAAACCTGGCTGAATCAAAGGCACTGGCAAGTCTTAGAGTCAAACTACAAAACCCTGAAAGAGGTGATGGCTTGGGCTGGTGCAGTCTGCCATTTTGGAGGGGTGAGAATTCTGGAGCTGGAAAGAACTTTCTAGAAGATGACCACAGGAGTTGGTTTGTCAGGACAGACCTGGTTCACTCATGTTGTCCCAACTTAAATATTAATGTCATGCCTTCCACACTCAAAGCAAGCATGGTTCCCCCTGCTAATGGATCGCATCCACTGGTGCCTGCCATGGGAAACACAGGTTTGGTGGCCAGTGAGACACCTTTAGGAGGCCCTCGGACACAACACAGGGAACGCTGAGCCAGGAGGGAGGATGCTCTGTTCCCTGTCTTGTTCTGCCTGAGAGAAGGCCCAAGCCTGAGCTGCTATGTCTTTAATACCTCCCCAACACCGGCTCATCACCCATCCAACAGAGTGAGCTTCAAGCTCCAAGCCTTAAGCAAGTGTGATATCAAGATGAAGCTTAATAACCTTTTGGTTTTAGCTGTGCTTGCATTAATGATTACCTCCTATCTGGAGCGATCATGGTTTTTCCAATTATGATAGTGATGATTACATAAAAATGAGTCTTACAAGTAAATATTAGCCCCAATGGTACCTGGTTAAGACAGAAACCATAAAGATGGTCTGCAGCTTGATGAAGTTTGGGCAGCACTGATTCTGGTGTCAACTCACACCAGATGCCACCATGGCTCCACTGCAGAGCTCAGGGGAGCCAGATCCAAGGAAGCCAAGGGCTTTGCCCAGGGTCACAGGAGATGGGCGTGGCAGCAGCCCAGCTCTGGGATGCCTTCTGGCCATGGCTCCCCAGCCACAGCACACAGGACACCTCTGAGAATGGCACCAGCATCTCACAGCTCTGAGCAAGAGCCTGTGAGAGCAGGTGCCAAAGAGACCTGGGGCAGGGAGGGCTGCTGCACCAGAAATGGGAAAAGGCGGGGTGAAGGGAGAAAGTAGGGGGCAGGAAAAGAGGCCGAAGCTCCAGCTTCTGTGGCCAAGAAGAAAGAGCACTGGGCCTGGAGGCAGACAGACTGGAATTCTCAGGCAGCTTCCAGCACCGCTTAGTTGGGTGACTGCAGGCAACTTCCTCCACCTCTCTGAGCTTCTATTTCTTCAACCACAAAAGGAAAACATCAACACCTCTGCCAGAGGGTTACTGTGCAGATCAGCAGCATCGCAAAGGTGGGAGTGTGTGGTACACAGCAGGTGACTCATACATGCTTGTTCCACATTCTTTTGCAGACCAGCTAGCTAGGACCACCCAGAAGTCTGAGTCCCAGCAAGGCCAAAGGACCAACAGAGAGAGGGCTCCAGGGGGATTCTACGTTAGGATCTGACCTCTCAGCACCATGTGTGGCCTCTAGTGAGAACTCGGTAACGGTTAGCTCGTGTCATCAGTCACCTGAAATGGGCTCCCGGAGGGCCACTGCTCTGAGATTAGAGGCCTTTGGCATCATCACCATATGGGCTTAGAAGCTGAGCAGGTGCACACAGGAGGGGCTCATGGGGGAGGTGGGACAGAGAGAGAGCCTTGAGCTGTGAGGAGGGCTGAGGGGGTGTGTCTGGGTGAGTGGAGATGCAGAGGTGAACATAATGGGGCAGGGGGTCATGCAGGCCCCACGGGGATGGGGGGCGTAGCTGGAGAGGAAAGGCAGGAGCAATGATGATGATGTTGGCAATGGGGGTGGGGGGGGGGCGCTGTGTTCCTGATGAGGAGCTGATCCAGTCTGTGACGGGCTAGAAAGTAATAACTAGTGGATGGTATGGTACTGCTCCCTACAAGTTCATGAACATTTTCTCTTCACCCTTCAAATACCTGTGAATGATGCATTAGTAATCCCAACTTACAAAGCAGAAAGTGAGGCTCAGAGAGGTCAAGCGGCTCACTCAAGGTCATGGAAGCAGGAGAGGAGTTGGGACTCAGCCAGGGCTAGGCAGCTGCTGTGGTCTGAATGACTGTGCACCCCCACCACTCACAGGCTGAAACCCTAGTGCCCAAGGAGGTGGTACTGGGAGCTGGGTAACTGGGTCATCAGGGCAGAGCCCTCAGGAATGGGACCGGTGCCCTTATGAAAGGGCCTGAGGGAGCTCACTGGACCCCTCCACCATGGGGGGATGCGGCACGAGTGACATCTGTGAGAAGGTGGGCCTTCCCAAGCCATCGAGTCTGCTGGCACCTTGATCTTGAACTTCCCAGCCTCCAGAACCAGGAAAAACAAAGTTCTGTTGCTTTTAGGCCACCCAGTCTAGGATATTTTGTTATGGTGGCCTGAACAGAGTAAGAAAGGGTCCTATCATCTTTCCCCACTGCCTCCCCATTCCAGGTGGGAAGCCACCACCATGCGGAAACAAGAGGCAGGAGAGAGGACAGGTGCAGGCTGGTGGAGACTTGTCAGGCCTGGGGCAGCTGGCTTTCTTGTTTGACTGTAAGAGGTGGCTCTGGCCCCTCCCAGAGCAGCCTCTGAAGCTGTACCTTCAGGGTCCCCAGTGTGAATTGGCCATATCACCTGTCTCTCTCTCCTGGCCTGAGTCACTGAAGGCCAGCCATAGCCACGGAGCAGCTGGGCACACGTTCCTCATCAGGGAGGCACATGCTAAGCCCCTGGTCTGGGGCTGCAGGTAAAACGCACTTAAAAATACACAGCCAAGGTGGGTGCAGTGGCTCACACCTGTAATCCCAGCACTTTGGGAGGCCGAGGCGGGTGGATCACCTGAAGGCGGGAGTTTGAGACCAGTCTGACCAACATGGAGAAACCCCATCTCTACTAAAAGTACAAAAAAAAAAATTAGCCAGGCATGGCGGTACATGCCTGTAATCTCAGCTACTCGGGAGGCTGAGGCAGGAGAATTGCTTGAACCCAGGAGGCGGAGGTTGCAGTGAGCTGAGATGATGCCACTGCACTCCAGCCAGGGCAATAAGAGTGAAACTCCGTTTCAAAAAAAAAAACACATAGCCAAACCCACAGCAGCCTGCAGCTGGCCAGGATGGGAGCTGCTGTCAGAAGCCATCAGCACTGGCACCTCCTAGAAACAAGGGACACCTGTGCATAGGGGCCCATGACAGGTGTGCCAACCCTCCTGGGGGACACAGGCTTTGTGGACTCTGTCTAGCTGCAGAGGACACCCGTCTGCCTCAGCAGAGAAGCGTGACGTGGCTATGGAGGGAACCGCACTCTTGGTATTACTTTTGGGTGCATTCCTGTGAGAGCAGCAGAGCCTTGTTCAGTCGTGGCCACGGCAATCGCTTTAATGAACAACTAGAGATATACCTGCCACACTGTGACTAAGGGCCCCAGGCTTTTGGGCTGGACAGCTGCTGAGGCTCCCACTCTAGGTTTGTCTCTTGCTCTCGGGGAATGCTGTGCTATTTTCTCATCTGTGAAATGGATCAGCATGTGCCCTTCAGAACTGCTGTGGGGCTCAAACGAAACAGCAAGGGAAGAAGTTTCCAGTACACACTAAGCACACAGGAAGTATTAGCTCAAATGAGAAGGGGCTGGGAATCACGGCTGCACCACAACTTGATAGAAAAGGGAAGCCTCCCGATGGCTCAAGATATGATCCCAAGGCCACCCTCTGACCATGAATCTGGGACTGGGGTGTGACGTCCCACTGAGCAGGGGCGCTTTATAGGAAGGAAGTCCAGTGGCGAAGGGGGTCCTCCCCAGCATTACCCAGCATACCTTCTTTGTCAGTGCTTTGGGGAGGGTTCCAAAGTGGGGTTCGGCTGCTCTGTCCACCGGGTTGTTGATGTCTGAAGGGACAGATTCTGTCCTCCGAAGCCGAGTTACTGTTTGAAGAGAAGGAAAACCCATCACCAGGTCAAGCTAAAGATAGATTCACCCAAAATCCAGAAGGCAGAGAAGAGGAAGGCTGCAAACTCACGTGGCAGGAAGGATATTCTACAGGCAGGAGCTTCTTTGGTGCATTTGTTGTGACACTTCAACCTGGTAAAGAAGGGGAGGTTAGGGTGCAGGGCCCCACGTTGGGGGCTCCGGCACACAGGGGCAACTCTGTGTAGCATTCACCCAGGACTGTCTCCATTTCCACAAACTTTTCAACAAATGTTAGCTTGAAAGTAGAGAACACTGTGATATTAATAGTAATAGCAGCTGCTACACTGAGCTGCTATGCTGAACATTTACCACGTTCTGCTGCCATCTACCCATCCTCACGGCAAAGCAGGTCTCATGGTGCCCACTTTGACTTGCCCAGGTCACCTATCTATTTGTCTTTTGTAAAGAAAAGGAGACCTTCTACCCATATTGAAAAAGCTTAAGACAAACTTGAACTTGCAAAAAAAAAAAAAATTGGTGTGGTGGCTCACACTTGTAATCCCAGCACTTTCAGAGGCTGAGGCAGGCGTATCAGAAGGTCAGGAGTTCAAGACCAGCCTGACCAATGTGGTGAAACTCCACCTCTACTAAAAATACAAAAATTAGCTGAGCATGGTAGCACACTCTTGTAATTCCAGCTACTCAGGAGGCTGAAGCAGCAGAATTGCTTGAACCCAGGAGGCGGAAGTTGCAGTGAGCCAAGATTACGCCACTGCACTTCCAGCCTGGGTGACAGAGTGAGACTCCATCTCAAAAAAAAAAAACCCACAAATTGGACGGAGAATGTTTGCTTTACCAAACGATCCCAGGGACCCAAAGGGCAGCCCCTCCTGCTACATTTGTGCAATGGACCATGCGGTCTGAGGGTCAGTACCAGGTGGTCCTGTCTGCTGTATTGAGTCTTAGATTTCTCACTAATGGGCTGGGGGTGTTCTGTCCACCTCATACTACATCACAGGACAGCCTTGGGCTCAGAGGTCATCCTGTGCTCTCCACAGGAAAGACATTATTTGAATGGGAGCTGGAGGTCCCTAATGTAAAGCCAAGTGGCAGAAGCCACAGGAGACCCAGACCAGAGAGAAAACTCAGCACCTCCCTAGAGGTCAGGAGAGTTACTGGGAAAGTAACAGGTCCAACTGATATGCACAAGACCCACCACCTGCAGTCTGACTGGCTTGCAGATGCAGTCACACACACTAGCTCAGGTTCTCAGAGCAACCCCCACGGCTCTGATGGAGATATTCAAAATCAGGCCCAGCAAGGGCAGGTGTCTTGCCCCAGGTTACACAGCAATTCAGGGGCAGAGTGGGCTGGGCGCTGAGTCCCCAACGCCACCCTGCATCCGGTGAGGGCAGCTGGGCAGCAGAGGACACACTCTGCTCACCCCACACTGTTCCCTATCCTTGCCCTTCCTTCCTACCAGAAACCACAAAGCTTGAGAAAATAAAGCTGGACTTGTATAGAACCTACCTCCGGTCACTCTCCCCTTCTGCAAGCTACCTCCCTGTTTTTACCATCACCTGTCTCCCACCTCTTGAGGGCTATAAAAGGTAAGGTTAATCTTCAGAGCTCCTTACAGTTCCCAGAACAGTCTTCTCATTCCTCCAGGCCTTAGTACAAGATGCTCCCGTGGCCTGGAATTCTCTCTCCCCCTTGGTCGACCTTGTAAACTTCTATTTGTCCTTCAAAGCCCACCTCAAGTATTCCCTTCTTCCAGGAGTAACTTGCTTAATTTCCCTGAAATTAAAGCCTGATCATTCCCTGGTGAGCTGAATAGGACAATGAAGTGCGAGTGTAGGGAAATGTGTTTGAACTCTGATTTGCTGCCCGCACCCCCACCCGTCTGCCCATCACCTGCAATGCTTGCACTTCACTCCAAATATCATGCTCTTCTGGCACACGTGGCAGACCTGCGACAGCCAAGACTTGGTGGAGAACCTGCAGGGGCGGACATGGGCACGTGCTCGCACCGGCTGGGAGGCCAAGGGCTAGCCAAGAAGGGTTCCCACGGGGTTCCGGGGAAACTGGGAGTCTTGGCTCCATCCCAGAGCTCCATGGGCCCTCTCCCTCCCAGGGAGAATAGAGACACCCAGGGGCCATTTAGATTTCCCAGATGCAAAGTCATCATTGTCAACATACTGAATTTGGTGTGGTCATCTGAGAGTACCCATTTGGCAGCAGCAATCAAGCGTTCAAGTGTGCATACCCTTGGACCCAACAGTTCTTGGGAATTCTTAGGAATTTACTCGACACATAGGCCCACAATTGTCGAAGGGTATAGGAACAAGGTATGCCTGCAGCACGTAAGCAGCGTAAAGGCTGGAAATAACCTACGCGTCCATTGAGGGGCTGACTAAAGTATGGTCTTTCCATCCAATGAACCCTATGCAGCAGGAAACTAAGACAAGGAAGCTGTTTCTGTGCAAAAATATGGAATGGCCTCCAAGTCATATTGTCCAGTTAAAAAAGTAAGGTACAATAGGATATGATCCCATTCACAGGCAGTTCAAGTACGGGAAAGAAACTAAGCCTGGAGGTGAATAGTAACCACTGGGTGGTAGCAGCACTGACGAGGAAGACCTAAAGGTAACTTTTTGGGTGCTGGAATGTTCTCCATCTTTATGCGGATGGTATACACAGGTGTGTGTGCACAAATACGTAAGTACACACACTTGTGCATTTTGCTCTATATAACTTGTGTCTCCATTTTTGAAAAAGCAAAGTATAGGATTGAATATAACATATGCAGTAGTTGAGTACAAAATAAAGGAGAACACGCCTGTAATCCCAGCATTTTGGGAGGCCAAGGCGGGTGGATCATGAGGTCAAGAGATTGAGACCATCCTGGCCAACATGGTGAAACCCCGTCTCTACTAAAAAAAATTAGCTGGGCATGGTGGCGCGCTCTTGTAATTCCAGCTACTCAGGAGGCTGAGGCAGCAGAATTGCTTGAACCCAGGAGGCGGAGGTTGCGGTAAGCCGAGATTGCTCCACTGCACTCCAGCCTGGTGACAGTGAGATTCCATCTCAAAAATAAATAAATAGACAGACAGACAGATATAGACAGATAGGAGAAAGCATATACAGATATTTGTTTGTATAAAATATCTCTAGAAGACTACATAACACATAGCTAAGACTTCTTTACAGAAGGGATTGAGGAGTTGGGGACAAGAACAAAAGGGGAATTTTCCGTTGATGTTTCAGTGTATTTTCAATCCAAAATGTAGAACATTAAAAAAAAAACACCAAAGATAGATTCGAAGAAGGATGGGGGCTGAGTGGGTGGTGTCCTCCAGAAAAAAAGTGCAAGGCTGGTCCATAGAGTGGGAAGGCCTAAGAGCAGAAAGAGCTCTTATTTTTGGAAAAATTGAATTTTTTTAAACATATCGTATATCACAGTAACAACAGAATGAATGCCAACCGTATTTGGGAAGCAGTTTGTAACACATCCACCAACACAAGCTCATTTCGTTCTTATGCCCATGCCAGGGAGTGACAGGTCCAGGATTCCTGTGCACAGGCAAGGAAACCAGCTCAGAGAGGTCAGGCGATGTTCCCAAGGTAACACAGTTGGGATGCCAGGGTCTGGATCAGGGTCTGGATCCTGCTCTCTGAACTGAGAGTTACACAGCTTCTTTGTAAGAGATTCCACTGGTCCAGCAGAGGCCAAAGAAGGCCTTGGCCACAAGAGAAAGAGAAAAGGCTCCGGGGGCAAACAACTGGGTTTGAATTCTGCCTTCAGCCTACTACCAGCTATAAGATGCCTCGGACGCCTCTGCAAATAGGGTCAACCCTAAGCCTCACAGGATTTGGGGAAGATCACAGATATGCCATGTAAATGGAATGTAGCAGAGATCCATAAATGTTACTTTCTCCACCCAACAAAGATGGGAGCTTCTGGTGGCCAGGGACGCCCACCTGCATGGAGTGCCTTTTAAGGAGTCGTGATCCGGCCTCCCCGAGATGCAACCAGGTCTGTGTAGGCTCACACATGCACACGTGCTGTCTCCCTCACCGGGTTTTAATTACTTCTCACGTCAACACTGGGGGTGAGGGGAGCGAGAAGCTTAGGAATGGGGCCCGGGAATCTGGATTTTCAACAAGCTCCACAGGGGATCTGCTGTGTGAGTTTCAGGACCCACGTGACATCACACTGGATGCAGGGGAAGCTCCTACGACTCCTTCCCATGGCCCTGACCCTATTTCTCCCGGGACCCATGTCCTGAGAAAGGGGGAAAGTGCTTTCCCTAGCAGAGTGAGGAAGAGACCTGGGGAGGTGCAGGTGAGGGAGCTGCAAGTCCACGTGACCACCCTGGCAAGGCAAGGGCTCAGGTGAGTGCAGGGCCTCACCCCGCAGAGGAGACGGCAGGCATCAGAGGCAAAGAGCTCACTGAAAAAGTGACCAGAACTCCCAGCCCCATGTGGGTTCCAGCCCAGCTCTGTGCCCTATTCCCCCGCTAGGCCTGCTGTGCCTACCTGTGCGTCACCGAAAGCCCAATATCCCTCCGTACCATCTGTGGGGATCCATGCGGGAGATCTGTGGGGAAAGAGGCCCGATGGGCAGGTTGAGGAACTCCACAGGCAACAGCTTGTGCCAGCGACCTCCTAGTTCAGAAACCACAGGCTGCAAGGTGGGGGTGGGTGGGCGCAATTGTTTATCACATAAGCATCTTTCCCTGTGACCTATGTCCATCAACACAGGAGCAGCCAGGCTAGACCAGTGGCGTGGCATGGTTCCCCTTGCCTCAATTGCTCCTGGCCTCTGCGGACAGCTCAGTCTGCTGCCCCTGTAATGTTTCCAGCTGAGGAGCAAGGCAGGCTGGAGAGGCAGAAAGCAAAATCAGGGTGAGGCCAGAAGATTCCACACAGCCCCACCTCTTGCCACCTCTCCCCGACACACCACAGGCCACCGGGTGCCGGGGCTCAATTCTGGTAAAAGGCTGAAGCAGTTGACCTCAGGTGGAGGGCCGAGGCTAGTCAGCCTTTCCAGGCAGAAGTCCCTGGAAGACATTCCTCTGGGAGAGGCCACTGCCAGGTCTGGGCAGACAGAGTGTGGGTGGGGTTTTGGGGATGAGGAGGGTGCTGAGAGGAGGGGTGCTCATCCCCAAGACCCCGCCCACAGTCCATCTGCCCAGCTTTATCACATTCTCGCATGGGCCAGCCCCACCCAGGCACGAGCCTGAGCCTCTGGGGACTTCTTGGACACCTTCCGTCTCTACTGAGACAAAGAGCATCAGCTTTGAGGTGTCACCCTGCTGGCCTTCCTGGAGGGTACTCCCTCTCCCAACCTGGGCCTCCCTATCAGAACAGGCATCCCTAGCACGGCAAGTAAGCAGCTGGAAGCACTCTCCCTACCCACCTGCAGCCCCCAAGTTCAACTCATGCCCCCATACTCAGCGCCACGGGCTCCCAGAGCCAGTTCACAGGTGGGCTTCAGGAATCCAGGAACCCTTAGGAGAATGCTGTAGGCTTTTCTTTGGAAGGAAGGTCTAGACTTTCTTCCAATCAAGGTGACCTGGGACCCAGAAAGGTCAGGTACACAGTGCTTGCGTGTGGCCATCTCATGTCCTCTGAGTCAGAGAAGGTCCCCCGAGGGTGGCCACTGCCCCCCTCAATCCCAAGTGCTGGTCTAACACACGGCTGGACTCATGAAATGCTGGTTCACTTAAGGCCAAGTATTACATAGCCAACCTCCATGAAAGAGTGTGCTGGACATACTGAGTCCTCCCACATCAAGGACAGCTGGATAGGAGCAATTTTTCTCACCTGCAGCTCTCCCTGGAACCTCTGACATGAGGTTGACTTGTCCCAACTTCCTCCTGGGGCCCACCCCACCCAGCAGCAGCCAAGGCCACCAAAACACACCGGGATGACTGGAGCAGTGGTTCACGCCTGTAATCCCAGCACTTTGGGAGGCCAAGGCAGGTGGATCACCTGAGATCAGGAGTTTGAGACCAGACTGGCAAACATGGTGAAACCCCGACTCTACTAAAAATATAAAAATTAGCCAGGTGTGGCAGCAGGCATCCTTAATCCCAGCTACTAGGGAGGCTGAGGCAGGAGAATCGCTCGAACCTGGGAGACAGAGGCTGCAGTGAGCTCAGATCATGCCACTGCACTTCAGCCTGGGTGACAGAATGAGATCCCATCTCAAAAGAAAAAAACAAAACAAAAAGACACATGGAGCTCAAGGGGTTAGCTGTCAGCCTATGGAAAGATGGAACTTCAACCAGCTAGCCCCAAAAGCCACCTATGATCTTCTGTGGGCACGGGCAGTGAGGCAGTATATGTGCCAGGCACTGTCTCCATCTGACCTGCGTGGAGACACTGGCCCCAAAGGCCTAACAATCTCACTGCTCCAGTACCCGAGTTGCCATGGCAAGGAGAGGATGACAGGGCTGGGGCTTCCTAGAGATGCGGGTGTTGAATGTTCCTCCAAGGTTCTGTTAAGGGCCCTGGGAGTTTCTGCCTGAGCACTGGGAAAGCGTAGCTACTCTCCTTGCCCCCCGGTCCCTTCCTGGGGGTCCTGCAGCCAGCTCCACGTTGGCATAGTCCCTACCTGCTTGACCCCTCCTCATCCCCAAGACCCTGCCCACAGCTACGTGACTCTCCTCAGCCAGCTCGGGGTAGTACAAAAATAAACTCCTATTTTGCTCAGGCAAAAACCAGACATCTCTGCATTTCCAGACAATTAAAAGCAGACTCCAGAGGCACAGCTGTCTCCCTCCACTCTGACTCATGAGCGAAGCCCCACAGCTCAGCCACACGCAGGAACATGCTCCCAACCTGGAGGTGAGGGTGGGAAAGGGGGTCAAGGATTGCCCAGGTGTCCTTCCCTCCCAAAGGGGCATCTGCGCCTCTCATCTCTTGGGGCCTCATTCGGAGCTGCACTGCATTTCTGCCTCCAGGAAGGTCCCTCTCCTGAAGAGTGGGGTCCTGAGACATCAGGTGGGGTTCTGGGGACAGCTAAAGTCCAGTGAATCCAGGCAGATGGCACCACCTTCCTGGGGCACTGCTTTACAGTGACAGTCCAGCAGGCCAGAGTCCTTGCTAGAGAGTCCCCGTGGGGAAAGGCAAGGTGGAGACAGGGCGTGTCACGGGGCTGCCCGTGGGCAGAGATGCGCTCAAGTTCTCTGCTTCTTGGAGAGCAGCCACCAGCTGGGCTAAAGCCAGCCGGTCACTTTAAGGCCACCTGTCTTAGGGCTATTTCCTGAGGCAGTCACCAGCACCTGTGCTTCTGGACTATGGAGAGGCTGAACGGGCTAAGGGGGAGTCAAAGAGGTCCACCCCCGATGAGGACAGCAATGCATACACGACTCCCGGATGGCAGAGGGGATGGAAATGAATCTCTCTTACCAAACCTGGAAGAGACAAAAAGCAGAGAGGGAGATTACATCACCATGCTAGCTCGGCTTGTTCCTTGAACATTACACTTGGGCGGGAGCAGGCAAGAGGCTGGGATGCAGGACTCTGAGGCCTGGCTTGGGGCCAGCCTGGCTAAGTGACTGTGGGAACCTCTGCAATCTCTGTGGGGACATTTCCTCAATGGAAAGGGCTATCCCCAGGCCTCCGTAAGGGACATCAAAACTCAGGGCTGTGCACTTTAATACATCAGCTTACGTAAGCCTTGCCAGCAACCAAGCATGGGAATTAGAAGTCAGCCCATTTCATAGCCAAGGAAACTGAGCCTCAGGAGGCTCACTAGGTCATGAAGTGCTGGTTACTTAAGGCCAAGTACCACATAACCAAACCTCCATGGCAGGGTGTGCTGGAGGCAGGCTGACAGTGGGAGAGCCTGGCCCAGAGCCAGGCAGCAAAAAGGGTCAGTCAGCTGGAGAGACTGGGCCCAGAGGCTCATGCCTGTAATCCCAGCTACTTGGGAGGCTGAGGCAGGAGAATGGCTCAAACCCGGGAGGTGGAGGTTGCAGTGAGCCAAGATTGTGCCACTGCACTCCAGCCTGGGCAGCAGAGCGAGATATCTTCTCAGAAAGAAAAAAAAAGAACTATCAGTTGGCGAGGGTGTGGCTGGACAGGAGGGCAGAGATAACAGCCATGCCGGGCAGAGGTAGCCCCTGAAAGGAGAGTCAGGCAGGGACACACCCTGAGCCTCCCCGACGTACCCTGCGTACCCCAAGGAGCCTCCCGCGGGGGGCTGCCACTGCCCCAGAGAACACATGGAGCTGGAGGAAGCAGAGCACTCAGCCTGTCCTTAGCGGTCACCAGAATAGCGAGGTGGCCTGAGTGTCACGTCAGTGCTGGTTCTGGTGGCTCTGCGAAACTGGACTCAGAATCCCAGAGTCTGAGGCTCAGTCACTGGCTGGAACTTGAGGCTAGTTGTATCACCTGCCTGAGGTTCTGTGCCTGCCACCTTCCAGTATGGGAATGAGACCAGAGCTTTCCTAATGCTCTTCTTGGGAGAAGACAGAAACAGAGGGACTGGGCTGAGCCCACTGTGAGGCCTCCTCTGACTGACCCATGTTCGTGTGGCCATGAGCACTGCATTCTGCAGCCCCTTCTGGGTAGGACCCAGGCCCAAGCAGGTCAGCCTGGATGGGAGCAGCAGGGTGGGTGACACCTGGATCTCTCCTCCTTGGGCGGTACACTCAAAACCATCGGTGCTGTCCAGGCTCCATCCCATAGAGGACCCGAACAGGAGGCAATGGCAGAGGGGATCAGATCCATTCCAAAGATGGCTGCAAGGCCCAAGACACACCAGGGCCCAAGGAAACCCCTGGAAAAGGTGTGTCCTTATCATTTCTTGGCCTTTTGGCTAAGATCAAGTGTAGAAAAGGGGTGCCCCCATGCTGAGGAGAGAAACCACGTGTCCCACAATCCTCAGTGGTACACGAAGGTAAGGAAAACACTCCCTTTCTTTCTGTGCTGCCCACAAGAGCATATTGACAAGGCAATCTTCGTAATAAAAAGGACAACGATCTAATGTCCACCAAGAAGGGACAAGATAGATAAACTATACAATGGAATCATATGAACAAGTCAAAAAAGTGGGGTTTGAATAATTATAGACATACACAAAACTGCTAGCCTGATGGCTTCTGAAAGGCGAACCACGTGACTGAATAAAAATGGTGGGGTAACTGCCAATCAAAATCTGTTCCTCTTTCTGAAACTATTGAGGTAAATAATTAACAATAAAAAATTCCTTTTATAAAGGTAAAAAAAAAATGGTGGGGTAGAGTTTTTACCGTGTGCCCTGAGGAGTCAAAGAGCTGCTGCGCTGTGGACTGTGTGACTGTCTCACTTGTGCAAAACACATAGATGGAAAATGTTTTAAGTCAAAAAATAAACAAAAGAGTAAAATATTTCAAGACATACTGACGTGATGTTCTCAGAGATACCAAGGGAAGCTGAAAAAACAAGTCGCAGGACAGAGTAGATGGCGTGGTGCCTGACAGTGTAGTGGTTTCAGCCAAATATTCCAGCTCTCCCCTTCTGGGCGTGTGGGCAAACAGCACTGCTTCACTCCCCTGTTCAGGCTGCACCATGAATGGTGAGTGTAACTTCCAAGAAGAGTACTCCACTGCCAGGGCATGACACCCAGAACTCACTTTCCCTCACCCCCGTGGCCAGCAGTGCTCAGAAAGTGTCGGTACTGTCATTCCGAGCCCAAAAGGAGGCTTACGCATGATGGACATGGTGGCATGAACAAGAAACAAATCTTTGATATTTTAAGACCTGGTGATTGGCCGGGTGCGATGGCTCCTGCCTGTAATCCCAGCACTTTGGGAGGCCAACTCGGGCAGATCACAAGGTCAGGAGATTGAGACCATCCTGGCTAATACAGTGAAACCCTGTTTCTACTAAAAATACAAAAAATTAGCTGGGCATGGTGGCATGTGCCTGTAATCCCAGCTACTCGGGAGGCTGAGGCAGGAGAATCACTTGAACCCAAGAGGCAGAGGTTGCAGTGACCCCAGCCCAGATCTCACCATTGCATGCCAGTGACATGAGTGAGACGCTGTCTCCAAAAAAAAAAAGACCTGGTGATTTGGAGATGCTTGGTATTTCTGTGTAACCAGCCTACCCTGACCCGTACATGGCATCACGTCATGTGCACGTGAACATAGAGAACTGAATCTAGGAGAATGAAGTCCGTACCACTAAAGTAGACTGAGGAATATACTGAAAGATGGGGGCACCTTTTGCTTTTGACTTTACACACTTCTATGGGGGTTGATTTTATTTGCCCTTCTGCATATCTTTATAAATGAGAAAACCACAGAGGGCACTTTTGGTGGCTGCCGGGGGAGCACTCACCTCATTGAGGAGACCTCGTCGATGCGGTTCCCCAGCTGAGACTCATGGGACTTGCTCCGGGTGAGCGTGGGGAAGCTGGGCAGCAGCTGGAAGACCTTGCGGCTGGGTGGCGGGGGCGTCCGTGGTGGCTTCAGCTTGGTGTGCCGTCGCAGCTGGGGTGTGGTGGGCGGGGTGATGAAGCTGTGCAGGGCCCGCGGGGTCAGCCGGCCGCTGGCGTGCAGGGGGATACAGGTGTCCGAGAGGCCCTCACTGAAGCTGGTGGTGGGGGAGTCAGAGGCGGGAATAGCTGACACGGAGATGGAGCGTGGGCCCTGGGTGCTGTTGCCTGCTCTGCTCAGCTGAGAGCTGCCCGGGGGCCAGGGCAGGCTGGCTGGTGAGAGGGTGTCCGTGGAAGGCCCTGAGCCACTTTCCCGCCGAGCATCCAACAAACTACAACCCGAGTCCTCCTTGTGTTCCCCTCCTGTGGACCAAGACATGGAGTCACAGATGGTCGGGGCTGGAAGGCATTTACAGGGAGGATGGCTAGGGCTGGAGAGGTTCAACTCCTGGTGTGGGGCTACGCTGTTTATTAAGAAAAGGCTTCAACTCCAACCTTTACCTGGTTTATGCAGGTCTCTCATACACACAGATTATTTGGCTTGGTGCAGATACTACCACAGGTTGAGCGTCCCGAATCTGAAAATCCCCAATCCAAAACACTAAAACTTGAGAATTTTGAGCACCAACATGACACTCACAGGAAATGGTCATGAGAGCATTTTGGATTTGGGGACTGGGAATGCTGAACAGGTAGGCACACTGCAAAGGCTCCAAAATCTAAACAAATCCCAAATCCAAAACGCTCTGGTCCCAGGCATTTTGAATAAGGGATACTCACAACCTGTATCTCTGTTTTATAGAGGACGAAGCACAGCCCAGAGAGGAACTGGCTTGGGCAGGGCTCTTACAGGCAGGTCTTGGGGGAGCAATCCAGGAAATCCACACCAAAAGTGGCTGACCTCAGAAAGTGAAGGGGTGGCCGATCTGTAAGAGTTAGGAAAGGGAAGCTGGGTGTGTGAAGGAAGGAAAAACTCCACTTTAACAAAATTCAAACACGAAGACAAGGGGCTGTTCTGAGCATTCAACGGCAAAGTGCCCGGGGCTTATGAAGAAAGATCAGGAAGAAAGGGATCAACAGCCACTTCCTTCTGTACCAGCCTTTGAGTGACTGTAGGCTGCCCCCACTGTGACCCTCTCTGCCTGAGGCCCGAGGCTTGTGTGGCTCTGTGGGGCTTGAGCTCCAGGGCACAGTCTGTGTAGCCATTCAAGCACATGCTGGATGCTGGGTGGAAAGACCTAAAAAAACCCATCCTTGTGAAGAGTTGAATGGGCGTGATAGGCACATAACACAGTATGCTCTGTGCCAGTAGAGACACGCAGGGGCCTCTGCAGAGGAGCAGATCCTAAATCAGCTGTGGAGGAGGTAGCACCTAGGTTGAGCCAGCTATGGAAGAAGGTAGAGAAGGAGCACCAGGCAGAGGAAACAGCATATGTGAAGGTGAGGGCATATGGCACCTTTCGTTCACTACAAAGAATTCTCATTGCTGTCAGAGGTCACGACAAGCTGGGGAGACACAAGGGATGAAGTTGGAGGGGTCAGCCCAGCAGGGCCAGATCAGGAAGGGTCCTGAATGTCTTGCTAAGAACTTTAAATCTCACACTGAATTGTAATCCCAATGTCAGAGGCGGGGCTGGTGGGAGATGACTGGATCCTGGAGGCGGTTTCTCATGGCTGTTTCAGCAGCATCCTGTTGGTGCTATTCTCATGAGTGAGTTTAAAAGTGTGTAGCACCTCCCTGTCCCATCTCCCTCCTGCTCCTGCCCTGTGGGACTCCTCACTTCCCCTTGTCATCCGCCATGCCTGGAAGCTTCCCGATGCCTCTCCAGAACCAGAAGCTGCCATGCGTCCTGTAGAGCCTGCAGAACCATTGAGCCAAGTAAACCTCTTTTTAAAATAAATTACCCAGTCCTGCAGATTACCAGGTCAGGAGTTCGAGACCAGCCTGGCCAACATGGCAAAACCCCATCTCTACTAAAAATGCAAAAATTAGCCAGCGTGGTGGTATTCACCAGTAGTTCCAGCTACCTAAGAGGCTGAACCACGAGAGTCGCTTGAACCCGGGAGGTGGAGGTTGCAGTGGGCCGAGATCAGGCCTGGATGACAGAGTGCATTTCTATCTCATAAATAAATAAATAAATAAATAAATAAATAAATAAATAAGCAAGCAAGCCAGTCTCAGGTATTTCTTTACAACCTTTGAGAAGGGACTGATGCACCAGCGCTGTGCAAGCCTTGCCTCCCTCCACCCTCCTGCAATGCCTGTTCTTCTCCCCAGTGTACAGTGGAGGCCACTGAGACTCAGGGAGGCCACAGACACTGCCCAAGGCCAGGCAGCTAAGAAAGTGGTGTGATGGGAATTGAAAACGTCAATCTCAGCACCATGCTCCCCACCCCTTCTACCCCCACCCTGATGATGCTACTGATTCTCAATAGCCTACAGCGTAACAGCTGTGGGACGTAACAAGCTCCCTGTCATCAGAGGTGGTCAAGCCACTCATCAAGAATGGTGGGGTGGTGGGGAAGAATTAGCCTTCCTGATTTGTAAGTTTCTTTGTACATCACATCC